CTGATTCAAGGCTTAGCTCTTGCCAATAGTACTCTATATAACTCTAGTGAGTTGTCATCATCCCTGTCAGGTCTCGGGGAGGTTCCATACGGCGGCAGACTTTTTCACTTCTCGCGTGGCGGTCAGGGATCTTTTTGATTTTCCTGAGACGGCCTGTGATGGACATCTATGGGGCCGGGCAATCAGAAAGGAGCAAGATATTGCAAGTTCGTAACAAAATGGATGGTTCCATTGCCCACTCCTGTCTGTGGAGTATGGAATATGGGTACCCTTCTAGAATAATGCCACCATACCGGCCTTGACTCTGCCCGCTGTCAACCATGCAGGATAGATCGGGATCTTCTTGCTCGGTGAGAGTTCTGCGGGAGGCAGAGAAGCAAAATCCGCCCCCTCGACCTCTGGTTGTTTACTTTTCGATCTTTGCTCATATCAGTAAATGATGCAATTTTGAACAGCTGAATTAGAGTATAGTGTTCTGATCCGATGCTTCTACACATCAATTGTCAATTCTATCTATCTGGTGGGAGAGGAACTATAGCAGCCCTGGGATATCTGATTATGTAACAGCGACAAGACAACCGAAAAAAGTAACTTACGGAGTACACTCCTGTGTAAGTGGGTGGGGACAGCGCAAGTTTCAACGCTAGAATAGATAGCAAAAGCACTGCGGCCCAGAAAGCGCCCTTACCGCACTTTCAGTCGGCTGTTGATCCACAATTTTCCTCAGAAAACCCCAGTTGGGGGCCTAGTCCCCTCCTCCACCGTCTCTTGATTCTTTTCCCGATGAGGCAACGGGCGCGATTACGCCATTCCCAGGGCCCTCCCTCATGGCTCACCGCTCCGTGAAGCCTGGGACAGGTCACAAGATGCAGTAGAAGATCTGATCGTGAGCTACGTACGACTGTACTTGGGAAGTAAGTTATATGCTAGGTAGGTACTAGGTAGGCAACCCCCCACCTGTCTCTTTTCACAAAAGGAATTATTGTCATCTCGTAGGCAACCATACGCAGAGTCGGTGCGATACTGATGTCGAACACTTCTTACCTGCTGTAGCTGGCCGGCCGGGGGAGTTCTCTAAGATGCAATCCTACTGCGATCAGACCTTCATCTCGATAAAGTCCGGTCGCATCAGCCTCGTCCGAATGAGCCTCATGGAGGAGAAAGGAGCAGCGGAAGAAGGCTCAAGGCTCCAGTAGGATTGTGCTAGTAGTTTCAACTCGTTTGGTGTTGTCTTGGTCCAAGGCTGCGAGCGCGCGCCGAGTTCGTCCGAGCTGGGGTGAGATTTGCATCCACGACCGGCACCCACTACCGGTCTCTCAGTCTTGTGGTAGAAACAGACGGAACGAAACTACGAACGGGCAAGGTGCATTGGGATTGGATTAACTTGTCCTTAGTGGCTCCCTAGTAGAAACCAAGTTCCCGGCCACGCTGGAAAAGAAGGTGGTTTCCCAACAGTTTGACTCTGTGTGTAATGGTATGGGGCAGGTGGATAAAGAGAACCTTGATAAAAGTATGTGATATATAACAAGGGGACGATCCTTGATATGTATGTCATAAGTTAGCTTTTGATAGATGCGATGGGGAAGGAGGGGGGAACAATAACGTACGACACTGGAGTAGCGGTGCTAAAGTGAGCCTTTTTTCAACCGGTCGATCGCCTGTAACACGGATGGATACTCCTACGTAAGAGCAACAAGCGCCCAATTGACAGAGAAATGCTGGATAGGATAGATATTCTGAAAGGCTGATCTTGACATTTCATTCAAGGTTTTTTACTGGGGCTTATTATGATTGATCGCAGTGAGGAGGTCACCGTAACGGGCGACCTCAGCCAAGACGCGTCTGAGCAACGCACACTAATCCAACCCAGCCGCCAGCTTTGCTCCACGTGTGTCCACGTGGTACCGGCATGGGTCTCGGCTAGGATAAGAGGCAGAAGACACCTGGAAAAGTCATGGAAGACCGGGAGACGTCATCTAAGGTAAGAGAGGCAATCATCATTCGAGGTTAGATAATCCTAGGAATCCTGGTGGGATTGAGAATACGAGCGGTCGAGCAAGCTTGCCCGGAACACAGCCACACGGGAAGGCCTTCCCCACTATTTGTCGCTCATTGCCCTCGGTATGATTCTGTTGTTTGTTTGTTTGTCGACGTTACAGGTATATACACTTGAAGTATGGAGTAGGGTGATTAGTGAGGCTGCTTCTATGATGGGGGGGGGGAAGAAGTGGACTCCGGCGATCGACGTTCTATTGACTCTTGAGATACACATCTCACATGCAGCATGTCAAATAGTCAGGGCGAGCCACAGATCGCAAGCCAGGGCACAGGCTGATGGATCACAACTCCCGAGATAAGAGACTGAGGCCTGAGGCTCTGGTGTCCAAGTATTGATCGGCATCAGAGAAAGTGCTTGGTTCGGTTGGTCCTGTTCAAGGGCAACAAGGTTTGGGCTTGAGCGGATACCCACGTGGGAAGAAGACCAACAGCTCTGGGAATTTCCTAAAGTTTTCTGAATGCGCTGTCGCGACGAAAGATGGATATGAATGGGTCATGGTCATCGTCCGTGAGGATCAAAATCAAGCCATTGGAGCCGTTTGGGGGGAGGAGGGGAAAAGGAGGAGAGAGAGAGGGGAGAGGAGCAATGGAGGCTAAGAGAAGATCAGTCCAACTCAATCACCCGCAAGTCTGCGACGGCGGCAAGAACACTTCCTAGTATCCTACCTATCTTGGTAATTTGTCCAGGGCCCAAATCATGCCAAGCCGTGCTGCTGAATGGGTTGTGGTCTGGTTTGGGGTGGGGAGAAGACCTAAATTACCTCTACTACTTAAGGCGTGGAAGGAAGGACCTCAGTGGGCAAGTCGGGTATGTAACTTGCATTCACACCTTTCATTCAGCCCTCAGTGGCTTCTAGCAACATACTGTTTGGTCCTAGTGGCACACTAGACTGTAGAAGGCAAGAGTTCTACTGCGAGTATTCGTGACGAGCCGCTCTGAATGGCTGATATCATCCTTGGGGGTTTTCCGGACTGAAACTAATGACTCAATAACTGACGATCGATACTGGGTCCCGCCATACGGAGTACCGTCTGTATTGTTCGCAACTTACTGTGGTAGAAACTGAGGTAACTAGTAGCCTAGTAGGTAGGTCAGCAATCCTCAGGAACCCCTCGAATAGGCAGACACCCGGAGTTGAATGGGTTTGAGGATGCATTAGGTGCAAGTGTCAGTTGGTTACATAGTTAGAGATAGGTGCTTACGCGCATCGATGCGTACGCACCGCATGTAGGGGCATCTGGGGAGAAGCATATCAGTCCCTTCTTGGTCTCAATGCAATAAACATAGATAGCATCTGATCAGGCTGAGTCAGGAAGGTTTCCAGGCGAGGCCCGAGGAATCTCCTCGTCAAATGATAAGAGATACAACGGACGGAAGTTTGATGGCGTGCGGCATCATTCAATTGCCGGAGGTCATATAGCTTATGCGCAACACTGAAGAAGAATTGTGCACCTAACTACACTAGTACATCGAATGATACTATGTGTACGTTCTAATCGACGCCGGTGATCGATCTGAAGCCAAATAGCCAATTGACCCCAGAATATGTACGTGCCCTGGGACTTTCAGAAGCTGGGGATATCTATGTGAAACTGCTGATCATCCGACATTTGCTTCTCATGCGCTTAGCTAAAAGTCGAAGGCGGGTATTCGAACTGTATGTATGGTATGTGACCAGTAATCGTTGCAAAAAGGGTCACCCACGGCTAGGTATCGTAATCATGATACAGACGGAGGACTCCGACTCGGCAATCAGTATGCCATGCTCCTGTGTCATATTCCTCATGATTGGGGATCATTTATTCCTTGCAACAATGGCCTTTACATTACCCCTGAGGAACCGAAAGTGACCTTCTTAATTCCTCCACAAGGTACACTCAAAGCCTCTGTAATCACCGGAATCAATGTATTGCATATCCGTCAGTCGGTGGTGGTGGTGTTGCTTTTTCCGGCGAGAGCCGTAAAATACGGGCTTGGAACTAGTACGGGACCTCGGACTCTGCAGGGAAGGGCGACGGGCGGACTGGCTGGCTTTCACTGCACTGCACTTTTCTGATCGCCCCAAAGGACGATCCATCCACCTTTGCCCTTGGCCCACGTTGTCTGGTGCATGAAACCGTCCGCGTGCACAGTGGGTCAAAGACTGACAGGCCTGATTCTTCACACCCCTGGGCCTGGGGTCCTTCTTTGCTTGCTTGCTTGCTTGCTTGCTTGCTCGCTCACCCTTGTCCTTTTTTCTCTTTGCATGCGCCTTTCACTAACTAATAGTCACTAGTTACTGCTGCTTAAACTACCAAATATTACTGTATATTTGCGCTTACTCACTCAGACTCTCGCTCTTTCTTACTTTTCTTCTTCCTAATTTCCTTCATCTTCCTGGTTCTCCCTGTTCTCTTTCTATTTCTCCTCCTCTTCACCTTCTTCTCCTCTTTCAACTGTAGAAGATCCCTCAATTGCAGCCACTTCTTCACTTTGAACAGCCAGTAATGTTTTGACTGCCTAATAGCCAAGCCACTGCGTTCCTAAAAGAATCAGACAAGAACCCAAGAAGAAATAAAAAAGAAAGTATTTTTTCTCCCTGATTTTTGTTTCAGGAATTCCCTTTCAAGAAATTTGAGGAAAATAATAATTTTTGGGTTTATCTCCCTTATTCAGAAGACACACCCACACCCCTCCACCCTTTCTTGTCCCTCTTTTCTTCTTTCCTTCACACTCTCCCCCCCCTTCCTTCTTTTGCCCTTGACCCTCTTTTCTCTCCCTTTCCTTTTCCAATCTTTTTTTTTCTTGTTCTTTTTTTTTATTTTTATTTTCAATTTTCTTTTTCTTTTTTTTTTCCTTCTCTGATTTTTTTTCCTGCTCCAATCTTACATAGATACATACAATCCCTTCCCCCCCCCCCCCCTCCTTCTTCTCCTCCCACTCGTCTGGTTCGCACTATTCAATGCCAACCATATCCTCCGTCCCTCTCAACCAAGGCTCCCCTCCTCCATCCTCACACCTTCATTACCCTCAACCATCCCGATCTTCTGCCGTAACTATTCCGGTTCCCTCCTCCCCGGATCACAATCGCACTTCTTCCTCTGCTTCTACTGCTCTTCAGAATTCCGCGCCCGCCGCAGTTCCCGCTCACTCCCATTCCGCCACTACAACCTCCTCCTCCTCTCCTTCTCCATCTACCACCATCACCACCTCCGCTACCGCTACTTCTTCTTCATCAGCCACCACTCCTATCTCAACAGGTTTCACAGGTTCGGTAATCGGATCAACCTCTCGTCGTAATCGCCGGTCATTTGCTGCCTTGGCCCGCGAGAAGACTTCTAGCGCTCTCGCCAATCTATCCGCCATCGGTAGCCCCAATTACCCGCTGCGGCCTTCTGCATCCTCCGGAAGCCTTACCAAACACTCGCGCAAGGCTTCGCAAGTCAGCGTCAGTGACTTACCTGGTGGTACACCTTTGACTCCACCATTGTCGGATAGCAGCGCCAGCAGCGAACAGTCCAGCCCTGCGCCAGTTGATTCCGCTGCCGCCCACCGCGTTTTCCCTGCTGTGACTGACCAGTCGACAAACTCGGTCGATAGACGTCGTCACACCATCCAGCGAATTTCTTCTCCTCTCGAACAATTACCGGAGATCGATTCTGGTGCTCCCGCCAACATGCATCAGACTTCCTCCAGACTGTTGCGGATGACGGAAGATGACCGCCCGTTCACCAAGGTAAGCTACACTCAAAATGCGCGACAAGTGATCTATGGAGTGTCCGAGCGATAGATTGATTAACGGGCAATGGTTGCAGGATTTCATGGATTTGTTCTCAACCTTGATGGTCAGTCTGAAACTGGATTCGCATCGTGTACGATTCACCAAATATGACCACTCCTTCACCTCGGAAGAGGCCATCAACAACCTGGGCTCTCTCAAATTTTCACAATCCAACCGCATGCCAGACCCCAAGGACCCTTCCCGTATCGTCACTACTACCACAACCACCACATTTTCCATGGCGAAGGAAATGGCTCGCTCAGTATGCCAACGTTTTGTGGACGCTCGTTTCGTCGAGTCTGTGGATGGAAAAGCATCGCAATTGTTCCCTCTCAAAGGCGCATTGTATCAGCTTACCCCCAAGGGCATCAACATTCTCCAGAGATTCTGCCAGCGCAACGGTATCACTGCGCGTCATGTGATCGATGTTTTGGAGTCGCCGCGCAACACAATGCAGCTTGTTAACCTGGAACGCGATTCTGAGACTGACAAGCTATCACACGATCGAGCGACCATTGAAGTGATTTTCCGCCGGTTCGCTGGACAAGATGGCCCCAACGTCAAGAGCAGCATTTCTACCTCTGATTCCGATTCATTGAGCGACTACTCCAACGGATTGGTGGGTGTGAAAATGGCCAAGGAGCGCAAGATCAAGGACAAGACTGTTTCCAATACTTTTACGGGCAAGGCTGCGGTCGATTGGTTGATGGATTGTTCGACAACGATCGAGCGTCGAGAAACTGTTCTCATTGCCGAGCTTTTCGTCAAATATGGGTTGATCATGATGTTGCAAGAAGACCAGTTCATCAACTTGCCCGACGACTCGATAGCCACCTTCCAGCCTTCCAAGAATGCGATCTATGGAATTACTGAACGGGGACAGAGAGTCTGCGGATGGATTGCACGGGACAAAGCTCGTGACACTTCGATGTACGACAGTAGGGGTATCCCACGGGACTCGAACAACGCCCGCTTGAACCACATCCTTCACGATCCCGCTCTTCGACTCCTATTCCGCGAATTTTTGCGCTTCTCGCTCTGCGAAGAGAACCTCTCTTTCTACCTAGATGTGTCCGAGTTTACGTCGGCTTACCACAAGGCGGAGAAGGTGGGCACATTTAGGAAGCCGGATTCGGTACGGGAGACACTGGCTGCAGCATATGGTACGCCCCCTCCATCACAGATGGTTTCGTCGAATATTTGCTAATCATTGCAGGTTTGTACAACGCATTTTTGGCCCCTGGCTCGCCTTGTGAGTTGAACATCGATCATGCTCTGCGTAACAGCCTTGCCAGTCGCATGACCAAGGCCGTTGGAGATGATGAATCCATGCTCAAGAGTCTCCAAGAGGTGGTGCATCTATTTGAAATGGCCCAGACGTCGGTCTTCAAGTTGATGTCAAGTGTAAGTCCTTTATCCAATGCTTGTCGACCCTATGAATCATTTCTGACTTGCAATAGGACTCGGTTCCCAAGTTCCTTCGCGATCCCAAGTGCGCTAGTATCCTTCAGGAGCACGATGTGGACTTAATCGGTGCCCCGCGGTCTTACTCCCCAACTCCGACTCCGGTACCGGAGCGTTCGGCGAGCCGCTCGGCGCGTCCTTGAAACGCACCTCGAAAATGGACCAACGTGGGGCTAAGCTAATCACTGCCTCATCATTGGAATTTGCATCAAAAACTGCTTTTGGGGACACTGCCCAGACAGGATCCAGTGTGCTTTGAGACGCCGCCAGATACCCATGAATTATGAGTCGGGTGGTCCATTGAGACATCTACCGACCAACAAAAGTGACTTCCATCGTACCTGGGGGTCTGCTTCCGAAAATTTGACTTGACACGACATGATTACACGTTATGCGTCTCCGACCTCCTTTACTTCACTGCATGAGAGCCTTTATCCAACGGGAAAAGGGCATGGGGATCTCTACTGTGGTAGCTAGATTACCCGAACTAATCCATTCATCACGACCGATGAGTGAAAAAGATGTTTAATGATCGATGGATCATGCGATAGATGCTGGGAACCGAATATCCTTCTTGTTCCATAATCAATTTCCTTTGTCCTTGTTTCTTCCTTTCCCCCCACCCCCCTCCCCTACCCCCCGGCCTTTTTCATATCCCTTCTGTCAAACTCGGAGAAGGGAAGGCTGAAGCACACCGTCAGTATCCCAGCATTAGAGAGGCGTTTTTTTTACCCCATTTCCATATTTCTCCATCTCTCTGCATCCATGCATTTCCGACCGACTTCTTGTTTCTCATAAACCCGGTTGATCGAAATGCCGATTGATCCATGTGTGTGTACGCCGTCATATGTCCCTTTCTCATGGTTTCCTTTTCTTTCCTCCCATGTTACACCTTGATTTACCTCGCCCCGTTCTTGCCTGCATCATCGAAAGCATACTTGGTCTGCATTTTCATGGGTTACTTCTCTGTTTGATGTGCCATATCCAGCGAGTGAGTTATGTGCTTATGTACATGTGCGCCATGTTCCGATTCTTCATTACGTGTCTATGCTCGCTTTGAGCTTCAAAGTGAGGCCCAAGACTTTTTCTGAATACCAACGCAAATTACCTGTCATTCTTGCTAGATCCTTCTCAGTAACGCCTCGTAAATTTTCCATTCCCTGCCGTCTCGAAGAAAAGAGCAAGTCCTATACGTAGACGCGAGTGATAGGTCATACTATCACATCAGACCATTTCCCAACCAAAGCTATGATCTACTTGACTCCGCCCGTACAGATCAGAACACTGCGAAAGTAGTTTGAAGGCACGCACCGATCACAAAACACGGCGGGGTAGGTATATTCGAGACCGTGGGCGACTCAAACTGTTAACATGAATCAAAATCTTCATCACTGCTGGAAGGCAAACAACCGGGCCAGAAACAGAAAAGCTTTTTGGAAAGAAATAAAATAAATAAACCACATGGCCGACACGTGGTGGTGCACGAGGTCATGGTTGCAGGGATGGAAGGCACATGGGAAGAGGAGGAAGGAGGGGTTCGGGGCACAAAAGTACATGTGTACAGTACCTTACCTCCCTCCATTCTTCATCCTGGGTATTGTTGTAATAATGTGCCCCTTCCCATCGAGCTGGAACTTAAGCTGGGTATTTGGTGACAATTAGTGTATATACAGAACTAACACGTCGTTCATGAAGGTGGTGTTGACTTGTTGTGCCATTATGGTATCTTGCTCTTTTTTTTTGGGGGGGGGGGGGGCGCAGGTGTGGAAGCGATATTGGGATCTTATGCAGAGATAAACATATCAGCTAAGTCAGCTATGTAAGTGTCTAAGCTATAACGTAATCAACGGTCGGGCGGGACACCCGGTCAGGTGGGCCACCCTGGTATCCCATATAAAAGATGACTTTTTAATTCTATTATATATCAACCAATACTACTTTTAAGAAGTTCTAACATTGTATATAGATTATATATATAACAATAGATGTCCCATGATTTTTTTAGAATTTTTAAAATATTTATATGTATAGTTAGTTCAAATTCTTATATAATACAAATAAAATACAGGTATTGTAATATAATAAGTTGATAAATATATCTATACTGATTTTTGAAAGGTATATAAATAATTTTAAAATGATTTAAAATCTATACAGAGCAAAGTTAATCCTTCTAGACTTTGCTGGTTGAGATATATTGTGTTTAAAAAAGTACCTTTTGCCTAGTATTACCAGATGGCCCGCCTGACCGTGTGTCCCGCCCGACCGTTGATTACGTTAACTATGCTTAGATAGTTCATAATCGCGAACACCGTAAGTAACTATATTGAACTGATCTTTTAAGTGCTTACCTGACTAAGTCAAGTTCCCGCGATTGTTTCAAGGAGGAGTAGCGCATGGCGTCTCGTCGGCTTTGTGGTCTGGATTCTGTTCTGTATACACTGACTGATCTACACCCTCGAGTGGTGCTATCACCTGCGAAACGGGGCGGGGATGGTGATTTACCGGGGATCTGGGACTGACTGCAAGACCACAATAGACTGGGAGAGCCTAGAAGGATGGAGGTATGGTCTGTGAAACATCCCACTAATGGAGAAAAGCGAGCTAGAGTGAGATAGAAGTTGGAGTTTGCCATGATGATACAGAAAGTGAACGCAAGAGAATAATTCCCCAAGAGCAGAAGCACGCGCCCGCCCTCCCCAAAGCAGTAATAGACCTTTACGCCGTGTGACATATCCCCAGGGATGAAAATACAGAAACAGACGAGGAATGAACAGATTACAGGCGTATTCACATCAATAAAGGAATTTGTTGACCACACACGGAGAGAGACAGACAGGTGCGGTACGGTGGATTTTTCAGACAGCGTTCTCTCGGGGAGAGGAATGATGCGTCGGTAGAAATGGATGGATGCACAGGGTATTATGACTCGTTTGTCTGTACAGGCATGGGAAGGCTCAAACCTACCTCGTGGCCCAAGCGACTCAGTTGATCGTGCAGAGCCCATGCCTAGACATTCTCTGACAGCATCTCCTCATATTTCAAGCCCAGTGAAATGGGATGAAACATCCTTTGTTCCATCCATGATGTCATCATACTTTGTACCTGTCTGTTCCATCTATCCGTCTGTCCAGCTGCTCACGTGCAGACATCCCAAAAATGAGCAGCTTCCCGAGATCGGCATGAAAGACAAGGAGTAGGAGACTCCAGGAACCAAAAGATGCTTTTCAGCTTTATTTTCCACCCCAGCCTCTCAAACGCATGCCTTCCTCAATTGCTGACCAAATGCCCTCGACGACCTCGCGGTCTCTCCACCGCCCAGTACCATTCACGCCGCCCTTCTCGTCCCATCTCTCGACCGAGAAGCTCTGTACCCCGCGACCCCAGTTGCGGACCTCGCGTGGACTGTCCTCCCCGCGCCAACCCACGTAGATACCTGTGGCATGTTTGAACAACTCCGGCGGGGAAGACCACTTGTAAGATTTGAACTGCCACGTCTGACCCGTCGTGAAAACGGCCACAAGGCGGTTCCAGTAATCAGGCCGGAAATTGGCGGTACTGTCTACCAAGATGAAGCGGGTGGGCTTGCGAGAGCCGGAGGCGGCTGCGCTGGCTCCAGGACGGAGAAGAGAGGTGCTGGAGGAGCTGTCTTGGATGCGGAGGGGCCGGTGAATATAGAGAATATTACTGTTCGTCCCTGTGGCGAGTGTAGGGTGGTCCGGGGGAATAAAGACACCCTCCCCGAGGAAGGAGCGCACGTTGGACATGCGGATAAGAGATGATGCCGAAGGCGACAGCAAGATAATCGGATCTTGCGTCTTGGAACTGCTCTTGCCGCTTCGAGGTTGGGAGAGCCCGGCGGAGGGCGCAGGGACCGGCACCATGGAGGTTGGCTTGCTGCCAGGCTTGGTGACCCCAGGGGGGTATTGACCCGTCCGCGAAGACCGAGTCCGGCCGAGAAAGGTCTCTGCAGTTTTTCGAACATGGGAAAAGTCCTGGAAGCAACGAAAGAACCCCCAAATCATTAGCAACTTGTGAATTTGGAAGGACCCAGCCCGGGCAAAGGAACCGGGCCTATTGGAGATACACTCACCGTGGGCTTGATGCCCCTCAACACACTATTCCGGTCTCCCATCTTCCTCTCCCCGTTGTAAATCTCCTGTAGCCTTGGATCCATCACCTTAGCCGCCCTCCCGTGCTGCTGAGCACCCCCGGAAGCTGCAGCTGCGGCACCCGTCGCGCCAGCGGCACCACCACCACCAACACCACTCCCACTCGGCACCGCAGCGACACCCCCCGTAGCCCCGGAGGCAATATTTGTTGATGCCTGAGCCTGCGCACCGATACTGCTCTCACCCCCAGCGGCTGCGGCTGCGGCCGCCTTCGCGGCAGCTTCCCCTTCCAGGGGCTTGATGTACTCACTCTCCTCGGACGCCCCCTCCAACCATGTTAACAGGTCCAAGCGCTCGACGAATACCAGGTTTTGTACTTTTTCCTCCGCTTCTGAATCATCCTTCCTCTTCTCCTTGAGGGCTTGGTTTAGTCCCTCTGCTTCGGCGATGTACTCCGGGATCGCGACATCTTTCTTGAGCCACGCGAAAAAGATACTGCGCAGATCAACAGGCTCGCCTGTCGTGCTGGACACGAAGCGCGTCGGAGCGTTGAGAGGGATGGTCTGTGGGCTCGTTGGGTGGGCGAAGTACAGGTGGGTGGCCCTGGCCAGGTCGAGGTCGCTTTCTGTGGGCTGCTCGGTCGGGGAGGAGGATGTGGTCGGTTTTGGAGGATTGTTGGAGAGAAGAGATTGACGTAGGGCGAGAAGGGGGTCTGGGCTAGGTGAATTGGTCGCCATCACGGGTCTTAAATGGCTGTGATTTTGATAATGATTGGTCGTGGTGTAGTTGGTCGGCTTAGGACGGTGGGTGGAATGCTAGCAAGAAGCTACCACAGTCTCAGGCGATACAAGGGATTTTTGTGAAGAGATTGACGGCAGAGTGCTATCAATCAGATAGAGGTCGTTGAAGAAGGAGAGGAGAAATGGTAGAGGTGTTCCAGAGCATTTGGAAGTTGAGGGAAGCTTCAGCTGAGCGACTTTCTCAATGCGCGCGCGGAACACGTGATCTGTCCCCCGGAGATCAACTGGCGGCCCACTCGCTGCTTATTACCTCTCTCTCTCTCTCTCTCTCTCTCTCTCTCTCTCTCTCATTTGTGAAGTATAAAGTAGGTCGATTTCAATTCATCCACTTAAGCTACTACAGCCTCTTCCAAAGAACCCCAATCCTAGTCCAAATCCAGCCCCAACCTCCAAACAAAGCAGTGACTCCAGTGAACAGAATCACTGCTCCATAATCAGTCGCATACCCTGTACTCACCTCACCCGCGACACCTACAACAGAACCTTTCTGCATCAGCTTCTCACTAAGTGGTCCACTGATGACACTCCCGACACCCCTCCCACCGGCCAAGAGTCCAAAGACTAGTCCTGTCTCCAATGCAGGCACCTCCCGCTTGATCTGCGTCAGGACTCCGGACCAAGTAGAACTAAACCCGCCTGCAAAGAAGCCGTAGGTGATTGAGAAAATCGTCAGCAGGGCGAGCGCGGTATGGGTCTGGGAATCCTCCGGAGGAAGATTTGTGTTTGTGGCGGTAGAAGAAAGCCCCCAAAACAACAACACAGACAATCCCGAACCTACCGACGACAACAGCATGATATTTGGGACGGCGAAGCGGTCGCACATGGCACCCAGCACAATACCTCCAACGATGGAGGTCGCGTTGAACAGAGCTATAAGAATAGTACCGGTAGTTTCGGACAAGCCAGCTGCTGTTGTTGAGTAGGATGGGAGATACGCGCTAGGAAGGAAGTATCCGAAACTCTGGATGATGTTCCCAAGCTCAAGCGTCCAGAATGTAAACAGCTTCAAGAATGCCAGGTCAAGTGGCTGAGGAGATGTGGAGGCTGCAGGAGGAACTCGCGGCTTGATGAAGGGCAAAGCTGACAGAGTTGTGAGAAGCTAAATCCTTTTCAGTCAGGTCAGGTTCTCATCGTTGTCATTGTTGGTGAATCCTCACCGTGATGACAGTCCACGCTCGCAAGGTAGTTCTCACTCCATATCTTTCAAGGGAAGCGCTCGTGACGAATGGCAGAGCCACGCCGCAGACGCTCTTACCGGCCCACATGATGCCATACGCAAGGCCCTTGCGGCGAATGAACCATTGGTCAAGAAGCAGCGTCGTTGGGCTGAAGACGAGGCCGTTCCCGAGTCCACAGAGTACGCCTTGGGTGGCAATCAATTGCCAAACTGTTTGAGCAAAGGATGACATGAGAGATCCCACAAGGCTGAGAACCAGCCCAACAAGAGCACAGTATTTTTGCAGAAATGGGTAGCGGGTCAGAAGGGTGAAGCTGATCGGGGATAGAAGGTAAAGAATTCCCTATATCGTCTGGGTTACCAAATATTGCATAAGAAGGAGCCGGAACAGGGTGCTACCATTGATGTGGTTCCCACAATTGCCAGACCTCCGGTGCTTCCTTGCAGTTCATTATGAGTCTCGAAGTATTCTTGGAAAAGACCTGACACAAGGGAATAGCCTGCACCACATAGCTCAGTCAAGTGATGCCTTTGGTTTGAGCATCAATCATACCCCAAACTGGTAATTGAATCAGACAGCAGGATGCTAGAATTAACCATGCCCCTCTGCCGTGGTCGACAGGGGGCAGCGACGGCTGCTCAAGTTCCAATGAGAATCTCTGTCGAGCACGCTCAATAGGAGGTCTTGTCTGCGATGGAGATCGAAGATCTGCCAAAGAGACAGAAGCCATCAAATTTCGATTTCAGCGAGCAACCGGACTTGGCGCAGAGAGAGAGAGAGAGAGGGAGGGAATATCGGATGGATGGATAGATGGATGTTAAGGACAAGGGAAATACCCCGCAATGGTTGTCCATGAGGATCTTCAGGCCCGTGACTTGTGACTGGCCTACGGAAATAGACTGTTGAACTTAGCGAATAGTTCATTTGAATTTAAATACAACATCCATTATGAATAAAAAGAATCATTATCATCATCATCATCATCATAGCGGGATGCCCAAGGTCTCCTTGATATCCTCCCCTCTCAGCCACTTTTCCATCGCCTCATACATTCCCCGAAACTTGTCATTGTCCTCCATGGTCGGCAAGTCCAGCTTAATCTTATGGCCCAGACGGGCCTGCGCTGCGCCGAGATATCGGTATCCGTAGGGGTACGGCTTCAGTTCCTCTGCCGTAAAGTCGGGGACATTCTTGCCATCGACGGGGAGGATCTTATCCTTTTCATAAAACAACCGCTTGTAGTGCACCTTCCAACCAGCAGAGTCCTTCTGGCACCACATGATGAACCGACAGTCGCATTCGACGTCACACTCCACTCCGTCGAAGTCAAAGCGCTGGGTGATAGTGGCCTTCATCTTTCCCACGGCGCGGCCGGTCTCCGAGTTCAACTCCACCAGGGTGCCGTTCTCGCGATGCATGATGTGGTCGCCGTTGCGCCGACCCTTTTTGGAGACTTCAATGAACTCGTCGATGGGCATTCCACCGCTCCATGCTGTTCCGGGGAGATTAAATTAGCTAACAGGTCGGGAGGGGAAGCCAGAGAGGGTAAAGACAGACTTGTGAAGATGTAAGCCTGCTCGGCAAAACAGTTGCGGTAGTGGGCCCATTCCGAGGCGTCTCGGTATACCGGCCAGCCCTTGAGAAGCTCGGTGACGCAGAGCCGATCGAGAATCTCGCTGGTGGTGCCATTGATGTGGCTGTGGATGGTGGGCTGAGGATCTTCGGCGGTGATGTTGACGACCATGGTGGATGATTGATTCTGTCAGTTGCTGCTGTCTACTGACCGTCCAATTTGAGAAGATCATCCCTGTTTATATAGTAGTCTTGAGAAGGTGCCGACTGTTGCCTTCCGGTTCTCACGACCTTCGATTCGGCTTGATGTCATATCCCTGCATCAGGCAACCTTAACCCGGGTCATGGTCAGTGGAGCTTGCGATTCTTTGGTTCGCCGAGGTTTGTCTGGACTCGCTAGTATCATGAGTAATACTACAGCAGTATTTTATCATAGCAGCCAACGCCAGCATCATTACGCTGGCCCTGATAAGCGAGTCATGTCCAAATGGACCAGCCAGGAACTAGGTATACGTAGCCGGAAAAATTCTTTGCAGACTAGACGCAATCGAGGAAATGACTTTATCCGCCACGTCGGCTGGTTGGTTCCCTAACATTGGATGAAGATTCTAAGAGCTATAAGCTAACTCAATCAGGTTGATGATGACGCCGAGACCGGCTTTATCCGGTGAAGCCAATGCTCATAAGTCGGTCAGGAGGGAGAGTTGCAGGGTTGAGAGAGTATCCGTCGTCAACCTGGATGCTCATGATCGTAATGAGAGAGCTACAGGGCATTCACCGCGTGAAAGCAATCAATGACACTCTCATTCCTCATTAGCCACCTCGATGAGGGGTCGTCAATCCCAAAGGCTTGGGCACAAAAGATCCTAATAATGAAAAGAAGAAGGAAAAGAAAAGAACAAGGGGAAGAATGAAGAATAGAAGGAAATAGTAGTGATTTTAAAGACAATCGTGAAGCAAGTGCTGAAGATCGTTGACCTAGTAAGTGTAGGTCGGACTGAACCTATCCGTGATATCCTTTACCCATCCCAACCAAAAAGTATTTACCAATCCCGCTCCCATCCCAACACGCCCAATACGCCAGTGAAGAAAAAACAAAAGGGCAACCATATAACGCCCTAAATCCCGTCCTTTACAGGTTGAAAGAGAAGGAGACATAAAATGAGCAGAAAACATGGTGGCACAGCACAGCCTATTGACTCAGACAAAGATGGACTCGTCATCATCGTGTCAGGGAAGATAATTGAGAGGCCGGCGTAGGCCCACGAATATCTTTCACCATCATATCCTGGGAACGTCGATCTTCACCCTTAACTCCGTCCTTGCTGTTGACTGCCGTGATATCGCGGACCGCTGGTGCCGATGCAGGTGGAATTGGCGGAAGAATTCCGGTGGCTTGGGCCTGCGTTTTCTCTACTGAGGGAGTTGTCTTGGTTCCACGCCGAATGATGTAGTCTCCCAGGCTGAGTTTCTTTTTCACGGGGCTGGGAGCAATCGCACTGGATGAAGCAAGCGCAGACAAATTGGGCTGAGGAGGCGCATCGCCTGCAGGAGACGACTGATTTAATCCCGCCGCAGATCCAGAGCTGGGAGTAGTCAAATTTGAATCAATGGTTGTGGAAGGAAGGGGAACGCGAAGATCAGGGCGACGCTGACTGACGAATTTCAGCGGTATTCGAGCATTGTGAGCGGCTGTTGATGGCCAGGGAGGAGGAAAAGGTGGCTTAGTCATGTCTCGGTCTGATGACGAGGTCTCCAGGTGAACGTGTTTAGCTTGCAACGACGATGGCTGGGTGGGCGAATCAACATCCTTCATTTCCGTATCCTCATCGTCGCCCAATGCACCAGCCATGGAGACTACAGGTGGCGGAGCCTCGAGGGGGCTCGAAGAAGACGCCGATGAGTCCAGCGCTAGGATGGGTTTTACTTGGAGCGGCGTCAGTCGACTGCTCTTTTCAATGCGAAGACGATCGAAATAGCATCGTTTCAACAATCGTTGCGTCAATGGTACGAAGCTGGGTCGTCGAGACGTAGGGACGAAAGACCCGTGGACGACAGCTTCAGACTCAGTTTGGATCGCGGAATCCACGTATTGTGGTCGGCCGAGCGGAGACTTTTCCGAGAGAATGCTATGGCTGCTGGACATCTTGCGGGGGGAACCATGACGTTCAATAGGCAGCGGTCCAGGCAGAATACCAGTCGGTGGAGAGTGCGACTGACGCTCGCGCCCATGAGTAGACTGACCGCTTGCTCGCTTCTTCCTTTTATGAGTGGTTTGCTGGTCCTGCTCTAATTGTTGGAATTTCTTCTCAGCCGCCGCAATCTTACGTTTGTCACGGGCGGAGAGCTCAGAATCTCCCAGCAAGTAGTTCTCTGTCGGAGTCTGTAAGGTGGGGGTCAAGTCGCGACTGCGAGTTTGCCCGCGCACAGAACCCGACGCAGAGCGACTGTCGGCTTGATCTTCGTCGTCCAGAATCTTGGTGGTTTCACTTCCAGCGCGACTGTTGGCCGTGGGAGATATGGTCGGCTTCGTCTTGGGCTTCTTTCGCTTCAAACTTGCCTGTTTCATGCTCGGATCCAGCGCTCTGGGATGACGTCGGCGATCGACGCTGGCCAGCAAGCAGTTTGAAGCTGGTACGCAAGCGCAGCCACCAAAATGGGCGAGGACATTGCTGATGCAGATGGCAGCATTGTCTTGAGCGTTATCGCTAGGCTCTTGTTTGACTAGCCCATTGCTTGACTCAAACAGTTGAGGGTCGAGGTACCACATGGCAGTAATCTCCGAGTCTGGGGCAATTTCTTCCTTCGCGACGAAGCAGAAGTGATATTCGACCTGGTTCGTGATGTAGGTCTTCATCGTCACGTTCGGACGGCAGGACCGCCGCACGTACCGAAGAACACTTCCCTCGTGGCGGCTATCGATATAGATAGGAAGTTGGGGATGGAAAAACACAAAAGGCTCTGGATGACGGAGCTCCTGCCATCGATTACTAGGATCGAGGCAATAATCTCGCAAAAGCCCAATTTTGCCAGTGATTTCACCGACAATCTCATCTTTCCCTACACGATCTCTGGTTTTAAGCACTTTCCAGGTGGGGTGCTGGCCCTCCATTTCAATACTAGGTTCCGTGATGGATTCCGTTGACAATGTGGGCCACCGAGACCGGTCAAGCGATGCCCCAGACCAGGTGAAGATGTCCTGCGCGGACCGCCCATTGGAGATTCGGGCCAGAGCCAGTGGCTCCGTTACCCACGAAGCCAGATCAGCGGCTAAGGGAAGATTCACAAACAAATTGCTATCCATGCTTGCATAATCGTTATCATGATCGTAAAGATGTAAGAACTCGTGCGAGTAAAGAGGAATAGATGGACCAGCCGTTTTGATCGGGCTCATGGACGCTGCAGCCCGTTTCCGCGGATCAGGTGGCAGACTTGACGCACCTGACACAGAACTAATGGACCCTGAAGCACGGTGGTTTGTCTTGACTTTCTTTGCAGCAGGCTGATCGCGTAAACTGGATTCCGACCGATGATGAAATCCATTTACCTGATCACCATGATCCTTGATCTTTTTCTTGTGGCTCTTATTTCCAGATCGCTTGGTTTTCCGGTCACCGCCGTCATTCTGTTCTCTGAGGCGTCTCTGCCTTTCAGTTGCACGCCGGCCATCCAGATGACGCGGCTCGCAATCGACACAATTATGAACGTCGGGCACATCCCGACCGTGGTAATAGCATTCTATATGCTGCCAGGTTTCGCACCCTTCACAGAAGACCGTATTTCCATCATCATCCTCAAAAGCACAGATGCATTTGATGGTATACGGCTCCTCCTCTTCCGGGGCGATAGAGTCAGAGACTGTGCCGTTGACGCCGGGCGAGTGCAGCGGGACGGTGACCGGATAAGGGTCTGTGATGGGGTGCGTGATGGCGACTGGGGAGGTATCTGTCATAATCCGACAGAATACCCCCTCTTAATGGTAACAAGAAACACGCGGTGGTTGTTCGGGAGGACGAACGACTCGTGGTGGTATCTTTGTCACAGACCAAGACGCATATCAACTAGACGACCGCTCTTCTCGACCTGGGCTATACGCACACGACTTGAAGCAACGGACGTTAGGATACCACTGGAGCGCAGGAGGTCGAATGCACAATGTCCGACCCGACTAGAACACAAACACGAGACAAGAAAGCACGAGTTGGCTGCAAGCGACGGGAGGAGTAGTCGGCGCTAGAGTGCGGAATAGAGTCGGCGAGGAAGTCTCCAGGCGAGGTCTCGGTAGGAAAGGGGTCGAAACAGAGTGTTAGTTGAGTCGTGATTGTCGGTGGCGCGTGCGACCGTATGTACGCGAAAGGATATCGATGATCGAGAGTCGTTGGCTATGAAAGGACGGACGGGCCACGAATCGCATCGAAGAGAGGCGACTCTTTGAAATGGACGGTTGGGAGAAGAGGGCGCAGTGAAGAAGAGGTCCAGGCGAAGGTGGACGTCGTTAGTAATAGTCGAAAGGTGAGAACAAGATGAAAGGGGAAGAGGAGCTAGAATGAGAAAGGGTAATTAAGATGAGAGAGAAGATCCTAATAGGTATTGAAAAGGATTAAGACGGTGGATGAGAAGGTAATGTCGTAAGAAAAGGGAGCAAGAGAGAGGGAGGGAAGAGTGAATGGAAGCGGATCGGAGGGAGAGAGTAGAGAGTGCAAGACAGCAGCGAGCGAGAGAACGAGAGAGACAGTGTGAGTGAGAGAGTGAGTGAGAGAGACTAAAGCCACGGATGGGCCATCCAAGCGGCGCGTCCAAGACCCGGAGAGAAAAAGGAATGGCGTGGAATTTTTTCTCCCACCCGCTTTAAGGACTGGGGGAGGGAAAGTTGTGTCAGTCGTGACTGGGGGGTTTGATGGGGGGAAGGGAGGGAGGATAGAAAATCCTCAAAGGAGTGCTTAATATTTTTTTTGCTCCTCTCGCTTTTGATTTAATTTTGAACCGCGATTCTGAAATTCTGAGTTTGTCCCTTTTTAGTGTCCTTTTTGTTGAGGGGAAGGGTCGATAATAATCGCGGGTAGAAAGATGGAGGGGAGGAGATGAATTGATTAGTTAGTGAGTGAGTGGTGAGCATAACTTGGGAAAAGGGACAGATCCAGCTTGAACAACGGACAGTCCGGGCCATGGGCGAATTGCAAGGAGGAGAGGGGGGGAGGGAGGGAGAGGGAGGGGGGGAAGGGCAGGGCGCGGAGGGAATGGATGAGGGAGACAGAGCTGAGGGAGTGAGTCTGAGAGACTGAGAGCCGAAACCAGTTCGACCCGGAAGGCCAGAGCTGAGAAGCTCTCGAGTTCGAGTCTCTTTGACTAAGTTCTTTCTTTCTGCTCCCGGCCTGAGTTCTCAGGCGGAGAAATCATGGTTGCCTGGAAGCAACCAAAGGTGGAGAAAACCCGCTTTGCCGTCCTCGGTCTGAAAGTGTCCCGCTAGGCTCGATCAGGGAAGAGACGACGCCGAGCCCCATTTCTGACACAGCGGGGGAAGGCAATGGAAGTCATGTGAGAGGCAAGTAGAAAGAGGAATGGCGCCAAAGCCTCGAACTCAGTAGATCAACCGTGGTGCAGAAAGGGAGGAGGGGAACGAAAAGGAAGATGGGAAAGTGTATAATGAGAAGGTAGATGAAGCCTGATGATAGGACAAAAAAAAAGAGAGAAGGTGGGGGGGAGGGGGGGGAAAGAGAGGCAGCGAGCGAGCCTGTTCGGTCATTTCTTCCCATGCAAATGAAACACAAGAACAATTGACACGGAGACTGAATGAGAACACTGCGATGGAGGGAGACGAAATAAAAAGAAAAGAGGAAAGAGAAAAGGAAAAGGACGACGAAGCCTGAATGCACTTGAATGTGGATCATTTTAGCTGCCATCAATAATTTCGGTCAACCTGCCGGTCGTGATTCAGGCAAACAAGCCGCCTGGGACAACTCATGCATGCGTTGCCTACCATGGTTCGTGATCGTGAACCATGATCACGATCGGGAAAAGAACATTGTCAGCAGTAGACTTGACCAAGAACCCGGCTTAGTGAAGATGAAAGTTAGTCTTGATAAGTGGTTAGTAGTAGAGCAAAGTCCGAACATGAGCAGCAAGTCCCATCAAGTGCTTGGTCCCCCGTCGCGGCAGGTGGTAGAGTTGGTACTCCAGGCGGGCAAAGGGGACGAGCGGCTGCATGCTTGGTCGGGTCTCCCGACCATGAACCATGGCAAGAAAAGTCCTCGTAGGGAGCTGAGAACGGTCAATAGAAGCAGAGACCTATACTCAGGCACTCTGATCTGCCAGCTTGACAGTCTGTATCAAAAAGCCTTCAGGTCTTCTCCATTACAAACATGGCTGGGGGAGGTGGTTGTAGAAGAGTTCAGATGAATGAGTGGGAGAGAGAGCAGGAGTCCTGGTAGTGATCAGGGTCCCCCATGATATTTGAAAGGGCAAAAAGTCCCAGCAAGCCTGTGTGGTCAGTCAAGGTGGCGGTTGCAAAGGGAAAAGGGGAAGAAAAGGGAAGGGAAGAGCAATAATAAATGTATTGGTCTGTGAGCAGGGAAAATCGTAGGTGTGGAAAAAAAATATCCTCTCATGACTGATAGATTACCCATACCCGGCGCGGTGGGTTGGTTTGCACCTGGGCTGGTATCAAGCGTTACACGCTGGCGGGCACACAGGCACCGAACTTCAAGAGTAGAAAATTGTGAGACGAGCGAGGGGCGAAAGCGGCTATTGAGGCATAAAGGGACTGTTCAATCAGTTCAAGTAGATTCTGTCACCATGTTAGTTCTATAACCCTCTCGAGGCTCTGACAAAAGAGCTGAAGCCAGAGACAATAATGGCTTTGAGGTGGCTGTCGTATCAGCAAAAAAGGAGGGGGGGGGATCGGGTAGAAGAATAACAATACGGGCATAAAAGATCAAATGACCTAAGTTTGAAGCCTGAATGCAAAGCACCTAGCATCTCAAATCAAGGATGACTGTGACTTGTGGTGGCTGTCCGCTATGACTATGAGGCCAACACCAGAGCGGTGCAGGGTTGACGATAACTTACCAGTGGTAGCAGGTAAAATACGTTACCCAGTAGGGGCTGACGGCCGAGTCTGTGCAGCCCGCGCGTGGCGAAACCACCGCTCCTCCCCAGATTTAGTTACCTACCGGCTTCGTTGCCTCCCGAACAGCTGCTACCGACTTCCGCCATCAGGATTTACCTAGTCTATCATCTATCCCTTTGGCCCATTTAAAATAAACAATGATTCAAGTGCGAACGCTTTTTCACTATGAATAACATATCGTAGACGATCTTAGGTATATGGTATAGAGCTAGCAGCAACCGGACAGACAAGCCCGCCGCTCCTTAAGAATATTATTTGAAACAATGAGTCGCCATCCCATTGACAGTCAGTGAATAAGAATCATGCAAGGTACAAGACGCAGTGCAATTATCGCCATTCTAGCAGGCCATTCGATCCTTCTCATCCATGACCTCATGGTCCCATCGTCGGCCCGGCCTCAACGGGGTGAGCAGAAGACTCCTTTCTGGGCCGTGCCATCTCCCACCACACGCGTTGCCCAGATGACTCGGCTGAGCTGGCGCCGACTTTGTTCTGCCCTTGATCAATGGGTACAGTGCGAAATGAGGTGAATCCCTGAGTCAAGGAAGTTCGGAATCGGTGGCTCAAGTAAAGCATCCAGAAAGTGCCAATACTTATGTATACGGGGACTGCGTTGCGGATCTTCAGTCCGGATAGAGCAGGGGCTTCATCGGCGGGTGGCGATGGAAAGGCCATCAGGAGGCAATTGGCGAGAGGCAGCGCGGCGCAACCCGCAATGCTCAGATACGCCCCGTAGGGTTGAATGCTGGACTGGTATACTTGCACGAAGCCCTCTTCGGATGTCTGTCGTCGGAATCGAATGTAGACGAGACAAGCACCCAGCCAAGAGATCGAGCCCGACGTCGTGATAAAATACATCAGCGAATTGTGTACAGAAGAGCTGGATACTGATACCGAGAGGTACCCAAAGATTGAGAACAAGGCAGAGGCGATGACAGCCACATATGGGACACTCAGTCGGTTGCGGGCTGTGAACAGTGTGGGAGCATGGCCAGTCTCAGCCAAAGCACAGAGGGTGCGGGACGAGTGGTAGAGGAAGGAGCGCCCAGAGGCCAAAGATGAAATGCAGATCAACGCCCTAGCAAGTGTAGAAAGCGCACGAATGCCAGCCCGATCGATGCCCACGACGAAAGGTGAAGCCCCGGCACCGAGGCCATTATTTGTCAAAAGAGGCTCGTCAAAAGGACTCATGAAGGTCATCATGAAGGCACTGAGAGTGTAGAGGGTGAAAAGGAGAAGGCTTGAAAGTCGTGTTGACCGGAGGATGCTTGAGGGTGTCTCCGAATCGCGGCGCTCGGCTCTCTGCACGATCAGTTCTGGGATGAAGGAGAAAGCAATCACTATGTAAAGAAGGCACTGGAGGAAGCCCAGGGCGCGGCCCCCATGTCCGGAAACCAGGTATTCACTCAATGGACCAGGCTCATGCCAATAACGAAAACCTCGGATTGATGTGCCGGGCATACCACGAATCGCCATGTAGATGGAGACAATTATGAAACCAATAGTGGTAAAAAGTTTCAAGCCGGTGAATAAGATCTCGCTTCGCATGAATTCTCGTTCCGGAAGCATGTTGAAAAGGAAGATTGCAAGGGTGACTGCTGTGACCCTTACGGCAACCGAGGGTGCTGGATCCCATTGACCAAGGCTGACCATCGCGGTGGTGACTTCGAAAGGTACCAGTAAGGCCAGCGAATACCACCGCAGATATGCTAGGGCGAATCCGAGGTGGCCTGAACTGTACTGATACCCATGTGTAATCATGGTGCCAAAGGTACGAGGCTGATGAGCTGCCACTTCAGCCACGGCGGTCGCCAGGCAGTACATCAGAATGGAAATGAAGACATATGAGCCAACGAGTGCTGCTGGACCACCGACGGCCAGCGCTTGGCCGGCACCGATGAAAAGGCCGGTCCCAAGAGTGGGAATGATCATGGTCGGCAGTGTAATGAATGATTAAGGATGGGTCAAAGGAATGAGTTGGAGGAGTGGCTATGCTGGTAAAGACTGGAAGGAGGGGAAAGGATGTGTAAAGGAGGAAAGTTGAAGAAGAGAAGATCTGGAAGAGGTGGGAGATGGGTTTTGAGTCTTTCGAGAGAAAGGCGTTTGGTTCCTTCCTCGTTCAGTGCAAAGATCCAGGCCATGCCTCTTCTACCAGGCAGGTACCTAGTAGTAAGGTATACTCCAGTTCCTACCTAGATTGTGACTGAGGGGAAGAGAAAGAAAGTATTTATAGTAGTTGAGACTCTACTCAACTAGAAAGCGCATTGTTAAAAAGGCAAGGGAGATATTAGCGATGTATGGGTATTATGTTGCACCAGAGTATCAGAGCAGGAGAGACCAGATATTAAGCAGATGTAGAGCAATGGTCTATGCCACCCCTTTCCCTCCAAAATGTGATCCATTTAAAAACGCCATCCGAAGAGGGAACTTGAAAGACGGAACTTGGAGAACAGAAGAGAACATGGGGCCTAGTAACACCACAGATGACAGGCAAGACAACCGCAACGCAGTTACTAGTATAAGTTAATGCCTTACTGCACTCTCATAAGCCAGATCAACCTCGATTCTCAAGCTGAGATACAATTCACTGAGTAGTCATATCAGTCTCTGCATACTCGAGCCATTGCCCTGAAAGAGACTTTTTCCAGAAGCGCACGGCACCATCGTCGCCAGAAGAAATGAGGCAATCACCTATAAAACATTCGACTCGGTTACGCCTTTGCGTTGGACTGTTGAACCAGGAAGGAGAGGAGTACTTACCGGCGTATGAAAAGCCCACTTGCCACACATCAAGGTGTTTGCTATCAATGCATGCGACTTCCCTGTACGAATGTTTGAAATTAGAATCGTCAGTCGCCGCGCGATCGGATAGAGAGGCGGGAGCATGATTCGCCAGCGCCGATCCAATTCCTGACTGGGCCTGCGTGCGCACTGAGAGTGACTGCGAGGCCGACCGAGAATGACTGCCATTTTGCTTCTTGGTCTTGGTGTCGGAGGGGGATGTGTAAACCTCAAAAACCCTGATGAACCCGTCTTTGCAGCCGCTCGCAATGAGATCGTATCCGCGAACCGAGCCATTAGCCCAGGAAATGTCTCGGACCAGACCCCCATGGCCACTCAATTCGACCGCATGGTAGAAGCGACGATTGGCATCAGTACGGTACACTTTGACACTGTCCATAGCAGCCACCACGAGGGACAGGCTTTTTCTGTCCCAGGAAGGCGAAACTGAATGAGTGATATCCGTGGGATCATGATGAAACTGGACCCTGAAGCTCGTTTCCTCGCCTCTCTGGGGCGCACTACAGACACGGAATTGGTCCAAGGGCTGCCAATCGGCAAGGGTATCCGGGCTGACCGGCTCCATAACCATGAGATATCCGTCACGCGTGATCACTGCGAGCCACGATTCAAGATCGATATTGCGAAAGTCAATGGAGACGAACGGGTGGCGCTGCGGCGCCGTCATGCGAAATATGGACCTGAAACGCCGGCCCGAGTTGAGAGGCTGCGTAACATCTTCTTGCCATATCTTGCATTTCATATCTTCGCCCACGCTGCCGATGTGCTGGCCAGTAAAAGGGCCATTCCAAGTCGCCTAGACAGCCGATAGTCAACACCGAGTAACCGAGAGTTTCCGTGGTCAGTTTTAGATAGCTTACATCGCGGATCTCCGCGTCATGGGCGCGCCATGTATCTACTAGTCGCCATTCTCCATCTTTCTGATCCCAGACCTTCATGCGATGGTCGGTTGAGGCTGTTAGGATGCGATTGCCATAGAAATTGAACTTTGTCACTGATACCAAGTCACGATGACCGGCATCGAAGTCCGCGAAACCTGACATGGATGTGGTATGCGAACTCGGAAAGCCACCTCCAATTAGATGGGCGAAGCGACCAGCCTCACAGCCACCGCCCTTGACACAGAAGGAGACACGTCGACAGTGGATTGGGATGAGGAGCTCAGGCTTGGGTGAGTTGATGCTGATGCTTTTGGCCTACCCATGCACTTCCAATTGTTCCCCTTCTCTAATCGTAACGGACGAGACAAGCATGTGAAGCACTGATGGTTTGTTAGGATTGCTGGTTTGTCACTTCAGTCATCCATTCATTGATTACCTAACTTCTACTTTTGTTGTTAACTAACTTATCCGATGCATGCCCGCCCCGATCACCGACCCGCTCAGACCGCTTACCCTAACACAAAAGGCGGTGTGTTAAGGCCGGCAGTACGGAGTGCGTCGTACGCTTTTCTCCACCATTCACTAATGCCACCTAGCCTCTCCTCACGCTCCTTTATACATGTGGGAAACTGATCCCTTTTTTCATTACTTGGGGATGTGAAGCCTCTGTGCTGTACTGTGACACTGCGCGCAATGAGTTCAGCCAAGTCAAGCTCCCTCTCCTACCGGGAGGCCTGGCGCCTCTTCCTGTTGGTGGGAGCATGCGTCGGTATTCTGTCAAATACATTTCAGGGCGAGGGTGCACCCTTGATCGCGTCTATCGCCTTCAGTGGCATTGCGTTCGCGGTGACATTCAGTATGATTCGTTGGCTTGGGCCGACATTTCTCAAAGCAGGGCTGAAAGGAAAGGACATGGCCAAACCTCAGAGGCCCGAAATGTATGTGCTCCTATTTCGTCGATCACGGTATAGTGGTTACGATGTGCCATTGATCAAAACCGTAACCATTAACATGTTTACGGCTCAGACCAGAAACCATGGGCGCTGTTTGCTCTATAGTGTACCTCCTTGCGCTCATATTCTTCATTCCCTTCGCCTTCTACAAAGACATCGTGGCTGCCACCTCGGGAGGAGGTAACCGTGATGTTCTCGTTGAAGTACAGCACGTGGAGCATGGCCGTATGCTACATCGGTTTCCTCATGGAAAGGTGTGCGACTCTTGATAGCAGCCATTGAGATTTGTAAGCTGATATGCAAACCTATAGCTTGCCTCGTACCTCTCCGGACTGCTTTCGCTTCAATGCATTGTTATTCTTGGAATCGGCGACGATCTGCTCGATATTCGATGGCGGCATAAAGTTCTGATTCCCGCATTCGGTGCGATTCCAATGCTCATAGTCTACTTCGTGGATTTTGGTGTTACGCATGTGGTTGTGCCCGTTCCTCTGCAGCCATATTTGGGATCCTTCATTGATCTCGGCTGGCTATATTACGTATACATGGCCGCCGTGGCCATTTTTTGTCCGAACTCAATCAACATGTTGGCAGGGGTCAACGGAGTGGAAGTTGCTCAGTCGCTTGTGATAGCAGTTCTGCTCATTGCGAACGATGTACTATACCTGGCGCCGATGACACCGTACCCCCACCCTGCGACTGACTCGCATCTGTTCTCGCTGTACTTCCTTCTGCCCTTTGTTGGAGTCTCCTTGGCTCTGCTATGCCACAATTGGTATCCCTCCGCGGTCTTTGTCGGAGACACCTACTGCTATTTCGCAGGCATGGTTTTTGCTGTCGTCGGTATCCTCGGTCACTTCAGCAAGACTCTGCTCCTTCTATTCATCCCCCAGATCTTTAACTTCGTGTACTCCACCCCACAGCTGTTCCATTTGATTCCGTGTCCACGCCATCGCTTGCCTCAATTCAATTCCAAGACCGGACTGTTGGATGCTTCCGTGACGGAATGGACGGTGCCGCCTTCACCACTGATAGCTGCCGCTCTGGAGTTCTTGCATAAGCTGCGCTTGGTTCGCGTCACTAGAAACGAGAGTGGTCGAATCGTGCAATCCACGAACCTTACCATTCTCAACCTGTGGCTTGTCTGGATGGGACCTATGAGAGAAGACCGGCTAGCATTGAGCATGGTTGGCCTGCAGACCGTGTGCGGACTTTTAGGGCTTTTTGTGCGACACAGATTAGCTCTACTTGTTTTTCGCGAGGATAATAGAGCCTTCGCTCATGTATGAAGGCTTTGGGGATAGCCGCAATTATAGATAACTTAGAGGTTTTAGATAGTCTACCAGTAGTTGACTACGTAACTACCTCAAAAATGTAGAAGATTGGTAATAGAATCCTCCAGACTAAGCCGTGACCCACTACATGGATCGACCCAGGATTCCAGCTGGCCGGACGCCCGACGGGACCTAAGACGGCACTAACACTAGCCTTTTCCTTCTCAGGAACACCGTTCATGACGTGGATTCAAGGGATATGATCACAGGGAACTATACTACTCCATACTAGGGTGTACTTGAACAAAGGGTCCTCCTAACATGTGGTCTCCGGGATTGATTTTTCAGTCCCAATTGCTCCGAGCGGAATGATGTGAATATTCAATGGAGTCATACTTGAATGAATCATTGCCTGCTCCGTAGTTACTCCGTAGGTAGTTTCAAATCAGACTCGATCGATTAGTCATACTCCGGCTCTAAGCGACCCCGCCACCGACATCGGACTCCACTGCCCCCAGAAAATTCAGCTCTGGCCAATCGGCAAAGGACCATTGAGTGCTGACCACCGAGACCGGCGTTGCCCCTCGAAGAGCGGCGGTGCGACATCGCGCGTACGCCGCCGTTAAAACCATCTCTTGCCTTCGCTTCTCCTCTACACAACCACTGAAATCATCCTCATATTTGCCAGCTCTCTCTATTTCATTGTCTTCGTCTAGCTGCAAATTATTCTCCTGTCTTTGTTCCTCGCTCCTGAACTCCGCAATTTTCTGCCCCTCATGCCCGGCATCGACAAGAAGCCCAAGACTTTGTATGACAAGGTCTTGGACCACCACATTGTCAACGAGCAGGAAGATGGCACTCTCCTGATCTATATTGATAGACACCTCGTTCACGAAGTGACGTCCCCACAGGCCTTCGAGGGTCTCGAGAACACCGGTCGTCAAGTCCGCCGGCCGGACTGCACCCTGGTGACTGTTGACCACGTACGCGATTCTGTTCCCTGCATACATGATGAGGGCGAGAATAAGAACTGACTCCGATCGCAACTGGCAGAATATCCCCACCTCCTCGCGAAAAAACTTCAAGAACGTCGAAGAGTTCATCCAAGAAAACGACTCCCGTCTCCAAGTGACCACCCTCGAAGAAAATGTAAAGAAGTTCGGTCTCACCTACTTCGGCATGGGCGACAAGCGTCAGGGTATCGTGCACATCATTGGGCCCGAGCAGGGTTTCACTCTGCCCGGCACCACCGTCGTCTGCGGTGACAGCCACACTTCCACCCACGGTGCCTTTGGATCCCTTGCCTTCGGTATCGGTACCAGTGAAGTCGAGCACGTCCTCGCCACACAGACCCTCATTACCCGCCGTAGCAAAAACATGCGCATCCAGGTCGACGGGGAGCTCCCCGCGGGCGTCACTAGCAAGGACGTCGTTCTTCACATCATCGGTCTCATCGGTACTGCCGGAGGCACCGGTGCCGTCATCGAATTCTGCGGTTCCGTCATCCGCGGCCTGAGCATGGAAGCCCGTATGTCCATGTGCAACATGTCCATTGAGGGCGGTGCTCGTGCTGGCATGATCGCCCCCGACGAGGTCACCTTCGAGTACCTTAAGGGACGCCCTCTGGCGCCCAAGTACGATAGCGCCGAGTGGAAGAAGGCCGTCAGCTTCTGGAAGAGTCTGGCCTCCGACGAGGGTGCCCACTACGACAAGACCATCCTCATCGACGGCAAGGACATCATCCCCACCATTTCCTGGGGAACCTCCCCCCAGGACGTGATTCCCATCACCGGTGTTGTGCCCAGCCCCGATGATTTCCAAGACGATGCCCGCAAGCTGGCCTGCAAGCGCGCCCTCGAGTACATGGGATTGACCTCCGGGACTCCCATGAAGGACATTGCTGTCGACAAGGTCTTCATCGGATCCTGCACCAACGCCCGTATCGAGGACCTCCGCGCTGCCGCTAAGGTCGTCCGCGGCAAGAAGATCGCCGCCAACGTCAAGCGCGCCATGGTCGTCCCCGGCTCCGGTCTGGTCAAGCAGCAGGCTGAGTCCGAGGGTCTCGACAAGATCTTCGTCGATGCCGGCTTCGAATGGCGCGAGGCCGGTTGCTCCATGTGTCTGGGCATGAACCCTGACATCCTCTCGCCGCAGGAGCGCTGCGCTAGTACCTCCAACCGCAACTTCGAGGGTCGCCAGGGCGCTGGCGGCCGCACGCACTTGATGTCGCCCGCTATGGCTGCCGCTGCCGCCATCGTGGGTAAGCTAGCCGACGTGCGCGAGCACCTGGTCTCCAGCCCCGTCCTCAGCAAGGCGCACACTGCTGTCAACGTCGAGGAGCAGCAACAGCAGCACCATGAGGACCCCATCAGCGAAGGCGAGCAGGACCGCATCAACGACCAACCCGCGGACAACGAGCCCCACACCAACACCTCCGCTCGCGGTAGCTCCGCATCCGCCGGCCTCCCCAAATTCACTACCCTCAAGGGCATTGCCGCCCCGATGGACCGGTCCAACGTCGACACGGATGCCATCATCCCCAAGCAGTTCCTCAAAACCATCAAGCGCACGGGCCTGGGCAGCGCGCTGTTCTACGAGCTCCGCTACAAGGATGGCTCCGAGATCCCCTCCTTCGTCCTGAACCAGGAGCCCTACCGCAACGCCAAGATCCTGGTGGTCACCGGGCCCAACTTCGGCTGCGGTAGCTCCCGCGAGCACGCCCCTTGGGCTTTGCTGGACTTCGGCATCAAGTGCGTCATCGCTCCTTCCTTCGCCGACATCTTCTTCAACAACACCTTCAAGAACGGCATGCTCCCCGTCGTCATCTCCGACGAGGCGGCCCTGGCCAAGATTGCCGCCGAGGCCACCGCCGGCCGCGAGATCGAGGTCGACCTTGTCAGCCAGCAGGTCAAGGACGCCCAGGGTACCGTCTTGGCCAGCTTTGACGTCGACGCCTTCCGCCGCCACTGCCTGATCAACGGCCTCGACGACATCGGCCTCACCTTGCAGATGGAGGATAAGATCAAGGCCTTTGAGGCCCAGCGCTCCCTCGAGACCCCCTGGCTCGACGGCAGCGGCTACCTCAAGCGCGGCAAGCGTGTCGGCGGTGGCTCCACCATGATCCAAGCCGCCCCCGTTCCCAAGACGAATCGTGGGGATGTCAAGGGTGAGCCTCTGGAGTGGTAAGCAAGGCCTTTTTCTGAAGGCCTTTCTTTCCTTTCGGTTAGAACTCTTCTCTGCTTTTTGGGTTTTTCTCTTTATCCTCATCTCTGGCCTGCTTCTTTTCGGATACACGTTCTTGTCACGACAATACCATAATGCAGCTTTCTTGTTTTCCTGTGCTTACAACACACTTTCTCCGCCCTCCCAGGGGGTCGGAGGGGGGTTTCTGGGCTTCTCGGTTTTTTTTTTTCTCTTCTCGGCTTGCCTCAAAAGTACAGCTTTTCGGGCTTATGTGGTGGTACCGGTTTGGTACATAGGGATAATGGGAGGGAAAGGAATAGACAGGAAATAAATAATTCTGAGACTCAATGAGAATCACTTCAGAAAACTCCTTTGTCATGTGTAGCACGGTAGCACCGAAGAACCGTTCACAAAGCCTTATAACATGGAGACTGTAGAGAGGGGAGATCGCCAAACCCAACTCTGCAGAAGGCCCCACATCAAGACATACTCATCAATCCAGCCAAAAGAAAGAACAAAAACAATCCTTTTAGTGATTTCGACTGAGAAGTCATTAACCCATTGAGCTAATCTCTATACGTACTAGCTCTTATGCCATCCACACCCCTTCCCCATTCCAATATGAACATCATCATCTGGACGTCAGAAGATTCAGGGCCATGAAGGAAAATAATATTATTCCCTAACAAGGCGTAGCAGAAATAGTGTCCAACAACAAACCATTCAAATTTCGCAGGAAGTAAACAGCAAAGTAAGAACAGACCCAAATTTACCAAGCAAATCATTAAATAGGCCCTCCCATACCGACAACAACACCAAGAACATTAAAATATAGCAAGCGCAACAATGCAATGCGTACAATCATGCAAAAACAAAAACTACCAAAGATGCATTCTCCTGTTCATGGCTAGTAAATCAATGAGCGTAACGACATCTAGAAGGGGTCATAACCATAGTAAACATTGTGCATCCAAAGCAAGCATTGACATCGTGTAATGAATGTGGGGAATCACGTATGAGGGCTATATATACGTCGACCGGGTGGTGGAGGTTCGTGGAGGCGGAAGTTTGGACTCGACACCAGTCGACCTTGAGTGGAATGTTCGAACGTGTCAAGTCCTAAGGAAGGATGGGAGAAGAGGGAGAACAATAATGTACAAACCGGGTAGTAGGGTGTGCGGCGGCAAGGGCGGGCAAAAGGGTGAAATGGAGGTCGGGATAGATGCAATGACTCAGAAATTATCTCCAAATGTCATTTTTCTGTTCACGCAACCATGTTTCTGTCACTATTAAAGAGAGACAGTCACTCCATCTCGGTGATAGCAGCGAAAGCGCTCCATCTGCGAAAATGGGGCTTAGGGCTTCGTAAGCTGCTCCTTTCGGAAGAACATAAGGTATCCAGCACTAGACTTCGATTAGCGATTATCTATATCACACCGTGGATATTGGTCATACCAAATGAGAAGCTGGAAAAACAGCGCAATCCAGAACCAGGCATTGGCGATCGAACTGACCCCCGCGGTGATGTCTGGCGATATCGGCCCTGGACCAATCTTGTTGGGACCGAAAGCTCTGGCACAAATCGTGGCAATGGAACCCAGCACCTGAGATGCAAGAAGTGTGAAGCAGATATGCATTCTCGTCATGGTCTGCAACAAGATCATTCCAAAACCTAATCCTTGCAGGGAATCCAGGACTCCAAGCCACAACCACACACTGCGCGACACAAGAGCGCCGCTGGTGTAGCTACCGGCCCAGGGAAGGAATAACCCTATACCAGAGACACCCCACCATATCTGCGCCCAGCGTGGTGCTCCCAGGCCGCAAGCAAAGACTGGAAGGATCCAGCTATGAATTCTTGAGAGATAACCGAATAAGAAGAGCAGGCCGGCCCAGACAAATCCGAAGAACACCACGCAGAGCACTCCGACTTCCCAAGGCTTAGCGTGGGCAGAACTCCAGAGGACTGCAGAGAGTTAGTGTGTGTACGAAGGTTCCAGTTAGGCTCACTCACAACTCCAATTGCGTCCGTAGGGTGCACTGAGGAAGAAGTTGGACACAATCACAACCACAAAGTTCCAGAGAATGATCTTGCGCCGGAACACAGACTGATAGAAAGAAGGCACTTTACCCGGAGTCTGGTGGTAATAGCTTGGAAGACCGAAGAAGAGCAGTAAACCAATGACCCAGAGAAAGGCAGCGATCGGTAGACAGATGGCCCTGGAGCTGTGTTAGCATTCCTCGATCAACATATGTATCGTGGAGACATACGTCATCTTCCAAGTGTTCGTGATATCACCCTGGACATTTGTAGCGCCGCTCTCTACAGCTTGAGAGATGGCCGTACCCCAGTACCATAGTCCAATGATATAGGCCTGTTGACACCCTTGAATCAAACACGCACGGAATACCCACTCCTTGACTGGTGCGCCGTTCTCATCACCGAAATTGAGTGCGAAAAACAGCGAACCACTAGCCGAAGCCGCAGCGTACACGCCCGCGCCAACATTCTGAATCCAACCACGAGCGAATGCATCCTTCTCAAAATGTGCCACTCCGATGATGACAAAAGAGAGACCATACAGCAGCCAAGGGAGAGACAGAACGAACACTGACTTGAATGACCGGAAGAAGAACCACCAGACGATGGAAGCAACAAGGTAAACAGTCGCAATGCCATAGAGTTTCTCTGCCGTCTCACCCACTTCACCTGTCAACAGCGTGATTTGATATGAGTTGGCAGCGATAATCTGGCCGAGACCTAGGAAGAAAGAGTATAGCGGCCAATCACCGATTCGGATTTGCATCCACTTTCGAAGACCAGACGGGGGAACATAATCACTTCCTAGAAGAAACTCATCTTTCTCCCTACGCTCGGGGCTTCTGCTTTCCTGCGAACCCATTTCATCGGCCGTGACTGAGCTCATGGGTGTGTTATTGTCCATTTTTGCGTGGAAGACAGACGAGGCAGGTGATTGGTTGCGGCCAAGTCTGGCATCTCTAAACCTGTCAAACCACTTCTTCTCACTCTTCATGAGGTACTCCTCAATGCAGAGCTGGGACTCAGAGTTAGACCCATTCAGCTTCTCCAGCCTCTTCTCAAATGTCTTGTAGTATTCGCCAGTACTGTCAGTGAAAAATGGATCGACTTTCTGCAATTTGTAGTCCTTCTTCTCTCCGATGATGGTGTCAACGGAAAGGACAGAGGCACTACTAAGTCTGTTTCCAGGCTCGTTGGCATATTGCCTCACAGGAGATACGACAGCTTCCTCGGGCTCCGGACTCCCTGGACTGGTTGTAGTCAACATGGGCCGAGGTGGAAGCGAGCTCTGACTGGATTGGCTGCGACTGAAGAAGTCCCTGGGCGCTGTTTGTCGTGACAACTCCAGCTGAGGGGTCGCATCGTTTCTGCGTCCTTCTTCTGCTTGTTCAGGCGTGAGTGTATATTCTTCTTCACCATAGTAGCTGGGGATGAAGTCGTCATCACTACTTTCCTCCGTGTTCGAATTGTTGGCGGGATCTTCATGGCCCATGCTTCTTCGCAAACGACGACGACCACGACGAACGAGGTGACCAGGCCCAGACCGTACACCAAGCGACAGCTGTCTGCTGAGTCCTGATTTGGGCTTCTCGTTCGCGCCTGGGCTCGGGTCCCGACTGTATACGATTGTGTTTCGTTGCTGCGGTCCGTAAGCACTCAAGCGATTGATATTCGAATAGCTTCCCTCGCGCGAATGAGTAAGTGGAGGGGTTTGAACTCCACTTGGCGTGAGGTGTCCGGAAGAGGCAATAGTAGGCGTCATAAGCCCACTTGGAGTGTTATACCCAGACGGCGTCAATGGCTGGCTGTTCGACTTGATCTGGCCTTTGCTATGAATGCGGATGGCAGTTGACTGGAGAATCTCCAAATCCTCAACCCACTGTGCAACAGGGAATCGTTGTTTCGCAGACCGCGCACGCATTTTTGCCCGGACTTGAGGTTTCGAGTTCAATGCACTTGCGATGGCGAGCTTGAATTGATGCAATAGGTGAGATGTTGTTGTGGACTCAATGTTATACCACCAACCGGGCATTTGACCGAGGCCTCCAACACGAGCTCCAATGCCCAGAGCCCCTTTGCGGCCGAACTCAACCGCGACAAGCCCAAAAGGTTCATCGCGAGACGGAATCAATGCAAACTCAGCACCCGAGAAAATGTAGGGTGGAAGTGCGGTGAACTCAGGTTTAGAAAAAACTCGTCCGGGGTAAACCTTCATCATTTGATCGAGCTTCAGTGCGGCGAATTTACCATAGAGGTCAATCACCGGTCCAACACAGATCAGTTGAACGTTAGGACGTGCTTCCAAGACAGCAGGCATCACATCTGCGATGAGGTCTACTCCTTTTTGCATGGACCAACGGCCAACGAAGACCAAGAGATCTGCATTTGGATTCTGCTCCAAGCCTGCCCATTCCTGTGCCTGCCGTTTCAACTCGCCTCTACTTGCCTCGTAGAGAGGATCCACCTCGATCTCGCTGTCTTTGGGGAGTTCTTTGTTCCAAGCACCCGTATCAGAAGGGTCAGGATTCGGCAGGTTACCAACCTTCTTCAAACCCCAAAAGATTGGATAACGTGCATATGACCGTTTTCCGTACTTGCGAGAAACACCAACGGCGCCGAAACCTTGTTGGTGAACACGAAGATAACTCGCGCCAGCGTGAAGCATATTGAAGACCTCGCCAAATTGGACGTAACGACGTGCAGTATTGATATCGAGGTTAAAAACCGAGCAGACTTCATCTCTCTCTTTCTGTGTGCGCATTGGCCAAAGTCCCTGGAACTCGGCATTGTGAAGCGAGAGACAGACTGGGACAGTTTGTGGGAGAAGATAAAGAGGAGCAACTGAGCCATGATAGTCGTTGATGTGATATAGATCAATGCGGAATCGCTTGATGGCTTCAGCAATACACTGATTCCAAGCAGAGTAATAAATTGCGCTGTCCAAGTCGTCCATACGGGCAGGATATGGCTCTGCCTTCGATTGCTGGCGGAAAACTGGCGCATCGAGCAGAACATATGTAATGTTTTTGATCACATGGTATTGGACCTTGACTTCGTACGAGTTTCCCAGCACCGTCACAAACATTGGGTCTGCTGGCTGATCAACGGGGTAGTCAACACCACCAACACATGGCACAACCCAAATCAAGTTCTGCTGACCGAGATGCTTTCCCATGAGCTGAGCCATGACTCCAAGGCCGCCGATCTTGATCTTAATGCCCCAATCCTCAATGTCATATTCCATGGTCGCAATCAACGTGGTTCGCGTACGCGAGGCGGCGGCGCCGAAGGCAGACGTGCTTTGCAGAAATCCAGACTTATTCGCAAAACGAATGAGAGGATTCGACGATTGGCCAGCTCGCGAGGCCATATTGCCGAAAACCATACCCAGGAATGACTTCTTTTCCATCACTCCGACTTGGTTGAATTTAACTTGGTAGAACGATTTCATGAAGGCATAAACCACAGCAATGGCAGTCAGGATTGGAACCACCCAAAGAATGATATAGATGATCAGTTGAGCGATTCGTGACCCCGTGGGCACTAAGTTGATCTTCATAGTGCCGTCATCAACCTTAACATTCCAGACCAAGTAAGGCGACGGAGGGATATCGGTGATATTAACAGACAACTTGGCCAGGGAGGAAGGGGGCATTCGATCCAAGACTCCATCGCCATCAACATCACCGAACACGAAAGTTTCGTCGGGCTTTCCATCGGGGTTCATGCCCCAGACGTTGAATTGACCCTGAGCTGGATACTCGGCAATGACTCGGAAGTTCCAGAAGCCATCACTGTCCTGCTTTGCGACGTTGTTCAAGCCTGCATCGTATCCATACTGATTATAAGGCCCGTTGAAGAAAAGGTGCGGGAAGCGTCGTGCAGGTCCGTTCCAGTCATAGTCACCTTCTTGTACGTAGTCGCTGCTGCCAGTCAATTGGCTCCAATATTCAACCCTGACATGCTTTCCTTGCCACTTTTGTTTGTCCGTACCAGACCAAGGCAGCTCATCAATGGTAGTGTTACCTCCAGTATAGTTCATCCATGTAGAAAAGGAACTACCCCAGTTCGTTGAATACCGCCATTTGTTGGCACCTGCTGCCTTGTGCTGAACGTAGAGAGTTCCGTTCTCATTTCCATGCACGAGATCATTCGTGTAGTTAGCAGAAGTGAAGACCATCGGATTGTCACTCTGACCGACACGGAAAAGAAAGTGATCAGTTGATTGGGTGGATTTGCTACCGGAACTGGTAGCATTCTTCACGGTCAAGCGATGAACACCATTGTACACGCCAGTCAGCTTTGCTGACCAAGACCAAGCACTGGGAAGCTGAGCAACATATTGAGTGTCATTTACAGCCATGTTGCTGCAATCGACGCTGTCTTTGTCGATTGATGGAGTCTTGCCAGATTCAGTTTGCGATGTGAACGAAATAGCCTTCGTGACAGCATCGCAGTCCATCGCTGTTGAGAACTCAATGCTCACATTGATATCCTCAGACTCACCTGCGGATACCGTAGAGAGCAAGGGGGCGTCGTGTCCAGGCGTGAATTTGGTGATCATGGGACGAGGACCAACGAACTGGGCCTTTGGAACATAAGCTCTAAACTCATAAGGCTTCAAGGTGATGCTGTCTAAGCATCCATTGAGCTCTTTTGAACCGTTCAGGTGCAAAGCCTTCGGACCAGACTTCAAAGTATGTTCGTCGAACGGATAAAAGAGATTTTTGACCGTCGTCTTGGTCGTGAACGGCGAAATCAAGGCGCTGGCATTGCTACCGCAGTCGAACTTATACTCAACAGTCTTGTTGTCATTCTGGTACACAAGCCAAACTGGCATGTTACCACCCTCATCACCCAGATTCTGCAAGCTCGAAACTCGATCTCTCAGGATCGACCACATCCCCGTCTCCGTAGCCGTGCCATATGATCCTGGGTAAACAATATCCCGTGTCTGCTTGGAGAGAGTTTGCAGGGAGTAGCCATCATTGAGGATAGGAAATTCTTGTCGTAACTGATACATATGCTTGATGATATTGTGAACAGGGTGAGAGGGGTCGCGGTGATCATATGCCACCTTTGGGTCGTGGCAGCCCTGTCGGCCTTGTTCAATCGGCCAGTCATAATACTGGGTTGCATCAAGAGCCCAGCAGCCGTGGGTTCTCCAAGCCGTGGCAGGTGACATGGCTTGACGTCCATAGACATAGTTGTCCGCAGTGGCATCCAAGATGTAGAATGCCTGCTCTTCTCCCCACAGCAGCAGCGGAATCCCTGGCATTTGCAATGTCGTGATGAATAGACCCAGAAGATTTCGTTCCACTCCGTATTGGATTGCCGGCCAACGGAAGACGTCCTGGTTGGTTGTGCCGTACATGTGTCTGGGATCGAATTTGCCAGTTTCGGCGTTGATCAAATCATTGCTCTGCACCATGATGTTCCAGGAGTCGACCCAGTCTAGAGGCGTATCGTAACCGGCGGCAAGGTTGCCGCTCATCCCCAAAAATCTCGTGAGTGTACGGTACACCGAATAATGAAAGGCCGCACCGTCAAGAGCTTGGAGGTCATTCCCCCGAAGGAAGTACTGCTGATCTGATTTGTTTGTCATGGCCATCGCATCCAGGGCCGATTTGGGATACTGGTTCGGTTGTCTTCCTCTTCCTAGATAGATTGAGCCAAAGTTGTTACCACCAGTGATCTCACCGGGCAGGAAGAAGTTGTTCTTGCCAACACTGCGCGCACACTCTCGGTAGTGACTCGATATATCTCCGAGAGCATCCACAGTGGACTGGGTTGCCTTGTCGTAACGAAAACCGTCAATATCAAGAGCCTTGATAATGTTACAAGAATGGACTTTGATCCTCTCCCTGACGCTAGGATGCCATTCACGCAGGCGGTCCTGAACGGACGCGAATTTGGCAAGCTCACGCTGCCAATCAGGGTATACACCAAAGGCCTCTATGTCACCATATTGGTCAAAATCACTGTTATAACATCCCACAAGCTGATCACGGACATCCTGGTCTACCGGCAAACCGGTCTCGTTCCAGAAGCGAGGATAATCACAAGTAGCATTGTAGTCATTTCCAGGGCGGAAGTCCACATATTGACGTTCTGATTTCCAGACGCTCTTGTGTTCCTTCACGGAAAACGGTGTGGTAACATTCAAATAATTCTCGAAACCAATCAAATCACCCAGACTAATCTCGTCAGTCCGTTCCTGCTTGATGCACTGTCCGAGAGAGGGTCGTGTCACTTACGTCGCGATAGTGTTGTCGAAGAGGACATACATTCCTCGCTTGTGTATCTCATCGATGGCGTTTCTCCAGGTTTGAATGGTACCGAAATGTTGATCGAGGAGTGTAGTATCAAGAGCCGAATAACCGTCTGAGCCCCATGGCTGATTCATCAAAATTGTACCCGCGAGATAGATACCCTGGGTTGCACAGTCAGTCTTCTCTTGTACCTCGCAGTATAAAAGACGGATCGATCATGTGCTAGTCGTAGGTTTCGAACCTTGATGCCCAGCCCTTGTAGGTAGTCCAACGTGTCCACTAAGCCAGCTGCGTCACCACCGTGGCGCATTTGAGTCGAATCCAGGTCATGCTCAAAGACAGTTCCATTTATATTATCGTTAGTGGGGTCACCGTTGACCCACCGGTCGATGAAGAGTGTGTAGAAAGGAAACCGCCAGTTTGTTGGGGAAGGTGTATACTTGTGACCTGCCCACGATGGTGCAGTATACTCGGCGGGATCGGTCGTATTCTTGTTCACGTTCAAGTTGTAGTCAACCAAGGATTCCTCATAGGGCCAGCCTGAGGCTGTGACTGCGAGCAATGCTGCCACACAGCCCGAAAACCCCCACTTCATCGTCGACGGTTGTTCGAAAAAACCGTGTCTCTTCTATTTCCTTTATAAACTCGACATATGTTCGGAGGATGAACAAGTCTTGTAGGAAGGAGAATATTGGGACAGCTGCTCGGGTCCAGGAAATCTCGTGGCAAGAGGGAAAGTCTGGTCAAAAGTATCGTAGCCTGACTGCTTCCCTCTTTATGTTATTGAGAATCTATCCAAGATTAACAACCGCGAATGAGAATTGATAGATAAACAGGGAGGGGTGGCAGAGGAACCCACAATAGCTGCAGCTGCTGTGGCGGCAACGCAAGAATAGAACAAGAATATCAGTGGGAAAAAATTAGACACAAGAGAAAAGAAGAGAGCAATATGCCCGAGTATATGTCCGAGCTCTTGCAGGAAGAATAGATGTCCCAAGAGGATTTGTGAGAGGAAGCATGATCGAAAATGATATATAGCCGGTGCAGCCAGCCAGCCAGCGAGATGTGGAAGCAATATAGTCTGATCGAGGAAAAAGAAACGAAGATCACTACCCACCAGATGCAAGTATCTAGCTGCTGCGGCTGATTCTCAGCAAGCAAGCAGCAGTCAGCTAGCCAGATCGGCGGACATTTGGAGAGACATTGCGGTGACCTGGTGGTGCTGTGAGAGTTCAGGCCCAATTTCCGAGACCAACCACCAGAATGGCCATGATAGCTGGAGAGTCACATTATTCGTCATCAAAGACGATTGAGTGCAGGAAGCCATTGGCTTTGATGGGAAGTTGGGGGTGGGGGGTGAGAGTTAGTGAGTTAGTAGTGTCGTGGAGGAGTGATTTGGAGATACGAAGCGAGGACAATAGCAGTTTCAACCAAGCTCTGTGTTTCTGTCTGGCTGTAAGTACCGATAGGTATTGGAAGGGGTACAGTAACTAGAGAGTGTTAAATGGTAAGCTAGGTAGGTACTTAGTAGTACGGAGCTCCGTAGTTCATGGTAGTTTAGATTGAGTGTGCAGTAAGTTGAAAGTACAATTGCATACAGAAGTTGTATATGGGACCATTGGGGGAGGGGGGACCAGTACTGTAATGGTACCAAACGGGCTGTTACCGGGTTCATACCTTGCCTTTTTGGGAGTACAGAGAGAGGGACTTGACGGGACTCAAGTGGAGCGGAAGCGCAAAGACCACTAGCGCGCCATCGAGGCAGGGCGATCATCTTCCACCGGCACCTACAGTACCCACTACCTTAGAGTACGAACTACGAAGTCGCATGTTAAACTAACTTCTGCCAGATACACCAAAAGAGAATCCCAGAAACCCGGTATCCCTCTCTGATATATCAGATACTTTGTCCCGGCTTGTTTCGACTCGGCCTCCACTGGTCCCCAACTCTCTTGTAATGGACCTCGTTCCCACTGCCCTCGGACCCAGTCATGCATACCGATCTTTCTTCGGTGTGTATCCTTTGAGGACAATCCCATGCAAGATATACGCACGATTTGATAGTGTCTTTGATAGCACATGCCACCGGAATTCACCCCAATACGTCCATCGGCTATCTGAGCCCGGGCTTTTGGCCATGATAAGCTCAGGACTTCTTTTACCAAAGTGTCAAAATATCTACATCTGCCTTGATTGCCGTAGTCGAGCATAACGATGCCTGCTGCTGCTTCAGCGCACACGCGTCCATGAACCTCCGTAGACAGTTCACCGTTCTGTTCCCGACTTCGAACTTCGGAGACCAAGCTAAGAGGATACAAGTCAAGTCGGATAACGTTTCACGAAGCAGTTGAGAAATCAAGAAGGGGCGAAAAGCGACAACAACAAATGCGGTATATTTCAAAAAGGTACAATAGACACATACTTACACACTCTTGTCAAGCTGAGTGGGGGATATCGACCCTTCGCTACGATTAAACTTCAATAAATGCTGTCCGCGCGGCAAATCCTATCAGCAACAGCGACGTATCCACGCACCATTCCGTCATTGCGAGAAGGGATTACTACCTGGCTGGCCAATGGCGACTGTAAGAAGCCTCCGAATATCATATCATAATCCAAGGCAGTGTTGAGAGTTTGTTATCAAGGATCTTTGATATTTTAGCCGTGCTGATTCGGGTATTCCGCAAGCTATGGTGGGGGGAGGGAGGCAAAACTATCGTCTTTGGCAAGCGAGAATGAGGTACTGTACACTCCTGGGAAAGCCACCGTGCATAATGCCATGATCCATGCTGGTACAATCACTGCTCATCGGTGCTCCCGGAAGGGTCGGGAGTAAAGAGACATAACCTGCCTTTGTGATACACCTGGGGTAACTGCTGTGTGTGCAAACCTCGGCTCAAACATCAGTCCCGATGCTAAAGAGGTGTATCTTTTCTAGAATCAGATGGTCTTGTTTAATGTCTAGAGGTAGGCCCATGTCAAGAAGCTCAGCCTCCACTGTCTGCAAGCAAGTGCTGAAAGTGGAACGTTGGCAGTGGAAGATCATGGAGATCATAGACAGGAAAAAGCAACTACTTTTAGAGCGGAAAGGGATGCATTTCCATGCAGGAAACTTACAAGAGAGAGCGGAAACAAGAAACTGGGCGGTTTGTGTCACATTACATGGTCAATACATATATAGTACACCCATCGACGGAATCAATCAAGTACTATATACACCACAATGAACAATCGCATTGTCCCTTGCTTATTGACTGATGAGAGACGCATCAAGATAGTTGACTGCTATCAATTCGACTATAAAATGAGAGGCAATTAATCTTCTACATATGGTGATAGTCGGGAAAGAAATCATATCCCCGCGAGGAGACTCAGCGACGGAGAGTCTCTCAGGCACGGGCCAAGGATTGGCTGCCCCTCAAGCTATCTGATAGTCAGTCAGTAACTAGTAGGTAGTATGCGCGAGCCGATCCTTGTCGGGGAGAGGTGATTTATCACGAATCGGAAAGCCTCTCGTTATGCTCGGCGGGCGTTGAGTCTACTTCGCGATCTTATAAGTTGCAAATTGCGAAATCGACAAGGACAGGCCAGCAAATCGAAGATACTTATATACAATGTGCAACGACGGCTCTACCGGTTTGAGAACAAACCCCTCTGAGTACCAGTCAAGGCCTTAGGTTGTTTCAGGATAGATATGAATTTCTGTGTGACTCAGGAACAGGGAAACTCAATTGCAAGCGGAGGCAAAAACTTTCCAAGTTTTCATCACGTTGGAAGGGTGCTTTAATAACAATTTATAGACTGGCCAAGCAGTGTATTTGGGTTCCTGAGCCAAGGGCGGGCGGAGATGTCGGTATCCAACTATTGTAATAAGACACGGTACAAAAGAAGTCGGAGGATTTTGATATTGGCTTGTCTTCACATCATCCGGCACACGCATTTTTCCTTTTTCGTCTTGTTCTTCTTTCGACAAAACTGGCCCGCCCCCTTGCTTTCAAGTCGTTGGTTGCCTGCCTAATCCGCGACGTTGGGACAACTGTCAAATCATAATGACATGTATTATGCACGGACACCAGCTCTAGCCCGAACCTCAACCGCCCTGCCCTCACACTTCAATACTCCGGTGAATGTGTCCAGTATCGATCGGACTAGAATATATCCTTGATGACAGCCTTAGATAGGTAGTACTATCTGAGCACAAATCAACCCTGGGAAATGGATTTCACAGACATAAACTGAGCCAAATAGCTAGATACATGCGATAATTTCTGCACACCGCGACTTCGAGATACGATCAGTCCTAAAGTGAATGGACATATGGGCTTCAGAGCCTCAGCTACCGTTGGTCCAAGCATCCAGCTCCGATCAACGCGGCTCGAGTCGTCTATTGCAGGTTCTCATTGGCTGCATAACGCCATTTCATGCATCTGGAAAAGAGCGCCATTTTAGACCGCTTGTCAACACTCTCTCAAATGATAGGGACAATATAGATGGCGTTGGCCCAGTAGCCACTGTGTCCCCTTCCTTCCTTTTACACGAACCATGATCAGCAATGTATTCGGTTCATCTGATTCATGTCAGTCTTTTGGTAATTTAAGCCCTGTTTGACCTTGCATAAGAAGCATTTCCTTTTTGAGCCTTTGCTCTTCTCTCTCTTTTTTTTTTAAGCTCCCATATCATTTTATCGGAGGACCAGAAGATTGGAGTCATCGTGATTCGTACTAGCACGGGCCCCATGAATATACAGCTCATATCGCGCGTCAAGTCCGATTCTACTCGAAACCCATGGCGAGATATTCGCAGACCTACCTCCTACACGAACCCAGCGACATTTCTCAGCTGTGCTGGTAGACAAATCGGAGCTTTTGTATCTCTTAATTGGATAAGAACAACTGGTCTCCAGCCTTATTGAGGAAGCACTAGGAAAGTGCAAGAGTCCCTGCTTTATCTCATTTAGCTTAACGTTAAGTACGCTAACACTTGTCTCGAGCTGGCTGTCGACATCGAAGTATTTTGTGATGTACTCTACTTGGTACTTGAAATGACAGTGATATCTTACCGGGGAGAGCCAGCAGGGATGTCAGCAAGAGCAAGGTATCTCGTCAAAGCCTAGGCTGCCACTGTCAGGGTTTTACTAATCGAAAGAGCGCTTGAACCTTAAAGTCGTACTTGGGAATCACATACCATAAGACAGCAAAGTGCAGCGGCGATCAAGGAGCCGGTTACGACCACTACAGGGTGGCAGCCCAATCGCTGGTCGATATCAGAACTTCCGAATTGGGGTTTCATCTCAACGGTTTGATATGCGGTGTGACCAATGCTTATCAATAATCAATGCATCTCAAGAGTCAAATTGCTCAGTACGCATTCGGTGTTGCTGTGAGATGCACAATCGCATTGCACCACAGGTAGGGAGGCGGAGAACTATTTAGCAAAATTCGCCGCTACAGTGCCGCTCCCGTGTGATATCAAGGTTGCATTGGCGAGCCAGGCTTACTAAACTTGAGATGAAAGGGCGTGCAGGTGTCGGGTTTGTCTCATAGGCACATGGTTGGGGGAGGTGGAGTCTCAACATTACGTATCATATGCATTGCTGCTGTAGGCTCGCCGGGCCTAGCAGGTTAACCCAGTGCAACTTGCATTGGAGTAAGCCTATATATCACTTTCGGGCGGTTTTACCGGCAGGATACCTGGCTTAGCTAGCGATGCATGTTGCTGCGAACCTCTATTTGACGGAAAGATCAAGCGCGCTGGCCGAAGAAGTGGCAAAGAGAGGAGATTTGATATACGATGGTGGAAAGGTGATTGGCAGCGTCTCGAAAATGCGCACGCATTGAGTCATTGCTACCGCTAGCATTTCATTAGAATTCTAAGAGAGGGCTGACCTTGTACCAATCTGCTTCTCCGGGCTGTTGTGACTAGTGGCGGGTTTCTAGGTGGAGCAGGCCTTGATCTGCTCGAGGTCTTTGGACGTTCTACTTCTCTATCTGCACGACACAAAGGGGCTAAACATCCATCAGTGATCAAAATCCCCGCTTTGGGGTTATTGCAGTTGGCCCTGGATCAAGATGCCGGGCGTCTGAGGCTTGTAGCCCAGGTCATTAACGGAGTTGTTGGTCATTTCGTACATCAAAGATGAGATTAGCAACAGAATGGTTCGAACGCACTCTCGAAACTTCACAGGGAACATCCTCGGAATAGATAACGCCTTGCATATTAATCCGGTCTAGCTGGGTGCTAGCAAGTGAAATAGAGATTATAATTCAGATTGATACCCAAGTGACAGGGTACACATGAAAGTTATGTTCCGGAGAGAAACATGTCCCCACTGCCGAAAGAGATCTGAGGAAGTTCGAATTGAAGTACTTGCCGAGTAACTCATCCGGGGTGTTGAGTCCACCCGATGCTTCAGCCAATGGATTAGTCATTTGCCTGACCACAAACCCAGGGGAATCACGACCTAAATGATCGCTTTGCACAATATCTGGGCTTGCAAACAGTTTCCCGGGGGGGGGGTTTAGTTGAGTAACTGTGGCTGAAAGCACGGAAATGTCCGTATATTTCTGAGAACACTGCAGCAATTTGTGGAGCGTTGCCCCAAGGCATGGAATATGAAACCTTTTCCTTTCCTGGAAACGAAGATATTGTATCGGGGTTGTCTTATCTCAGCAAAAAACGCAGATTGCCAATAATAGTATAGCATGATGGATGATGCTCGAAGTGTTCTTACTTGACAAGTACGAGTAAGCATTCGACACTTGGGTTGTTCTCAATTCAAAGATATATCTAGTGGAGCAGGGGGGCAGTCTGTGGAGTAAAAAAGACCTGATCTAGACTGGTGGTTTCAAGAAGAAACCAGACAGAGAACACAGCAAAGCAGGTGGGAAACCAGATGCAATATGCCAAAAAAACTTCTCAGAGGTCTAGAATACTGTCTCATCAAGGGAAGATATGTGATTGCATGACTTAGTTGAATCGTGTGTACTACCGACATGAACGATTCGCGCTGTAGCTTGTTGATTTATCGAGCATACCCAGAAATTCAGGTACAGAACCATGAAAGACACAGTTTGGCAAGCATAAGAAGAGACTGAAATGATTTGAGCAAGTAGGGATGCCCATATAACCACACAATAAGTATTATGAGTATGCTGTCTCCGTCCCGTGTAGTCCTGCCTGGCTGATAATCGAGATCTCGGGCGATAGCCAAGGCTTCGTCTGCGATAAGAGCAGACTGGACCAGGCCAAAGGTACTGCCAATTGGAGATAGATTGTCTTCAACAAGCCAAGAGTATTGAGATAGTGCCCATTTTTATCGTCGCCTTTGCTGCCACTGCTGCTTCTGCTGCTACAATCATGATTGTCGCTTGTAACATGAGCTGTCAGTCTACTGATTCTGCCCTTTGGCTACTGTCACTTATCCGGTGATGCGCTGGAGGTTAGTAAGCTCAGGTGTACCTAAACGGCGCTCCCAATGCCACTGATCTGAGGGTTTACTTCAGCTTCGAAGAGTGAAGCTTGCGCCAGGGGTTGCAGTGTTAATTGCTAGGCTGCCAGAGCGATGGGCTTCGATTAGTCCGAGGCGGTGGGAAATTGCGTCTTTCCAAGATATCATTATAGAATTCAACGATTAAAGCACAATTTGACCGGAATATGTCAAGTACTTATTCTTTAGGCCCTGATGATGCAGGCTTTCCTATGACCTCTGAGTGCTTCGAGTGTATAGAGTTAGTTAAAGGTGTCGAAGTAAATAGATGGTGTTGGTACTGGTTGCTCATCATTCTATACATCACCTGTAAACACATCATAGGAAGCTGTCGTCTTCCTCAGTATTTCACTTGTTCCACATAAGAGAATCATCTTCGAATACCAAGCTATGGCCAATACCCTTAGCGAACCACCAGATCATCTTTGGCCATGGTCACCAAGTCGCGAGGACGTATTATGAGCAGGGAAGACGGGGGAAGAAATAGTCGAGATCGACTAGGAGTTGTCAAAACGCGAAGGATGCATGACCGAGCAGCAAATGCTAGTCCGTCTCTTTCAAGAAGATAGCAGTGGAAAGGCTTGCAGTCTGTGTATATATTTGATGCATTGAGGGAGATCTTCTTCGCAGTCATCATAGAGTATTTGTTACTACTAGATACTATTGCTGATCACGGTCTCTCAGTACTAGTTATAAATATAGCAGTGAACCTGACTATACCGCTTTCTGCAATCGACTCACCGCCTTATGCCTTACCAGCCTTAGGCTCCTCTGGGCTCGGGAGACTTTCTTATCGGGATTTGATGATCACAATCAGTGATCGATAAGTTGATCTTCCCGACAAAGACGTAAGTGACAATAGTTACTCTAAATGATCGAGCAGCAAGATGAAATGCCGTCTACACAGACACTTCTTCAGTGATGAGGGGTTGAAGTCGGTCATATAACCCCTTTCAGCGGTCTGCATCTCTCCACCTTGCTCGGAGTAGACAACTTAGAAGAGTATGAGGACGATTGGGCCGCCTTGCTTCTCAAGTTATTAACCTCTTGAGAGCAAGAGTAAAAAAAAAAAAAAAAAAAAAAAAAAAAAAAAAAAAAAAGGAAAAAAAAGGAAAAAAGGCTCCGAATCGGTGGTGGAGGCGGGGAGCACGTATCGGGGGGGTAAAGGTCAGCTCCGAAGTCCGGACCCCTTGAGTGGTGATATTATCTAATACCCGCCCGGCGAATTACACTCTCAATCCCCCACCTTTCCCTCGGGGTGAAGCGATTGAACTGCCCGCTGAGTTCGGACTTTCTTGCTTCTTTCTCTTCTTCCCCTACTTCTTCTGTTTCGCTCTTTCTCCCCCTCCCCTCCCTCTCGCTTTCCCACAATTTCTCCATCTTTTCCACACCCTCCCTTCTCTGCGTGGCTCGGGGTTTGTTAGGCCCTCTCTCTTGGTGTAGCACCACCTCTTTCTGTCTCACTATACGCGGTCTGGATCCCCGGCGGAAACCAGATAGGCAACTTAAACCACCTATTTGCCGAACGGCGTACAGGAACGGTTACTCTTTGCTTTGCGGTCACCCTACTTGCGTGGGACACTTGGAATATCTCAGTTTGTCTTGTAAGTCGATTTATATGATAATTTCCATCCTTTCCGTTTTGTCCCATGGCCGTTCCAGGTTACCCTTCCGAATTGCGGAACGGGTTGTTGTGCCGCAACATCATTCTGACTGGAGACACTTTCCTTCACATAGGTAAACCTGCACCATGCATATTAAAGAGAAGCTTTCTCAAAATGAGGCTGCTGGGAGACCGGGAATCTCCTTCGAGTTCTTCCCACCTAAAACAGCCCAGGGTGTCCAGAATCTTTACGATAGAATGGATCGCATGCACGCCCTAGGTCCTTCTTTCATAGACATCACTTGGGGAGCAGGAGGTCGCTTGTCGGACCTTACTTGCGAAATGGTCAACGTTGCACAGTCTGTGTACGGCTTGGAAACTTGTATGCACTTGACATGTACCGATATGCCCGTCGAGAAGGTAGACGCTGCGCTCCAGGCAGCTTACAAGGCCGGCTGCACCAATATCCTCGCTCTCCGTGGAGATCCTCCGCGTGAGAAGGAAAACTGGGAAGCTACCGATGGTGGATTCCGCTATGCCAAGGACCTGGTAAAGCACATCAGGGACAAGTATGGCAACCACTTTGACATCGGCGTTGGAGGGTACCCGGAAGGGGCGGACGACAACCCGGACGTTGATCTCTTGATTGATCACCTCAAGGAGAAGGTTGACGCGGGTGCTTCGTTTGTCATCACACAGATGTTCTACGATACGGACAACTTCATTGACTGGGTAAAGAAATGCCGAGACAGAGGCATTGCCGTGCCCATCATACCCGGTATAATGCCCATTCAGACGTATGCTGCATTTATCAGACGATCGGAATGGACAAAAACTCGAATTCCACCGGAGTGGCTTGAGGCCCTGGAACCCGTTAAGAACGATGACGCTGCTGTCAGAAACATCGGTAAACGCCTGGTCGCAGATATGTGCAGAAGGCTCCTCAAAAGCGGTCTCAACCACCTTCATTTGTGAGTTAACCTTCATGCCCATACTAGTTTTGAATGCCACTCACTGTCGCTGCCAGTTACACGATGAATCTCGCACAGTCAACGCAACTGGTTCTCGAAGACCTTGGCCTTCTGCCGTCTGAGGAGACACCGCTCCAGAGAGCCTTGCCTTGGCGGCCTTCGCTCGGTCTCAATCGCAGAGGGGAAGACGTTCGTCCCATCTTTTGGCGAAACCGCAACTCTTCTTACATTGCTCGTACGCAGACTTGGGATGAATTCCCCAACGGTCGTTGGACTGATTCCCGGTCGCCTGCCTTCGGCGAATTGGACAGCTACGGTATCGGTCTCAAGGGTACAAATGAGCAAAACATCAAGCTCTGGGGGCAGCCAAAGTCTTTGCGGGACGTCACTCATATTTTTGTCGACTATCTGGAAGGCAGATTGGCGCGACTACCTTGGAGCGACAGTCCAATCACCGCCGAAGCCAACGCTATCAAGGATGATTTGATTGAGCTAAACAAGAAGGGTATCTTCACCATTAACTCGCAACCGGCCGTGAATGGTGTGAAATCCTCTCATCCGGTACACGGCTGGGGCCCCAAGAACGGTTATGTCTATCAAAAGGCATACTTGGAGCTCCTGATTCCTTCTTACTTACTTGATGACTTGATCGACCGCATTGAACAGAACACCTATCTCACCTACCATGCTGCCTCCAAGAATGGAACCCTGCGCACCAATACTAATGATAGTCCCAACGCCTTGACATGGGGTATCTTCGCGGGACGAGAGATTGTCCAGCCCACCATTGTGGAGACGATCAGTTTCTTGGCCTGGAAGGATGAGGCGTACCGTCTCGGTGAAGACTGGGCCAAATGCCACGATGCTTCCAGCCCCAGCAGAAAGCTGATCCAGAGCATTGTGGATGATTGGTGTCTCGTTAATATCGGTAAGTACATTGCAATTGTCGTATGGACAGTACTAACATCTCCTTAATAGTGAACAATGATTTCCACAACACCAGCAGCCTCTTTGACTTGTTTAAGGATCTGAATGTAAAAGATCTCGACACCGAAATTGCGACCGAGGACGGTGAAATCAAGCCTCAGCAAAATGGCGTCTCGAACGGAGCCGCTGACGGCACCGTGATTGATGGAACCTCCACCGAGCTTCCTATCCTTAATTAGGAATTCCTACAACTCATATTTCATTGCCGCTTTCAACAGGCATCTCGACGGGCTCATCCCCGCAGTCTACGATCATGCTATGCACCTCTATATGCATATTCTTCAACCCGTCTCACGACTACTTAACTAATTTCAACACATGACGACTACAATTACACCTAATTCAACATCTCTTTATTCTCAACGATATACCCCCGCGGTCCTGAGTCAGAAACCTCAGGCCACAACAAGCAACTCAACGAAACGTTTAATGGCGGCATGAACCGAAGACCTCTCAACGATTTCTTCTCCGAGCGATTCTTATGATACTTCAACATGACAACTCATCTTTTCACTCACAAACATCTCATTATGTAACAAATACCCCTCGCATGGCATTTTTTTGCGTTCTGCACAACAACCACCCTTGCCTCGAGCATGGGACTTCAACGTCTTTCTCCTTTCATCTATTTTCATGATAGAGCTCGAAGCTTCTGGAAGACACAGTCTTCCTTTTTTGTCTACATTCCCTCTCATTCTGAGAGTGCCGTCAGGAACCGTATGGCTCTTGCGGCAAATTCAATCTTCTTGTTTACTCACAACGACGATCAAAATTCAACACGATAGGTAAGGTATAAACGTACGGACGGAGTTTGGTTCCAAACTTGGGGAAACAAAAGCGCATCCTTTTCAACATGGGATAAGGTCAAAAAATGGGACCATACAGATGGAGTTTAGTCAGAAATCGGATTTTCTTCATTACTCGCCGTTCTCGCTTTCCTGACCTTTTTTTTCCGCCTTTAATTTGCACCAATACACTGTCTCGGCCATTCTTCATTGAAATTATGCATTCTTGTTCTTTATCTCGTTCATCTGCCAATTTTCCTTTCAGGTGAGGGAAACCTTTTGGCTCACAAAAGATCCATATTGTCAATTTACACCTAGCGGTAATTGTGGTGACGGTGACTGATGGTGATGCTTAGCTCGGTCCACTTTGACCAAGGTTCACAGCCGGCTCACTGGCAATTCTAAAGAAAGTAAATCGGATCAAGACTTCCAGGTCCACCCCTCCGTTCTATCAGCCACGAGAAGAAAGGTTATGCATGTTTCCCTCTCTTATGGTCTGTAATCGAACATCAAGGAATTTTCTTCCAGCCTCATTCTGCGTAGACCGACAATTCATCCCTCTGTCCATGTCAGCGCAGATAATAGATGGAAGAAAATCATGAGATCGATTATGGAATAGGTGGCTGGGCTCGCCACGATTCGGGTAGCCTGAGGCATCGTAAAAGGGCAGCGAGCCAAGAGCGAGAGAGTCCTCTCTTAGAGTGAAACCGGCGGCGATATTTGGTCGAAGAAGAAGCAGGAGAAGGAAACCCAACGACGACCAACCACTACATAACTCGACCGATGCGACTAACAATTCAGAAACCCAGAGCAATGTGTTTACAGCATGAAAGAGTTTTGTTCGTATTCGCATAAGAATAGCCGCAGAACGAATGGGGGAGACCCCGTCCCTCCTTGGGTAAACCAAATCGACCGTGTCATCCATTTTCAATGGTGTGGGCAGTCTGTTATAGACAGAGCTGAAAAGAACCGCACAAAGGGACCAACCCGCCAAAAGTATAACATCGCCCGCGCTCTCGAAGAACCCCCACCATGACGCCTGAATACCGCGAAGAAGAACAAATGGTACAGTACAATGAGTCTCTCTCTCTCTCTCTCTCTCTCTCTATCCCCAACTGGGTTTCGTAGTGGTAGACGGCAATAACAGCTCCACAGTGTATATAGTACAAGCATGGATTAGACCAAAAGGATATCCACTAACACAACGACCGGCCTAATGCTCCAAAGAACCATGCAAACGGCTTTGCAAACCAGATCACCCACGTACTTACAAGTACCACGTACCCTGCGGCTCGGCCGATAATCATCATGAAAAAACCAAGGGTAACGACATAGAGTGCTGCCAGGCAATAGTCGATTAGTGAGCGAACGAGGTCCTTTTTAGACGGTTTGGGCCAGGCGCCGGTGGAATTGTACAAGGAGAGAAATGCTAGGAAATTTTTCAAGACTAAGAGACAATGCTCTATCATCATGAGGACGCTGTTGAAGGCAATGCGGACCAGCATCGCTTTATTATCTCGGTTCTCCATCACCTGACTGTAGAGGTGTTGAAGTTGTATCGCGGAGTGTATCATAGCGTCCTTAATCAGAGTCCACACAGTCGGATCGTCACTTGAGTTCTCCGTGTTCTCTGCCCGTTGCGTGCTGCTCTCGGATTGCTTCGCGGGGTCACCGAGGATATCAGCATTGAAGTCTGTGACATTGAATTGAAAGATTCCTTCTTCTCGAGGGGTTTCGTAGACTTGCTGCCCGTCCAATTCGGCCACTTCAAAGCCCCGAATTTCGCGAATTGAGGGTCTCTCCTCCGATCCGTCTCTACTGATTGAGTTCTGTGGAGAAATCTCGGAGCCGCAAGATACATTCCCAATATAAGGCGATATATCCGGCGCAGTTGACGAGCGCGCCACTTGAGCCACGCTCTCTTGTACTAATGATGGCTTTGGCTCAGGTGTGGGCTCAAAGACGCCTCGAGAAACCATGGGCGGTGTGTTTCCACTCCCAGGAGCCAGGCAAGGTGGGTGGTTTTGTGGAGGATTATTGCGCGGGAGACTGCTTGGGCCGTCTGCTGTAGCCTTTGACGCTCCGGAGGTACGGATGAACCCACGTATAGGTCTTGGCTTGTCCGACGTCCGTCGCTCGGCTTCTGTCCCCCGCGGTTTGACGGTGGGTATCTGTGTGGGTGATGTTGTCTTCGGCGATACCGATTTTGGAGATGTTGGTTTTGTTGAGGACGTCGTGCAAGTCGCGGATTGTTTCTCCCATGAATTTTGTGTCACACGTCGCAGGCCTGGCGTGGAAAGCCCTGACTGGGATTTCGTCCGTGTGCCTGTGATGATCTCCCCTGCGGATCGAGATGTGGCTTCCTGTGTGCTTGGGTTCTTTTGGGCATTGATCCTCAGGTCTGTCATGGAAACCATAGTGCGTGTGATAGTGGGTGTGATAATGAATACATCGTCGGACTTGCGGCTGGGCTTTGGATCGAAAGTCTTTGTCGTGGTGTTTGCCTGGGAAGCCCGATTCTCTTTCAGATGAGGTTTCGAAGGGATTTCCGCCTTCCCGGGTAGTGGACATGGGTTGTCTTTGCACATCGTCCTGGGTAACTGCTTCGAGCATTGGGCAGGATTCGAGCTCTGAGTACTTAAGTTTCGGTCTTGCTGATTGAACGTTCTTTCTTGAACTGCTGGTGTGAGAGCGTGCGTTGTTGATTTTCTTCCTTCTCTGGGAATCCTGGATTTGGGGCCTGGGATATCGATTACCCTGGGTCGTTCGTCTGTGGTTGAAAAAAGCAGTATCTCGTCCGGATTCTTGTCGTTCGGTCCATTGATCTCCTTGCATCCTAAAAAAGAGCCGTCAGGATTAGCTGCAAAGGGCGTGTTAGTCGATTGCCCAGGCGACTCTTCCCAAATCGTGCTGAAACGTGGCTTTCCAATCTCGTCGGGACTATAATAACGAGGCGGTTCAGCGGAGCTCTCACCATCGTTATTCTCATATGAAGGTGGCTCAGGGCCTGGTTCCTGGCCATCCATGCCAATCATCTTCTTCTCGCGCTGTTCGCTAGAGATGACTTTGTCCTCGGGTGTGGTGGTCCGGGGACTTGGGAGCGTGTCAGGGTCAAGCATCGTTCCACCCTCTTTATGGACCCTCTCGATGCTCTGCTGGAATTTGGAGATCTGCTGGGCGTTCAAGTGCAGTGGGTTTGGCTCTCTCGCTGACGGCATGTTGACAACAAATCGGTCTTCCCAGTCAGTCACAGAGCTCGCAGGCGCTGATATTGGGGAGATCGGATATGAGTGGTCGGATGAGTCGGTCGTGGCATCTGTTCTCTCTGAAGTTGGTGGCACCGTAGTTTCAGTAGTCGGCAAACTTGGCCCTCGTTCTCCGATATTGGGACGTTTTCTCTGGCCAACGACATGGCTAGTCTCGGCTCCCCACGTGTTTAGTGCTAGGGCAGGTCGACTGTCAAGGTGTAGGTTTGGAGCATCTTTCCGTAAGCCGACAGGTCGGGCATGCGACTTGTCGTCCCGGGGTACACCTCCCGTTAACCTCAGCTTGTAACTCGCGATTTCTTGCCTTGGCGAAGTAGCTAATGACACGATCTTGCGGTACGCTTCTTGATAGTATTCCTTGTGCTTTTCCTTGCTGCGCAACGGTGCCGGAATCTCCCTCTCGAATTTATCTCGAACTTTTCGCCAGTATTGATCGCCTCCCTTCACAGTGTCCTTAGGCAAGACCAGTGATAAGGCTCCGAGAGATCTTTTAGGGCGGAGGATTCGATCAGAATCTTGTTCTTTGTAGCCAGTTGGTTCGTGTTCTTTGTAGCTGGGTACTGGAAATCGAGATTTGCCATTGCCATTCGCCTTGTCGACAGGCGATTTGGGGACTGGAAGTTTAGTAGGTTTGGCTCGTCTTGCCGCAGGGTCGGTCACGGTTTTTGGTTCTTCAGTCTTTGGAGGTGGAGATTGTTCGGTTCGTCGAGCTGAGAGCCCTTTGCCTTGTACCGGGGGTTTCACTGCGTCGTGGGGTCTTGTGCGCTTGCCACGGGCGTTTCGAAGTTGCAGCATATTATTGCTGGTCGGTAGGTGAAGAGAGTGTTCCATCTTCGACCACTGCTAATAACAGGGACGGCGGCAGCTTCAGGCTGCAACGATAACAATACATCGACCCATTCCCTCTAAGATGATACTGATGTTGGCGGTTGTTGCTGGCGTCGGGTTGGAAAGGTGGTGTGTGTTCAGGTGTACGGCGTCTTGAACGGAAGTGAAGCTCGACGGGGCCGAGCGGACATGATGCGAGAAAGGCTGGGGAAACCACTACTTGACGCGTTCTGCTGAGGAAATCCTAAGGGATAACAGGGCATAACGATATGGTTGGAATGTTGGAGGGCCAAGGCTCGCCTCCCTGAAGAATGTTGTGCACATATGCACATATGAGGGGGGCTGACCAATGCGGAATGCGCAACTCAGGACTTTCTGATACCACTTGGCATGGAAGCCGCACACAGTTCCCTGATCACCTTCAGAAGCCGAAAAGTAATTGAGAGTATTGACGAGACTCAAAAGACACGAAACACGTCAAGTGCGATGGGATAAACATTCAACATCTGGGGACAAGTAATGGTGATCCTGTCCCATCGAATTGACAGCAAGCCCGAGTAAAACCGTTTTCACAATTGCGGAAGATAAGGAATCATATTGTACAGTGGCTGGTTATAGGGACTTCCTCCATTCCAGGAAATGACTGGAAATCGTCAACGCCATGTGGGAAAGATTGACCCAGGAAACAAGGAAAATATCACGACCGAAACCAGATGAACACACTGAACGCCGAACCTAATGCTTGCGAAATGAAGGGAAAGGGGCAGCACAATTGTGATTCGACGAAAACTGCTGATATATATAGTGTACAAAGAATACTCTTTGCTGCCAACCGGGGCATGTGATGGTCAAGAATTTTTCAAATTGTTACAACAGAAAATGAGTTGTTTCACGTCGTGCGCCAACCTGACTCCGTCTGGGACCTGGTGTGGCTGGACTTTCGTCCCCAGGAATATTGCTCCGTTTGAGTGGACTGGACTGTCTCTTCATTGCGCTTGTACCACGCTCCTTGTAGAAGAAGTCTCCATTATTCTGGAGTCGACGATCCAAATTCGCCGACACGGACTTTCGGAGAGGAGAATTGGCATGAGAGTAGACACCGAGGCTACCTCCATCGCCTGTGCTGGTAGGAGTTCGTCGAAATTGAGGCTGACGGATCGATGCAACTGGGTTGCGGACAACGGGAGAGGCATCACGTAGATGACTAGGGGTTTGTAGGGCATTTGAGCGATACGTAGGTCCACTAGGTGTAGCGACTGCGGATCTCTGTCCCGACGAGATTCCTTCCGGGTCGATATGTTTAATGTAGTTAGGATTTGGACTGGTCTTGAATTCTCGATTAATGACAAAGGTTGGCGTGAATGTGTCAACCTTGTTGTGCTTGACATCAGCATCGGACTCAGAGAATTGAGTTCCAACATCCCTCATTAGAGGTTGAGTCCGAGGATGCACGAATTTGGTGTCATATTCACGGAGAACTTCCTTGTGAACCAGCATAGAGTCCTTCGCTTGCTGAGTGTAGGATGAGGACAGGAATGTCATCTGCACAGAAAGCAGGGCTGCCAGGAAGAGAGTGGTCACGATAGTCACGCTTGGGCGGGGATCGGACACATGGGTAGGTAAGAAGAGCCAATAGACTAGGACATGGCCAGGGCTAAACAGGCAGAAGAGACGAATGCAAAGAGGGAATGGATCCCAAACAGCGAGCTCCCAGACATCACGTTGAGCATCTGGGTGCGCTCTCGATTGCGCCGATCCAGAAACTGCGTCGGCCAAATACCGCAAGGGGGATGCCGTTGTGGGGGTTGAGTCGACTCGCACTCGATGCGCGGATGGTGTTGCGGGGGCACGATCAATCGAGGCTTCGAACAGGCGGTAGAGGCGTTTTCGATAGAAGGTATAAAAGGCGTTGAATACAGACAATGTCGTAAGGAAGTGAACAACAAAGGAGACCTGAAGATGACCAAATAAGTATCACTGCTTAATTTGAGATGAACCAAAAGATAGCACGTACCAGCCAACTCAGCCAAGGTGTACTTTCATCGTCCCCAAAAACATCATCTATAGCTTGACTGCCTGCTGTTTGACTATTGGCGCGAGCGACAAGGAAAGCCAGATTCAGGATAATGCCAAGCGGCAATGCCCAGTCCTTCTCGAATTGATCCCAGTCATGGGTGTCAATCTCCTCAGAAAGCCACAAGAGAAAGTCCAGAGGGTTTAAGTAGGATGCGATGCGCTCTGCCAACGGTCGGCGGCGCACAAGCCGGGGCATGGTGGCGGGTGACAAGGCTCTTGTTTATACAGAACGCTGTTGGAGTAAAAGATCAACTGGACATATGTCCAGGAGAAGATAGCTGTAGAACAGCAAGTACTGAGAATACTGATCTTGGGGTGTAAATGATGGAGTTGAAGCCGCAAGTTTTCCTCACGATAGTAAACAACAATCAATGGCGGTCGATGCCCCCGCTTAGATAAGCAGCACCTGGGCTTAACTAACTTAGTATGACGACGTCCGATTGAACTTATCGTGTTCGAGTTTCAACGGGACCAGCTGTGCATCTCCTTGACCATTCCAGACCCAAGGTAGATCCGGCCTAACGTATCTGTCTTTCACTTTCTCGACCACACAGCAATATCATGGCGGCCGCGGCCGTCTCATACAAGGTTCTTCCCCCACACCCCGTCCGACACTCCTCTTTGTTGCTTGAATTGGCCCGCATACTGATCCCTCAACTACACGATAGGAACGGCAGTTTCTTGCTGTTATTGGCGATGAAGAGTAAACTTCCACCAGCTCCATGAATTCCCGGCTCATATCGACTGACTGGCTACAGCTCCGTAACTGGACTTCTGCTCGCGGGAATTGGTGTATGTATTATCTTCCTTGTCCGACGAACGTTAGTGGCATGGAACCAGCAGCTAATCTACTTGTGAAGCACGTTACAGATGGCCCCGATGCCCAGCGAAATTTCCTTGTTGTAGACTCGAAGACGGAGACTTCCGCTATTGAAAAAGCATTCCACAGCTTCACACAGGAGCGCCAGGACATCGCCGTCCTGCTCATCAACCAACATGTACGTTACCAACGGCGTGAAATTCACACCCACTCCTAAGGCTGGTGTTGAGTCATTGAATTCGATGATGCTGACAGATCCTCCTAGATCGCTGAGCGCATCCGTCACGCTGTCGATTCATACTCCGAAGCCTTTCCCGCCGTTCTCGAGATTCCAAGCAAGGATCATCCCTACGATCCGGAGAAAGACAGCGTGTTGAAGCGGGTGCGTCGACTTTTTGGAGAGTAAATCAGGAACGAGAGATTGTCTTGTTCTCTAGGAACATTCAATGAAGGACAAGATCTTCTATCGACCGTGCTGCATATGCTTCCGTGCCACCTGTTGTTTCTTGTCCTGGTCGCTCCCGCACGGTCATGACAAGTGAAAGTACTTAGGGCGGGAGAAAGATACCCATAATATCTGTTCATAGAATTATATTGCAATTGTCTGCCCTGCCAGAGCGCTGCTGATTTCTCAGACCTTGCGGATTGATTTGGTTCTGTATCCCAAGTAGTGCTGAAGCGCCATATAGACTCTAAGCAGGATGCCTCGGAAAAGGATTTCTGATACAATAGCAGACAAGGACTTCTCGTTCTTGATACACATGCTATTAGTACTATTGTGACATGGGAACCCAAAAGGGTCGGGTCGTGAAGAATATGATGGTATGATATGTCTCTGAGCAGATGCTCCAAAACGCCATACAGAACAAAAAATGGGCGCGAATTGCAAAGTAAAGATCGTGAAGCGTAAGTCCTAGCTATTGGGGCACTGGTCGACAACGGGCAGGCCTAGGCCAATTAAGTGGACAGAATAACGTGGCTTAGAAGAACAAGAGGGTCACAAGACAAACGGAAAGCTAGGACAACATGTAAGAATAGTCAGCAATGGAGCTCGCGGATAGCTAACATGTTCCACGGAGAATATGTTTCGTAGATGAAGTGTTGATCACACATGTTATTTAGAAGAGGGCGCCTCTCTTGAACTCAATATTATGTGCTTCAAGGCAGGTAATCCGCTCATCGTTCACTGACATAACATCGGCATGAACGGTGTACTTGCCCTATTCAACCGTAACTTGAATTAGTCTAATTTGCGGCAAACAAATTGTCTACGACAAGTCTAACGTACCGGGGGGATTTGACTGGGCAAATCAACCTGTTTTCTCAATGTCAGGTCACCCTTGTTCAGAGGACACTCAAGGTCAACGTTGGTGAGTTGATCGCAAAGATCGGCCCGCTGCTTGATCAGAGTGATCAGGCCGTATTTGACCTCAAGGAGGACGTAAGCACCCTTCTCCACCGGCTCTTTCAATGTGCCGCTGGCTTCGATGGTAAGTGTGTGGCCACTGAAGAGCGAATTAGCATTGTAGATCGCGGGGGAAACGAGCAGCTATGTCGCGATCCAACGTACGGTAGAGGAGGGTTAGGAGACAAGTCAACTTTCTTGATTTCGAGAACATCACTGGAAGGATTGGCGCAGTATTCTAGAGGGTTGTCGCCGTGAACGGGAATGCCATTGGCACTGATCGGAGACTGCGAGCCGAAGAAGTCGATTGACCGAGCAGTAACGGCGAAGGGAGCGGCGCCGAGGAGGACTGCAGCGGCAGTAGATAAGAACTTCATGATAGCGAGTCTCGAGGAGCAGTGATTTTGTTGCAAATACAGCAAAAGTGGGCGCGAGTTAGTGCTGGAACAGAGCGTGTGAGCTCAACTAGGGATATTTGATGTAGACTTTGTGGCAAGAGAGCTGATGTGAATGGGAATGATGAACGAGGAATTGGGAAGAAGGCGAGATGGAGGTCGAAGAGCGGTGTCATGGGACGTACCTGGGCTTGGCAGCCGCCGATGACGACGGCTGGAAAGGAATTCCACGTGATCGTTCCTGCGCCTTTCCCTTTCCCGTTACATGCATAGACAATTCCAATGTAGGTAAGGTATTACACGGAGTAACTTATTGGGATGTGTGAGCTGCCCTTCGCTTTGCGACATCTGACAGTGTCTCTTTGACTTTGAAAGTTCAAGTACGGTTCTAAGTATGGATTGCCACAGTATGGAGTCAAGGCAACCCCATCTGGGGCTATTGACCCACCATCGCCCCAGAGGCGCATTTGTCAACATGGCGCACTTCAACCCTTCTAAGGCTGGCGTCTAAGGCTGGCAAATCTCTACACAAACTTCAGCAGCCGCGAAACTACGAGTTCACTTATTCAGACCTCTGAATGCTGTCCATTATCTTGGTTGATCGTTATATGGCTATTTACGGTTTGCGAATCTACGTCAATGCTCAGAAACGAAGATTCCGGCCATTCCCATGCCCTGAAACATTCCGTCAATCAGTATTTGAAAGACTGATCAGATCTCTTATGGAATGGTGACTTACGGTTCCAACACACATCGATGTCACTGCAACTCTCTTATTCTGTCTGCGCAGCTCTGATAGAGCAGTAACGACCTGACGAGCTCCTGTGCAGCCTAAGGGATGACCGAAGGCACTGAAATTCACGTTAGCTACTAGCAAGTGAAAATCCCAACTCAGGTACTTACATGGCGCCACCACGAGGGTTGACCTTGGCCTCATCAAGGCCTAGCTTCTGTACACAATACGTTCCCTAGATTCTAATTAGTCATCTCTTGGGCTCGCTAAAGAGGAGCTGCCGTACCATAGATGCAAATGCCTCATTGATCTCGAAGATATCAATTTCCTCCTTGGAGAGGCCAAACTTCGAAAGAATCTTGGGAATAGCAATGGACGGACCGATGCCCATAATTCTGGGCTCCAGGCCTGCAACGGTCGCGCCGCAGAATTTGGCCAAGATGGGTTGCCCGAGTTCTTGGGCGCGAGAGCGCTTCATAAGAATCAAACCTGCGGCACCATCGGTGATCTGGCTGGCGTTTCCACCTGTGGTAGCGCTAGGTTTCCATTGAGGAAAGGCAGAGCGGATTTTGCCGAGCGACTCCGCTGTCGTTCCATAACGAATCCCATCATCGCGATCCACAATGATGTCCTTTACCTCACCGGTCTTAGGGTCCTTGATCTGAGTCTTGACGGGAACAATCTCATCATCAAACCACCCCGACTTCTGAGCGTGCTCGGCTTTCTGATAGCTCTTAGCCGCAAATTGATCGTGTTGATCACGAGAGATGTTGAATTGGGCGGCAACGTTCTCTGATGTTTGACCCATGGGCTGGGCATTCTGAGAGGCAATGGGGTGCGAAGTAACTTGGGAAGACATCTCCGGCGCGCCTCCATCGGCATTGGTGCTCATGCTCTCCGCTCCGACCGCAATGCCGACGTCGATGGAACCAGCGATGATCTGGTTGGCAATGTTCTGAATGGCCAACAAGCCCGAGGAACAGAATCGGTTTGCGACTGATGCAGCCGCGGTCACAGGAAATCCTGCAGCCAATACTGCTGAGCGTGCAACGTAGGCTGAACCGGGGCACAGAACGTTTCCGACACAGACATCTTCGACAAGGCTGGGGTCCAAGTTGGATTTTTCGCGAATGGACTAATGAGTGCAGATGTTAGTAGTGTGCAAGCAGTACATCCAGAAACAGACAACATACTGTGAGCAATGAGATCAAAAGGTTATCAAGTGTAGTGTCTTTGAGGCCACCCTTTCTGGCCTTGGTAAGAGGAGTTCTAGTGGCAAATGTGATCACCTAAAGATCTCGTAAGTCAGCCTCGTTCAAAGTCAGGATCGCAGTGTTGCATGGGAAAATCATACGATATCATCAGGGTTTTGGGCCAAAAGCTTCTGCTTTGCAGATGCAGCGCCAGGGCCGGCGAGCTGGCTTGCGATCGAGGATAACCGTTGTTGAGGCGAAGACATTGTACTAGATCTATGTCTTTCTTCTTTCGGTAGGCGTAAGAAAGGGCCGAGTAAAGAGCAAAGAAGTAACAGGAACTAAACAAGAAGATTTAACTCGAGCCCTTCCTGCTGTTTTATTAAGCTGAGGCGAACGGCAGCAGCATTGACGATCAACCGCGGCTTGAGGAAACCAGATGCAGAAAAGCAACCGAGCCGAGATCGGGTCAGGGAGTTGGAACCAGTCTTGTAATGCCGATCGAGCGGGTCTTACTATGTATCCACCAGGTCCTCTTCGTGATACCCTCTCCGCCAACCTTTTACGTGCGGATGGAGTTTGGTCTATGAGCGATCATGGATAGGCCGGATGGCCACTGAGGCAGTTGTTCAGTTCAGGTTCAAGCCGAGGGTACGTAAGTTTCAACTACTATCAGTGGTGGTTGCTGCAAACTGGGGTTCCTGTACAAGTGAACTGTAGCGGAGATGGAAATATTGGTAAGATACGGTAAGGCCCGGCGGCCTCGGCTCAATCGGTTGTCGGCCCCTCCGCATTTTGGCTGCTCTCCGGATCCCCCATTCTCTCTCTACTCCCCACGTTCGCTGCTGTCAGTTGCGGAACCATGTTTATCTTCGTCATACCACATCCATACCATATCCTCCAGATTCAGACTCGGGACTCATTATGGCAGTTGTTGATGATGAACTGGGGTAACGTTGGCAATGGCCGGATCACACTGTGCAGTTCATGGTTGATCACCAAACTGCCACCGACAGAATGATCTGAAGCCTGACATATGGTTCATATGCAGAAACTCTCGCTACTTGTCTTACTGCGGCCAGTTGGATATTGTCATGGCTCACCATGACTCCATAGAGTCCATGCAGACAGTTATTATATTATCAACTCATCCCCCAATATCTGCAACAGGCGTAACAGTGGGGGTTAACTACTTAGTCGAGCCTCTATTGTTAGCCTGCATGCATACGTATTACCGGTTCGTGTCAGGAAAGCTGCTTAACTAACCACAGGACGGCAGTTCCTAGCAATCTGTCTCCCGACACCAGATTCCGAACTTTTTATAGCCCCATTCTGATACATACCTATAACTGTTCATTACCCCGGATCTTGACGACTGGATGCAATCTCCTCCAGTCATTCGAAATCAGTGTGATTTAGTATCTAGTTCTTAGAGCTGTGAATGTCAGCTTTCGACTTTGGCGTCATAACCACACTTACGAAAAGCTGGGATTCGACACAGCCAGCATGGAGCTCTTCTCAGAGATCGGCGGCTCTTCTCTTGCTATAGCATCCGCCCTTTCCGTAGCGGCGGGCGCATACCTGAATGCCAGATACTCAATTGCCAGTGATATCTCGGCGCTCTATAAAGATAGATCATGGACAAACCGTCTGGGTCAACGCATTGCGCAGCTGGGTGACACTGCTACCATCTACAAGATGCTCGAACGCCTCGTTGAAGTAGAAGGTCATGGGGCAGACGAGGCACTCTGGTTTGAGCACAAAACATGGACGTATGCTCAATTGAAGAACTGTATGTTATTCGAAACATTGTCACCCGATTCCAGCTGCTTGACTGACCTTTATGTCTCAGTGGTCGATAGATTTACTGCTCTTCTTCATGCCAGAAATGTAGGTCCAGGGGACTTTGTCGGCGTTTTCACAACCAATTCCCCAGAGATGGTCGTGACCATCTACGCACTCTCGAAACTCGGAGCTGTTGCTGCTCTCATCAACACCAACCTTCGCGGTAAGGATACGTGACAATACCACGTGATAGAAGTCATGACTGATGCAACTTTGGATAGACGATACTTTCACTCACTGCCTCAGTGTGTCCGGCAGCAAATTCATTATCTCAACACCAGACTTGTCGCAATATGTCTGTTCAGACTTGCCACATGTCGCCTTCAATCTTACTTCCTTCGAGGGAGTGTCCCCTGGTACAGTAGAACTTATCACATATGCAGACTTGCAGCAATTCTCAGCCCTAGGCTTGCCTGCTGCTAAGAGGTCGCCCAGTGACCTAAGCACACTTATCTACACCTCGGGCACTACGGGCAAGCCAAAAGCTTGTGCCATTCGCAATATGATGGCTCTAATCACGTCCAATCCGCACACGGTCGACATCAACAACCGCTCCAAGTACTATCCTCTACGTACTTATTCCTCCCTGCCACTTTTCCACGGCACCGCTTACTTCACTGGTATCTGTTATTCCCTTGGCAACGCAGGTACTCTCTGCCTGCGCCGCAAGTTCTCCGCTTCACAATTCTGGAAAGACGTGCATGATTCGCGAGCAACACGTATTCTATATATTGGAGAACTCTGTCGGTACCTCCTATCAACACCCCCAAGCCCTTACGACCGCAACCATGTGTGTCTTGTCGCCAACGGCAATGGGCTGCGTGGAGAGATTTGGGAGCGCTTCCGACAACGATTTAATGTGCCCGAGATTCGAGAATTCTATAGATCTACAGAGGGCGTGGCCAAGTTTGACAACTTCGGCGAGGGCGCTTGGGCCGCCGGTAAGGTTGGGCATTCGGGCTTCATTAAGCGCCTTCTGGAAAATGATACTTATATTGTCAAATACGACACTGAGACGGAGATGCCTTACCGGGATCCCAAGACAGGCTTCTGTGTGAAAGCCAAGCTAGGGGAAGAAGGAGAGGCAATCGGTCGAGTGAAGAGCCGGGGTCTGCTCACAGAGTACCTGCGCAACAACGAAGCCACGGAGAAGAAATTGCTTCGCGACGTGTTCGAGAAAGGTGATTTATTTCAACGTACCGGAGACCTGGTGGTCCGGGATCACGACGGCTGGGTAAGGTTCCAGGACCGCGTGGGTGACACGTTCCGCTGGAAGGGTGAGAATGTGAGCGCGGGTGAAATCCGAGATCATATCTGTCGACTTCCGGCTATTCACGATGCCGTGGTCTACGGAGTGAAATTAAGCGCGTATGTCATTGATACCCGCGGGCAAAGACCGGTCGGGATGTGCTTGCATGCTAACAGATGTGCTTAACTAGGTATGACGGCCAAGCTGGTGCTGCAGGGATCACCCTCGAAGACTGGTCTGCTACCACAGAGCAAGAGGTCATGGCCAACCTCTACCCCGAATTGAAGAAGAAGGGTGTGCCCTCATATGCCTTCCCTCGCCTCGTTCGACTTACAGAGAAGTAAGCACCTCGATAAGACCATAGCTAATTTTGGAACCGTGGAGATGTTTGCTAACGTTTCGTGCTAGGGTGGAGACTGGAGTGACCTTCAAGCAAGCCAAAGGCGTTCTGACCAAGAAAGGATGGGATCCACGGACTGATTGGGACGGAGATAAATTGTACTGGTTGGATGGTACACAGTATAAGAAGCTCGATGAAAAAAGCTGGTCGACCATAGAAAGTGGGCAGGCCAAGCTGTGATATACGATATAGAGCTCTGATGTAGAGAGGTGTATAGAGGTGTGTATAGTGTAGATACCTCTTGGCCTGTCTAGAATCCCAAGTTTAATTCTACCCACTAGTTTGGGTGTCAGATCCATTGGCTCTAACAATAATGCGGCGGGAGTGTGTGGCTGCCTGAAGGGGATTCGTGCATGATCACTACCTCTCAACAATCGCCTCATCTAAGAATTCTTCGGTCACTGCAATAATCGCCACCCTAGTGATCATTCCAGCGTCCAGACCCATGCTTGTTCGCCCCAAATTATGTGTGAAGACCACTTGGAAGGCTCATCAACGCGAGGAAATCTATTAGTGCCTTCAATCCCTGCCGACAGATTCTTCAACACAATGCATGCTACGCTCCGTTGATTGGTTCAGTTTACCAGCACAGAGAAATCTGCCGGCCTGTCCGTTCAGCTCGCCTCGAAGAAACAGAACAAAACTTAACCATCAGCAGAATCCACTTATTTCCCGGGAATTCCTGGTTAGTGTGGCATCGACAGTGCCAATCGCTTATCTGCCTCATATCACGCTTGACGATCTTAAAGCGCGGGGTTTGGCCCCTCCAGCCAGTCAGTCTGTCGCATAAGTACCCTGCAGTTTGCACTCTGGTTTAGTGCAAGGAAACGGAAGAATTCTAATTGTCCTGATTTCGCGAGGGGAACTTCAAGGCGCGGGGGAAATGGCTACAACAGATACTTGCGTTAAGCAATCCTCCTTGGAGCAAGGGTTGAAGCCCAAAAGCGGTTCCGACAGCATCCTCGAGCTCGAAGCCAATCCCACTGAAACTGGCAGCGAACAAGAGCAGCAGCGTCCTCCCGACACTTTCGACGAACGATATCGCACCACAAGATGGGAAATATGGGCGTATTATGCGTGCGTCGAGTGTGATCACCCTGCCAAGTGAATACTAAACCCCTCCACCGTTCTATAGTTACTATATCGGCAACAACGGATTATCCCTGTTCAGTGAGACTCCCTACCACCCTGTCACCATAGGGTACCTGCGTGCGATATCTGTATCACCGGAAACGCACATTACATTTCATTTGAGGCTCGAGAGGCTAACGACAGTCGCGATTGCAGACTTTGCGCCAACTGCGTTTCAGAATCTCTTAACGCAAGCCGCAGGCGATCAAGGCACCTTGCAATTCGCTGGTCGACCGCGGTCGGTCAATAGTATTGTCCTCCTCTGCAATGGCATTTCGTTTGCGATCCAGGTAGTCATATTCCTGGTCATTGGTAGTTTCGCGGACTTTGGGTGCTGGAGGCCGAACATCCTCATTGTGCTGTCGATCGTCGCGTGGGCAATTGGCTTTGCGTGGCTGGCGGTGCACGAAGCGGACAAATGGCAAGTCGGCGTGGGATTATACATTGTCGGTTTGATCGCGTACCAGACCACTCTCACGTTCTGGACGGCTGCGTTTCCTGGTCTCGCGAGGAATACCGCTGAGATGCGAGATAAGGCGGATAAATATTCCGCGGGACAAATCTCGAGGGGAGAGTATGATCATGCGGACTCAATGAAGCGCACTCAATTGTCCAATGTAGCCTTTTATGTCCAGTCAGTCAGCGAACTGTTCATTTTGGCTATCATTGTGGGTATTATGTTTGGCTTGAACGTCAACGCGAGCGAAGCGAATAACAATTGGGGATTGAGCGTTCTAATCGCCTTTGCCAGTGGCGTTTGGCTTTTGGTTTCAATCCCATGGTTCCTGCTTGAGAAACGCCGGCCGGGCCAGGATCCGCAGGGGAACAATATTATTGTCGCAGGATTGACGCAGCTCATTCGCGCGTTGAAAGTTGTCTGGACGTTGAAGCAGAGCCTGGTTTATCTCGTTGGTATGTTCGATCCTTCATGACTCTAGAAAGTCTAGCTAACCAGTACTCTACTTCCAGGCTACTTCCTTCTTGGTGATTCCTTGAACACCACGGTGACTGTGATCTCCACGCTACAGAATAATATCGTATCGTACAACTCCCTTGAACTGACATATGTCTTGCTGGCTGGTATCGCTGCTCAGGTTTGTGGCCCTCAAAGTCATCATATATACGTCCTCTTCCCGGTCAAGTCTAATACCATGTCTAGGCCGTCGGCATCTATGCATTCTGGTTTTTCCAACGACGCTTTGATCTGACCACCAAGACCATGTTTAACATTGTTGCCGTCGCTATCATTCTCCTGGACGGCTGGGGCATGATTGGGATCTGGACACAGAAGTTTGGTTTTCATCATCTCTGGGAAATCTGGGTACGTGCAATTCGCGCCTGCTCCTATGCATTGCCTAACAGTGAGTGTATGGCATAGGTATATCAAGTCTACTACGGCCTCCTCGTTTGCCCGTGGTACAGTTACTCAATGATCATGATCTCTGAAGTAACACCACGAGGCCACGAGTTTTTATTCTTCAGTCTCTTCAGCATCATTGGCAAAACCTCCTCATTCATTGGACCTCTGGTGTCCAGCGCAATCATCGATGCGTCGCCGACGGGGAACAATTCAACTCCGTTCTATTTTCTGTTCGCATTGAGTCTGGTTAGCTTCGCAGGGTTAGCCTTCTTCCTGGATTTGAGGAGGAGTCAACAGGAGCAGGAGGAGTTTCTGAGGAAGAAAACACAGGGGACGGGAAGATCGATGTGACTCTGTGCTTGTATACCTACTTGTTGTTCCTGATGCAGTAATGAAATAGTGGAAGGCGAGGCGGTACTATAGATGGTTTCGAGTGGTTCCCATCATCAGCCCGAGGTCCCAGTTCCACTCTCGATGAATTCCAGATGCGTAATCAGTATTGCATGCTTGTGCTGGGTTTCAAGTAAAAGTTCTCCGTACTCCGTACTCCGTTTCCATACTATGGATACTGTCCAACACGCAGCTGAAGAATTCTCGCAGAATTTGAGTATGCCATAGACCAGAGAGCAGCTGCAGGCAAGAATAATGCTGTGCGCAGAAATGGATTTGATTGGCGGTCAGTAAGAACCTCACACTGCAGTGCCGTGTGCAACAACCCCTCGGCTTCTATATCCGCAAAGCGACGCCTAACTTGAGCCGGCATGGTGGGTCATTACTCCGTAGTCTCCATGCAGTGTTTAGTTACTCTTATAGTAAAGCGTGTTTTGCTGCCACCGCGTAAAATGAGCAGTTTCCGATCAAGTTTTTTGGGAGGCTGTTTTCCTGGAATTCCTCTGGCATCTGCAGCTGCGAGGTCCGTTAGTTTCTGACAGTCTAAGCAGTGAAGCAGGCGGCCCACTCAGTAAAATCTAGGGGACAGGCAATATCCATCACCGCCTAAAATGAACAGTTTCCAGGAGAACTTTTTGGAGGCTGTTAACCGTAGAATTCCTCGTCTGCGGCTGCGAGGTTGGTTAGTTTCTGCCAGCAGAGGCGGTGATGTAGGCGGTCCGCAACCGCCCATTCGTGCCTGGTGGCCGCGATCTTCCGGGCGGAGTCATTTCTGCCATCTGTGGCCGCCTAAAACGAACAGTTTCCAGGAACACTCTTCTGGGGTCTGTTATCCTTAAAATTCCTGGTCTGCTGCTGTGAGGTTAACTAGTCCCTGCCAGCTTGAGCGGTGGAGCTGGCGGTCTGCTGGCCTTCTCGCCGCCTTAGAACAGTAGATTTTGGGGTTCGTTTTTTTAGGGCGCCCAATCTGTGAGGCTCTATTGGGTAGGGCGGTGGGGAAGGCGGCCTTGCGCGGGGTGTTCTGCCGTTGCTCCGCTTTCTGCTATTTGTGGCCGCTCAAAATGAGCAGTTTCCCGGAAAACTTTTTCGGGACCTGTTAACTGGAATTTTTGGCCATGACTGCTGCGACGTTCGCTAGGTTCTGCCGGCCAAGCGGTGAGGGAGGCGGTCTAGGGATATTTTGCTTCGACGATGTACTATGGTGCAGCTTATTGCCGGTCGCTACTAGTGCAAGCAGAGGTGCATCATCCCGATGAGCCGTTGGGCTTCATACACACACAAGCCTAGTACTACTCATTTACTCCCCTGAGTTCAGTATAATGTTTTCTTCTAGGAGCTTTGTCAGGTGCGCCATAAATTGTCTATCCTTCGCCCTCGTGTTCTAACTTTATTTCCTATGGTCGAGGGTGCTGCCGAGGAGGGCTTGAGACCTCGAGGCGATATCGAGACCCAGTGCTAAGATGCTGCATTTTGAATCCCCATCTGTAGTGAGCTTGTGCTGCCTTAGTCTTCTATGGTGTGGCAACATATAGCTCAGCAACCTTAGTTCAACTCTGTATAGATAAGCTCCTCACACTAACTAGTTACTCGGCTGTTACGTGCCGCTTGATTAACTAAGAAGATCACAGTCTGATGATAAGAAGGCGGTTCCAAAGATCAAACCTCCTGATACATGCTTCCCCGCTCATCAATGATGCCAAGGGGTTGAGATATCGGCAAGGGAGGAGTGACTTGTTCCACTTCCCCGCTGCAACTGTCGGCGACCTCGTCCAATACCAGATCATTGAGCATGAATTGACAGGAGCGTATCTTATCTCTCTTTTCAAAGCACTTATAGTTTCCAGCATGACAATAAAACTATATCAATTGAGCAAACTCTCTAGTCTATTATCATCCCCATAGTCCACGTATTCCAATACAACCTACTCCGTATTCGTCATGACAAATCCAATCCCCATCGAGAATAGCATGTCTTCCTTTTGGCGGTCGGAGCCTGATCCTTTGGACAATCATCGTTCCACTGAGTTCCTGCCTGAAACCTGCGACATTGTTATCATTGGAGCAGGTTATGCCGGAGCATCGACCGCTTATCATTGCCTGGACCGCGCAGCAGCCAAGGGAACAGTGCCCCCATCTATCGTCATTCTTGAAGCACGACAGGCTTGTTCGGGGGCTACAGGACGCAATGGTAGGAAGACAACTTGAACATTCACCAACTCCTTCTGCAAAGTTGTTTAGAAAACGCTGATCTTGAGGCAAAACTTTGTGCGTGGATTTGCAGGCGGCCATCTCAAACCTGATGTATACAGCCGGGTCGGCAACCTGGCCAATGAGTACGGGGTCGAGGCAGCGGCCGAAGTGGCGGCATTCGAGATGGAACATGTCTCTGCGGTGCAGGCATTAGTAGAGAAGGAGAAGATTGACTGCGACATGGAGGTGGATTACGTGTGCGATGTGCATTACGATCCAACCCAACTCGCCAAGGTGAAGGCGGGTTTTGATTCTCTGATCGCTAAGAGGGTCAAGACGGTAGAAGATGTAAAGTTTACTGGACTTGAGGATGCCGAAGCTGTGAGTGCATTCACCGCAACCCGATTTCCTTGTCACGCATGTCGTATTCATAGCGCTTATGTCTCCGCCGACTATGTAGGAATCGGGTGTTAAAGGAGCCCGAGGCTGCTTTCGTCAACGCACCGGGCGACTCTGGCCGTACAAGCTCATCATGCACCTTCTCAAGCGTGCCATTACTGCTGGGGTGAACCTTCAAACCAACACCCCTGTCCGGCACATCTCTGAAACTCCGGATGCTGATGGGAGGTGGAAAGTCACCACTGACCGGGGCTCGATCCGCACCCGAACGCTTATATTCGCGACCAATGCATACACCGCCGCTCTCGCACCGCAGTACAAGGACAAGATCGTCCCGGTGCGAGGCTTCTGTAGCCGCATCGTCGTTCCCAACCCGCCTGCTGTCCCCTTGGAACGTTCGTATACTCTGCGCTTCAATGCCTGGGACTACGACTACTTGATACCACGTCCTGACGGGAGCATCATCGTGGGTGGCGCGAAGTCTGCCTTCTATAAACAGGACATCTCCAGTTGGTACCACAATACTGACGATAGTCGGGTCGTCGAGGAGACCGTGCAGTATTTTAACAACTATATGCAACGTGTTTTCCATGGCTGGGAGAACACTGGGGCGTATACTGACCGGGTATGGTCGGGAGGTAAGCTTCTTCTTCTTCTTCTTCTTCTTCTTCTTCTTAGCTCTGTGGCTGTCAGGCTAATGTTGCGCGTAGTGATGGGTTATAGCAGTGATGCTCTGCCGCATGTTGGACATGTGCCCGGGAAGCCTGGTCAGCTCGTGCTTGCTGGGTATAGTGGTCATGGTATGCCGCAAATTTTCTTATCTGCGCGGGGGATCGCACGCATGGTTGTGGATGGAGTGGCGTATGAGGAGAGTGGAATTCCACGGCTGTTCAAGACAACCCCAGAACGGCTGGCAAGTCGTCGGAATGATATTCTGACGTATGTCAAGAGCCCGACGGTTGAGAGTAAGCTTTAGATGACAGTAATCATGGAGAGAACTGAGCAGTAGTCATGTGAGATAGAAGAACGTGAGATCCATCATGCTTTGTAGTCGAGATGCGGAGTCCCGAGGAACCAGGGGGCAAACGCTGCGGAGAAGGAGCTTACCGCCTCTGGGGTCTCCGCGCCGACATCTTGATTTCTCCCTCTCTGGATCTATCTTCCTTCTTCATAGCAGCTCGCTGGTGGCCATGGTTATATGATCAGCTGCAAATGACACGATGCCCATCTGCATCGAGTGCTCATACCCAGTCTCCCATCTGTACAGCACCTACAGCCGCGCTGATGACCGGTCTCTGGGTAAGGGAGTGCGCTTGACACAATGTCCGCGCTGCCAGCGGTTCGCCGACAAATATGTCGAGTATGACTTTGTCGTGCTCTTCATTGACCTTGTCTTGATCAAACCACAGGTAATGCTTTCATTCTGTCTGCTGCATCTGAAACTAACGAAGCCAGGTTTACCGTCATCTGCTCTTTAACCGCTTAGGAGGCTATGATAATCAATTCGATGTGAGACCACACACTCCAACAATCGTAATCGATCCAAATCTGACATCTGCAGCGCTCAATCATCCGTCTCGGAATCCTGCTGCTCCTATTTGACGTCTATCTCACCTGGGCTCGCATCGAAAAATCGCCCTCCATCGTCGATACTTTCCTCTGGCGCGCTCCTGTCATCGTGCAATACCTCTTCTTCCTCAGTCTGAACGCGCTTGCGACACTCGCTCACCATCTTACCATCCGTCTCCTTGCCTCAATCCTCGCACCGACACCCCGGGGATATGCCGCATCCACGCAGAAGAGCACTGCGAATGCAAACAATGGAGGAGCAGAGATAACCCATCCCTCCACTCCGGTGCTGCCGTCATTTCCATCCTCCCAGCTCTCCCCAACGATATCACCCGCACCCGCACCCGCAGCAACCCTTACCCTACCCAAGCTCGTCTCGCAAAGCTCATCCTCCTCTCTTCCCGATTCAACGACAACAGCTACCTCCTCCACCACTACCACCGGCACGGAGTCCCAAATGCAGACCCCTGTCGCCCACTCCCCTCCGCCGCCGCTCCGCCGTTCCTCCACCACACCCACCCAGAACATGACCATGAACATCCCTATGGGGATGAACATCCAACCTCTACCCCCGCCCACCCCGGCAAGTCCCACAGCCATTAGCACTGCCCTCCTCGTCAGCAGCTGCGCGAAGCTGTTCCCCATCCTACTCGTAATTTGGGGCCCTGACGGCAGCGGTAACGCATTCACCACCACCACTGCCACTGCTTCGCACTATACTACTGCTCAGATTGGTAGCAGCAGCAGTGCCAATCCCGGCCCTCAAACGGCCTTGTACAGCGTTCTCACTCCTGTCGCAACGATCACGGGCGCCATTGCAGCAGCTACGCACGAGCCCTCTACTTCCTCAGCCTCCATGTCAACCTCATCCTCGTCCTTGTCGCTCTCTTCCTCACTGCTAGAGAGCGTCATTCGTGCACTGCCACAGTCCGTCTTCACGAGCCATCTAGCCGGGTTCCTGGAGCTGATGGGCTCGCTCCTCTCGCTCGGGGCGGCGGATACGCATCTCGTGCTGCTGAGCAACATCGAGGCACTGTATATCTTGCTTGGATGCGGGTACCTCCGGGCCGTGGCGTTGGCGGTGGCGGGCTTGGTGGCGCGGTGGTCAGTTCAGAGGGTGATTTTGGGTCTAGTTGGGGTAGGTTAAGATATACTTCTCGAAACGATGATTGTCTTTGGATCTTGTACCTCGATTATTTGACTCCTCTATATACCACTTCTCCATAAGTCCATATGCAATACACGTAGAACAAGCCCCACCGTAAGAGAAAATAAGATGTAGGTACAATGATGATGCGATTCGCAAAATTCTCATCAAAATAATAATTAAATGAAAAACTTGAACATGTGAACAAAGAACCTACCTATACAAGATTGAGAAAAAAGAGGGCAGCCCGAAAATAGCCCACTCGGCAAAACCCCGTCAGTTTTGCCTGTGAACAAGCAAGGCGGGACACGGTCTAAGTATCGGAACTCAACCACCATACCCCATCCAAACCCAAACTATCCGCTCCAAAGCCCACCACCCCATTCAAACGACCTCCAAATACCCCAACCTATACAACCAGAGAGAAAGATTACTCCGGCACCCGATCAGGCCGAATATCCGCCCTCTTGGGCGTGATAAGCGGATGCCACTGCGCGAGGAACGTAATCGCTAGAGAAGAGACAACCCACGCAATTAGCAAAGAGAACCTACCCATAGTATAATAAGAAGAAAACCTTGGAAGGGGAGGAGGGAAGAGCTTACCCCACATGAGATAACAGCATGTGAACGACAAGATCAAGGTACTTCTGAAGACACTATATTTTCCCGCCCATTGTTAGTTTTTGTTGTTTATTTCCCACATGCCTTTACAAAATGGATGTCCATCATGCTTTCCGTCACTATGCTGGGAAGTGATGCGGAAGTAGAGACAAAGGGGAGGGCGGAGAAGGAATGAAGGACATACGTTTGGTTCTCTCCCTTAGGGCTGAAGATCCAGGCCAGAACGGAGGCGATTACGACGACGATGAGGCCGATGATGAGACTCCATCTGGTTTTCGGTGTTGGTGGTTAGTTGAGTGTCGAGAGTTTGAGATTGAGGAGGTTTGATAGAGTAGGGCTATAGAGGAGGGTGAATATGTAGGTAGAATGAGAGGGAAGGGAAATGAGGTCTGCTTGGTAGCTTGTTTATGGCAATGTATGCGATGGTCCATCCTTGTGCTTTGGCCCGTTGGAGGGGTGGAGGGGTGGGCCGGTCCCACGAACGTACCCAGTTGCCATCTTGATAAAGTCTCTAGACGATAGTTGTGGATTGTGCAGAGAGGGCGAGGAGAGGGAGAGGAGTTTCGATGTAAGGTTGCGCCTAGTGGTGGAGGTACAGTACAGCGTAGGTCCAGCCTAAACTGTTCGCTCTTCGTTCCGAAGGTAGTTCCGAAGGTTGAGATGAGGTCACAGGAAGGTCGAAGCTGCAGGCAAGCGGTCACTCTGGATTGATTGCTGCGTTACTAGCGAGGTGGAACGCTGTTTACTTGGACTGGTTCGAGGAGTATGGATCGTGGTTGCAAGTCGGAGCTCTCGTCGAACCTGTGAGAAGGTGTAGGGGACAAGCTCGAGATTAAAATTGAGAGTAATCCGCAGCCACTAGGCACTTCTGGTTGGAGACGTGAAGGGGCGAAAAGAATGGTCGTGGCAGGCAAAGACCAACAGACAGGATGATGGTTATCGACAGAGCGATGGAGGTTATCGGCGGAGCTTCTCCGGATGGTGCTGTCACTGCCCGACTCCTGCTCTCACCGCCCGCATTTCCGCTCATATTGTAGCCTGAGGCATGACACATCCTACGGACTAATCTACAGTACCTACGATTGCAACTCAGGGAGTATACTAGTCAAATTCACCGATGTCTCCACCCATTGAGGGATATAAAGCACTGTCATTAGGGCAAACAGAGGCTGAATTCAAGAGAGGCTGCGATTTCAACACAAGAAAACAACAAACTGCAAGGAAATTTACAATTGGAGCTGTATCTCAAGCCCCCTCACGGCTCTTACGGTAGCTGGCCTGCATCGGATTACAAGTCAGTCAATGATGCACCCTGATCAATTGGTCGCGCACTCACCTCTTGCTCGACCTGCAGGCCATCTACAACAGGAGCCAACTCGCTGAGTATCTCATAAGCCCGCTTGTGGAACTCGAGCTGCGCTGCTATCAAATCGGCCAAGTTTCGGAGAGGCTCGGGGGTGTCGAGAACCTGAAATTGTCAACCACCAGCCATCAAGATGCAACCGTAGAAACATACATTTTTCATGACGCTTACAGCCTCCTCGGTCTGTCCGACGAACTCATCCTCCGCCTGCTCAATCTCGGCGCGAGCCTCCTCGCTCAGGCTGTCCCAGTCGCCCTTAACCTGAGCCTTCTTGGCGGCCTTGATTGAGTCCAGCATAAGACGGGCATTCTCCACGTTCTTGCGCGCCTTGGCCGCGAACATCAAGTTGGTGTTGAGTGTGGTATTCCAGCCAGCCAGGAAGCGCGATTGAATCTGGGCGTCCTGGGCCAGCCGGGCCTCGCCCACCTTCTCCTCAGCCAGTGCATACTTTTCCAAAGCGATAGCCAAGGGGTCCTCGCCGTGAGAAGATTGCGACAGAGTCTGGGATCCGGCCAGCGAGGCGCGAGCGATGGCGTGGTTGAATGTCTTGGGCTGCGGCTTAGCCGAGGGAGGGGCAACCAAGGCCGCCTGAGCCTCTGCGGGCGACGAGGCTTGAGAGAGAAGTTGGACCTTCTCGTTGATTGTGCGACCGAGGTCGTTGAAGGATTCGCGGATATTGGGAGGGTAGTCGTAAGCTTCGTTCGAGTATTGAGAACTGCATGGTCGGTACATAAGTAATGTAGATCACAGGGAAGAGGAAACGAATGGATGTCCTTACGTCACCTGAAGTAGCTTCTGGTGGACAATCTTCAGCGCATCCACGCGCTTCTCCAATTCGATGTACTCATCGGGAAGCTGAGTTCGATCCTCTGCCTGGCCGAGTTGCTCGCGGATCATCTGCTGCGTACGCTGAGCAAAGGGAGAGAAGCTCGCGCTACAGGCCGGATGAAGGAAGGGAGTATTAGCGAAAATCACTTTATTGATCGTTGCAGCAAAAGCTCATGCTGTAGCCGCTGAGCGAAGAGGCTGAATACAGATTCCAACACCCGTCTCCTGGCACAAGCCACACGGAGGTGTAAGACGATCGGGTATCTCACCTGAGGTTCTTGCCGAACGCTGAAAACTTGTCCATGGTGAAAGTCAACTCGGTTCCTCTGATAATTCTCGAGTAAGTGCGATGCAGAGGGTTCTGCAGATAAAAAGCGATAGACTATTAGCGAGCTGCGGATTGTTTTGGAATGATCGCAAGCGTCCAGGCCACATTCTGTTGGTCTGACACCGCCTCGTCCCGCCACGGTTTCATGCCGGCAATTACGCTTCTGGAATAGTTCGAGATTCCGCCTGACACTGGCCTGAAGCAGTCAGTCGATGGGCGATGAGTTGGCAGCACCAGCAGCAGGTGACAAATTATGGATGGCTTGCACACAAAGCCAGAACCTTCACCTCACGCGGAATCATGTTAATTATCATCCTGATCGCCTTGTTCGAGTTTCATGAGTCATGAGCATTTCATTGTTCGGATAATCATCATAGCTGCTTCGCCAAACGGCTGACACCAAGGCTAGCCACATACATAATACAGAGAAAACATCAGCCAGGCTGTTATGATACACGTTAAGATGATAATGTGGAGAACGACATAGGAGAAAGAAGATCACAGCCATAATAGGGGGAACCGAAAGGGTAATCGATAAGTCGTAAGTCAGTTTCATAAAAGCATAAATGGCGATTTGTTCCGAACGCCATCAGTCTACGTCAATGTTGCCATCATCGCACGTAACATACGAGAGCTGGGACCTGCAGCAGTGTTAGCATTCCATACGTGGGTATCAAGGCGAAATTTCATACCTCTGCGCTCCCTCTTCACTTCATGGATGTCTTCCACAACGCCATCCCCCACGATCTCCGTGTCTCGCACATACTCTCCGCTGCCACGTCGCTCAATTTGCGCATATTCTCGTAGATCTTCGTCACTGTCGCGGGGACGGACCACGATAGCTAGTGGGCCAGCGTGAGTCCTGCTAGGCTCTTCCTCATACCGCTCAAATCTGCGTACTGGCGACGATCGACGACGGGGTCGGCCATGCACTGAGATGTCTCGGGTGCGAGATACAGTCCTGGTCACTTTCTTTTCCAGGAGTTCACCACGAGGGTGGTGGTAGTGATATTGGCGCGAATGGGAGCGGTGCCGCGATGGAGACGGCTCGATAATGAGAGTGTCATGGCTGGTTCTAGGGGTGTAGGCCTCCATTGGAACTCGCTCTACAGTTCTGTCTCGACGTCGGGCACGAACTGGGGATGGCGAGCTGGCATGTATAACGCGGGCTTTTGAAGAAACATTTAGTCTCTGGTAAACGGGGACACAATGTGCGTGGCTGACTCACTCTCGGTCAGGCGCTTGATTTCGCGACTTCTCCCAATGACCTCATCGATCTGCTCTTTCGAAAGCGCCAGCTGAATGACAACCATTTTACCCTTGAAGAAGGAACGTCAGAAAACTGTCCAGAGACGTGGTTTTTGTGCTATCTTCTCCTGCGAAAATGTGGAAGACAATGTATACACACCTCTTCCTCGTATGGGTAGCCGAGCTCGCGAATCGCAGTGGTATGAACCATTTTGCGGGGCATGCGAGTCTTGCCTTTCCGAGGGTATGGCTTTTCCACATCCACTTCCTCCACTACTCTCTCGCGAAAACGGCTTGCTGAGCGACGGGGAAGTCCCACGCTCCGTTCGCGAAAGCCTCGATACTCTTCCTCGCCATAATCCCCCTCCGCAATGCTAATTTCTTCATAGTAGTCGGGTTCGCGGGTCCGATGGTAAGAGCCACGACGGGGCGGCGGGCTAGGAGATGACTTCGAATGGTAGTCACTATAGTAGTACTCGTCAAGTTTGCGCGAGGGAATCCGATCGAAGGTGTCGAGGGAGGATTGTCGCCGAAGCAGTCGGGGGCGGGGCAGAGGGCTCTCCGCGCGACGGCGATCGTAGGCAACCAGGGGACCAGATGAATAGACCAGATGATCGTCCTGATAGACAACATCGGCACGACGGGCAGGAGGACCATAGCGATCTTGTTCTTGCAAACGGTATTCGAAACGTTCATCCTCCTCGAAGCGACGAGGGCGATCAAGCACCGAGGGAGCGCGCGAACGGTGACGGTGGTGACGCTCCCGCCGCTCGTGTGGGTAGCGGTCATCGTCCAGAGCCCCCGTGGAGCGACGATAATCGCCGTAGCGAGACATGTGCAATACCGGAAGAGTCGGTCGAAAAAAATGACTCGAGGGAACGGGAAACAGATGATGTGGGTGACTGATTGTTTGTTGTGATGGAGCACAGAATAGTATTGAAGGATGAGATGGAAGAATGATTTGATTGAACCGTGGGTGACGACAGCGGCTGACTTTGGCGGGCCGCAGTTCAAATCAGATGGCGGGGCTGTGCTGATAATCTCGATAAGGCGGTTTTGGAACTAGTTATGGGATCGGTGACAGTGAATGCAATGATCAAAAGACCACCAGCAGACGAGAGACTCGACGGACATTTAAATACTCTCTGATCAAGGGTCTGGAATGAAAGAAGAAGCTGAATCAAAAGGGGGGAGAAAAAAAGGTAGAATCAGAAAATCCACATAGAAATAAATTCCACAGGAGTGAGTGACGTTTGGCGGAGAAGGTTATTTACCCTGGGTATGAGTATGGTAAACTGGGGGGATCCGCACTCCTCGCTCTGCAACATCTCGGCAGGATCCACGTGTAAGCGTCTGGTTACGCAGTACCAGTATTACTCCAGTACTCAAACTCGCCTTCCCCGTGCGGTTACCGCGTGTGCTTCTGATGGCCACTCAATCCCAATTCATTCCTGGCCTTGTCTGCATTATTGCATTGCAATTGCATTGATATGAACCCACACCCGGCACCTCCTTCCAGCCCCCCTTCGCCCTCGATTCTGGTCATTTCTCCTCTCAATGCAAAGCGCAAATTGCAAATCTCGAGGCGTAAGCAGTGCAGCGCATTGCTTCCGTCCAGCTGTCCGCCTATCAGTACATCATGCGTCAAACCATTTGTGGTTTTGTGGTTGGGTGTAAATCCCACTTCGGTCTAATGGTGGCTACGAATTAGTCGACAGAACCTAGGCCCACAGTCTCTTCTGTGGTCTATGACGAGCTGGTCGATCCGAGACAGGGCCTCGATGCTCCTGGTTTCAACCCAAGAGATCCAGCCGGGAGGCTATTCTTCTGATACGGCAGCACGCCCGCCGAACTTGGAAGACGACGCGCTTACTGAAGCTCAGGGACCACCATTCACCAACCACCAATCCAGCTGTCACACAATGGTAGCCTTGCTAAGACCACGTGCCTACGACTGGGGCGGAAGAATTGTCGTATGTATGCCTGTCGACGCCAATTCAACCGCCTCTTCCGGAAGCCATTTTGTGCAACATCTTCAACTTTTTTCCAGGGTCACGTAACAGAGTCTCATGCTATTGTTCGATCGGCCGGGCCTCAGATTGGTTTCTTCCCAGCCGTGAGCGGATAATCTCAATTGGCGGACTTGAATGGGTCTGCTTGCAATGTGCATGAGACTGGCCATGATCAACAATACTTTTGAACTATAAACCCCAGTATTGAAAACAGGTCGCAGAGTGGCCTGACCTTGGTTGTCCATCTGGGTGCCTCTACTCTGTGTTTTCACCGTACACCGATAGTGATGCTCTACCCAATCAGTCTGCCTCTGAGCCCGCAGACTCACTGGGAATCCACACAGAAAAACCCAATTCAGTCTTTGTCCTGCTGGCATTGCCATATTGTCGACTCGACCGATCCACAGCGGGTCAGAAGGGGTTCGAGACCAAAAAGAACTGGAAAACCGAAATAGATTCTCCGGCTTACGACAGTGCTTGGGTAGAAATCAGTGATTGTGGAGTGGAATATAGACATCCCCGAGTAGTAGCCTCGGCCGGGCAACGGAGGGACAAGGATTGCTGTATCAGCTCTGACTCAACAACGGTCTCGAGCTTGACTCTAGAAGCAAAACCTCGCAATATGACATGAGGCGAGCTCCATTTTGCAGCTCGAAAAGGGTAGTGTAGATGCAGGCATTGACAGAAATGGTATGCCGCTCTAATTCTCCGTGTCGGTTTTGACCCCTCCAGGAGTCTGCAGATTCGAGGTTTAAAACCACAATCGACTCCAGGCGCATAAGCCATGAAGAAAACAAAGGACTGACCAGAGGAGGCACAATACCCACTTTCTTGCACTAATGCCGAGCCAACAAGAACGGAGCCGAAGCTAAGGTACTGCCAACTGTTATCCCGCGCCAAGACTCCGTATAGGCATCTCTGCACGATTCAGTCTCCGTCCCTGCGCACAACAGGTCGGATGGTTGTCTTAGCCAGGCCTGGCCTCATGCTGCTTCGTAGATCCGATCAGGCATGAGGTATTGCTCGATTAGGATCTGCGATCAAATTCGACTTTCAGAGTTCCTGTGCCGAGTTCCGACAAATCAAGATGCTTGGCCATTGTAATTGAGACTACGCAGAGAACATAGGCTTGAAGGTGTGCTGAATCAAGTCCCTATCGCAGATTCTTTGCTACTCTGTCACTCGATAGTTGACTTGCATTCGATCCAAGTATGTGTTGAAGGACCCTTGAGAATCGCTCGCTGTAGGCAAAGAACACTTAAGTCATGAACTCACCAGTCCTTGTACTACAGCTCACATTCTTCCTTGCAGACAAACAAAGAACATCCTCGTTCTGACAATACAATGTCCCAAGACCCCAATAGTGAGAACTTACAAACCTTGCTCAGAGTCGGACAATTGTATGTCTACAGCGCCCCAGATCCGTGTACACTGTTTTCATTGAACTGCTATATCTCCGGCATCAAGGCTTTTTCAGACAAGAACTCCAATCGGTCGACATCCTGTGACAAGCCGTTACCCTGACAAAACTCTGGTCTTGGTAACTAAGAGTTATGAAAATAGGTGCCCTCCTATGGGCGCAAGCTTTTGACTTCGATGCATGATGCACACCTCGGATAACGTCACCAGCAAAAGCCACAATAACTGTATATACAGCGGAACTTCCTGTCTCGGAACTGTACTTCCTTGCTAAGCAGCAACCACGACCACACCGACCATCGACCATGAGATAATAATATAGTCGAAGATCAAGCGGTTCGACAACAATTGACAGGCCCCAACACAAACTCACATAAAGTAGAACCAGAAAAGGCCTCAAGGTGCCAGCTGAGCTGACAGCCTCATCCAACCAGCCCAGTCCACAGTTCAGGCCATGTCAAGGGTGGCGTCGAAGCCACAGCGATCACTTCTAGATTCCGAGTTGCCAGACATAGCCGACAAATCAGGTTATATGTGCATGCATATATCTACATTGTATGCAAGCCATGCGTCCGGCAAAGCATCCGAGGAATCAGGTCTTGCCAGCTGGTTTCGGAACCGACTGACTTGGTCCAGCCATGGCGAGGCAAGGCGAGAAAACAGGCAAGAGTGTTTGCGTGAGGCGTCGTGGGATCACGCAGTTCAGCCCTATAAGTCCCCGGGGGTCCTTGCTGTTATGGCTCAGAGAGTTGTATGCAATGACAATGCTTGGACAGTGCAAGTGGTAAGGTAATAGTGTTCTGCGACCAGTTCGCAAGGATGATAGCTTCTACCTCGTAACAACTCCAGTGAAGCCCATGGTTGTCGTACCGTCAAAATCGTATTGGCAGGAAAGAATGCTATAAGCTAAAGCTAAGCTTCGCTAAATATTGTCTTCGTGCTTACGCGAGACTTCGCGCTGTGTCAGCGTACTCTGGGCTCAGCAACCGATTTGAGTGATTTGTTACTTCGAGTCTAGTGTCGTGGGGAAGAAGCAGCCTGGGGACTTCCCTATTTTACTGGATCAAAGCAGAACCGAATGCCGAATGCCTCCATCGTCTACAAATGCAGCATAGCAAAGGACTAGATGCAACCCTTAGAATTAGTAAGAGCAGAAACTGTCAGTCAAGAGCCTATCAAGCACTGATTGATTAGTCAAAGATCCTTCGAAATTTGTAAAGCTCGACGATTCAGCCCGCCCCAGACAACAGCTCCAAATCTCCCAACACTATCCCCAAGACAATAAGTAGATACTAAGATATAACCATTCCCCCTTCTACGAGCATAATCCCAATACCGCCAAACACAGTCCACTTCTCCTCCCCCTCTATCTTCCCCAACCCTGAACCATCACCCAACTTCAAACGACTGCCTCAAATGCCCACCACCACCAAGCCCACCATCCTCCTCACCCCAGGAATCTGGGAAGGCCCCACGGTCTACAACAAACTCAGCACCCTCACGAAAGCCAGTTACCCCGTCCAAACCAGCTCCCTCGTGAGCACCGGCGCTCCCTCCCCCGGCAATCCCACCATGAAGGATGACGTCGCCGCCATCCGCGCCCACCTGACCTCGCTGGTGGACTCGCGCGGCCAGCTCGTGGTGCTAATCCTGCACTCCGCCGGCAGGTTCCTGGGCGGCGAGGCCATGCGCGGCTAACATCGCGCTGTCCGCGCGCAGGCCGGCCAGCCCGGCGGAGTCATCGAGATTGTGTTTCTGGCGGCTGCAGTGTTTTCCGAGGGGCATGAGCATGCGCCGTTGCCGTTTGCTTTTGTTGAGGTTTGTTGCTGAGCTTCCCTTTTTTTTGATTTTGATTTTTTTTTTTTGTTTTTTTCCTCCTTTGATATGCTGTTTTTTTGGGGGTGGGGGAAGGGCGGGGAGTCGAATTGAACGGTGCAGTGCTGGGCATGTGCCGCAGGTGAGCCAGCCGGAGAGGGTTATGGAAGTGATCCTGGGAGCTGTTGCTGAGTTTAGTTCGTAAGCGAGGGACATGCGAAGAGAGGGAGAAGTGTATATGAATTCAATGCGTTGGCGTAGGATAGCCCTGCTGTCTTTGAAGTTGCTAACGCAGGGTCACCAGAATAATGGTTATCCTATTATTCACTCCATTAGAAATGCTGGCGAAAAAACTGATATATAAATCATTAGACAAGTCATTGTTCTTTTCTATCGGTTGGGACAACAGAAGTTCCACCAAAGACTATCGTTGCCGACATACACATTGACTCATTCAGCTCCCATGCATTATCATTCCCCTATTGGTTTCCGCCCAGCTGCGCGACACACCGGCCCATTTCCTCGTCGTTGTAGATGCGGAATCCCTTTTCCTTGGTCACGCTGGCCAGCTGGACGTTCTTCGCATCCAGCTTCTCCTCCATGACCTGCTTCAACGTCTTTAAGACCAGTGTCTCTGCCTCGGCCAACGTCAAAGAGCGGTGGTATTCGTTCTGCAGCTCTGCCTGCGCACCTTCGCTTCCGGATCCAATGGCCTTGGCATCGTATCTGTAGAATGTACCCGAAGGTTCGGCGTGGTATCTTAAGGCAGAAACAGGAGTCAGTGACCATACCGCCTGAAACGGGCCTGGCGTTCCAGCGCCAAGAGCAGAATGATTTCGTCACATACAGTTGGGGTCCATCCTCATCGATACCTGCAAGCAAGAGAGCCACACCGAAAGGTCTGCTCATCACGCTCTCCTCGTCGTCTCCCGTCTCTCCAAACCGCAGCGCCAGATCGCAAATGGCCTGGGTACAGCTCTCAACTCTGAGGGGTTCGGCGTAGTGGAAGGCGTGGTTCTGGCATTCAACGCGGGCATGCTCAATCAGGGACCGGGCATCTGCCTGCAGACCGGACATGGCGCACCCAATGTGCTGATCAACTTCGACGATCTTCTCAACGGAGGAAGCCTCGAGGAGGCTGGAGGTGACGCGCTTCTCGACACCCAGGATGACACCTTCCGAGGTTGCTACCTGGATGTGTTGTCAGAAGGACCATTCCATTGCACTGATTGCACATGATCAGGGTATAAAGTCGAGAAGAGTTCGTTGTACGTACACCGATCGCAGTGGAGCCCAACTTGATAGCTTCAAGAGAGTATTCGACCTGGAACAGACGCCCTTCCGGAGAGAAGGTGCTGCAATGATGACGAGGTTAGTGATTCGAGCTCGATAATCCAAAAGACTTGAGAGGGAAGAAAGTCGGTAGGGCTCGTACTTGATTCCACGGTCTGCGATGAGAAGCTGTTAGATGACCGCATCAGAGGAGGGTCTGACGGAGCTTACCATATTCCGATCGGGCGATGAACATGTTGGCGATATGAGTAGTGTAGAGAAGATATGCGAGGTGAAGAGAGATGTGGGAATCAGATCGTAGTCAAATGTGACAGCGGAATGGCACGTCGTGATAAGTTTGAAGCGTAAAAGGATGAAGAGCGGAGGAGGAGCAGGAGATGTTGTGCCAACTGCTCTTGGGAAGCTCGGGACGAAGCTCTGTTGCGGGCTACGCAAGTCCGGCGAGTGCCTGGCGGAGAAGGCGGTCGCTGCCCCAGGCCTCATTCAGGCATCCCAAGACCGGACTCGGCTGTTATCGATTGTTTGCTTGTCGGATTGCGTACCAAACCTCCATGACTACTCCTCGAAGTGTCTGCGCAACTTCAATTTCCTTATTATATTGGTGGTTTCAGCTTCAGCAAGACGTGCTCTTTCAACCCAGGATCCTGCGCAACCAGAATCAGCTCCCTTATGCTGCATGATTGTTCCGATTGTTCTCAGCCTGCGGGAGCATGTCCGTCAGTGACCGTCGCGCCAGCCACATGAGCGCACCACGACCCCGCGTTGCTTCGAATCGCGTCGCTGATCCAGAAAGAGCCGCCTTGCGCAGCGCTACTTCTCCATTGCAATCCGAGACTGTCGCTTATCGTATCGCTCAGTCCAGCCCCAAATCGAGAAGCTCTCGCGAACAACAAATGGCGACCGACAGGCGTGCCGATCGAGTGGCAGGCATCGCAAAGGAAAAAGCTCACGGTCGAACGAGACATGCGATGCAGGAACCTTCAGTTGGTCATATCAGAGGCGAGCGGCTTGAGCGCTCACGGTCGAAGCGAGTTGCTCAAGTAGATGGTGCCAGCCCCAATGCTCGAAAGAAGGAGAAGCAACCAAGCGACGGTCAGTCAATGTGCTCTCACTATTCTTGTTCGCAGAACGAGATCCCGCTTCAGACGCTAATCATATACCCATTTACAGCTCCCTGGAACCCGCAAGCATCCTTGCTACCTCATACCACCGCGCCCTTAGCCTCCCGTGTCTCTATTCCTCCGCTGGCGTCTGCATTGCCTCCATCGCTCCAACCTCGACCTCTACGCGAGCTATCTGCGTACGAGCAGGAAAAATCAATTCTGGAAGATCTTCTATTCACATTTATGGGATTCGAGGGACAGTACATCCATTACCACAGCTCATATGATCCGTCAATGGAAAAAGACAGGTTGACAGGCCCAGTCTTTCAGCTACCGGCTGGTCTGGACCCAGCCCTGAAGGACCTTACTCTATCGACGCTGAAGCTGTCGAAGCATTATAGCGCGTTGGAAGCGTTCGTCGAAGTGCAAAGTCGGGCAGAGTACGGCGCAGTGAGCCATGCTATGTGTGCTACGATACGGAAATTATTAAAAGAGTTCTTGGTCCTCGTGGCGCAACTTGAGCGCGAGCTTATGACCAATCCGACCTTCACCTTACATGTTCTTCATTTGCAAACCATGCCGACCAGCCAGTGCTTGGCTCAATTGTATTCGTTCGGTCAGGACCTACTACGGCGAAACGGGCTCTTAGACCAAGACCTCGACGAGACTATCGATGACTTTGATGACGTCGACAACATTCTAGAACAGTTGCGGGAAGGCGGAGATCTTGTCCCAGGTGCTATGTCCAGCAAAAAAATCTGTAAGGGTGGAAACGTCCTGCGGCTTCTTACTGAGCGACTCGCAACATTCTCCGGCGATCCGACTACGAAGGCTCTATTGGAGAGGTTACTGCGAGACGGTAGCCGGCCGTACATGGCCATGCTCAACGAATGGCTGCATCATGGGGGAATCAAGGATCCACATGGCGAATTTCTGGTAAAAGAGCAGAAGTGGATCAAGCGCGAAAAGCTCGAAGAAGACTACACGGATGAGTACTGGGAGAAACGCTATACAATCCGCGACAACGAAGTGCCGCCACAGTTAGAGACAGTCAAGGATAAAGTTCTCTTGGCCGGAAAGTACCTGAATGTGGTACGGGAGTGCGGAGGTGTCGATGTCAGCAAAGCAGTCAAGGATGTACCCAAAACTCTGGATGATCCTCGCTTTCTGGAGAACGTCAACGCAGCCTACACATACGCAAATGCCTCTTTACTGAACCTGCTTCTGACCAAAAACTCCTTGACTACCCGCTTCCGATCTCTGAAGCATTACTTCTTCCTCGATCGCTCTGACTTCTTTGCCTACTTCCTTGAGCTTTCAGATTCAGAGCTGCGCAAGCCCGCCAAGGAAGTCAACGAGAGTAAGCTGCAGTCACTTCTCGACTTAGTCCTACGACAGCCCGGGAGCATTGCCGCCCAGGACCCTTTTAAAGAAGACGTCAAGGTACGGATGAATAAGGTCGGCCTTACCAAGTGGCTGATGCAGGTCGTGAGCGTCTCTGGAATGAACATGGATGATCCAGAGGCGGCGCTCGAAAAGAATCAAGTCCCTCAGACGCAAGGTGGCGATGATTCGAAGATAAATGGTTTTGATGCACTTGAGCTGGACTATCTGGTTCCCTTTCCTCTGTCTCTCGTCATCAGTCGGAAGACAGTTCTGCGCTATCAACTTGTCTTCCGGCATATCCTATCCCTGCGTCACGTTGAGACTATGCTCGTCACATCTTGGTTGGAACAAAGCAAGGTTCCCGCTTGGCGACACAAATCCTCTGACCGCCGACTGGAGTTATGGAAACGACGTGCGTGGAATCTACGCTCAAAGATGTTGGTGTTCGTTCAGCAGCTTCTATACTTCTGCACGGCCGAGGTCGTTGAGCCAAATTGGCAGATTTTAATGAATCGAGTGAACGGAACGGACGCGGATGGCTCGGAAGTTACCGTCAACGGGACCAAGCAGGTTAATCGTACGGTGGATGAACTCATGCAGGACCATGTGGATTTCTTGGATACGTGTCTCAAAGAGTGCATGCTGACCCAGGCCAAGTTACTGAAGGTAAGCTGGACCTGTTCAAGCTATCCGCTCAAGTCTGCTCACCGACTACATAGGTACACCATCGGCTTATGATAGCCTGCAATACGTTCGCTAGCTGGGCTGACGGCTCGCTCACTCGCAACCTTGCCTTGGCCGATCCCGACTTGTCTATGAGCCTAGGTAATCGGGAATATGATCCCACGCGGCTTGAGAAGATCGACGAATCACTCAAAAGAGTAGAGGACCATTTCAGCCGTCACTTGCGGATCCTGATGGATAGGTAAGCGTGGATAGATCTACAACAAATGTGGCATCTGCTAATGACCCCTGCAGCTTGAACTATTATGCGGCTACGGAGAGCGTTGTTCTACTCAAACTGGCACACTCTTTGAGTGCAATCAGCAAAGAATACTGAACTTTGTCTCAGGAACCTCTTCTTACGATATTCGCAGTCCAGACAACTGCTCGCGAACCGGAAGCCCGGCTCATCCACAGCTTTGTCCTCTAAAGTTGCAAACCGTCTCAACCAAGACACTTGCAGCTTAGCATAACCCCACCCAAGCTCTTACAAGCAAAGCGATCTATTTCTACAGCTTGACTGCTCTCCTCACAGTAGCAAACTCCCAGGCACAAAGTCAGACGTGCCGAAGGGTACAGTCACCAACCAGTTTGACGGACCACAATTTTGGTGAACACCACCGACCTGGCCTCGTTCTGCCTCACCTGAGCCTACAGCTCCTCCTGGTCTCCATTTCTTCGTATTTAGCGATAACCTTTCCGTTCCAGACACCGGAAGATGTCATTGAGCAACCAACGACCTACGATCATTACACGATGCTAAATCCATGAGCTTCAAACGAATACCCCGATTCACTTTCATCCCTTAGAACACTGGAAATGCAATGAAACGAACCTCTGTCAAAGATCTCCAATCATCCGAGCAAGAAGTAGTGGATGTATCGGTGTTTTAACACCAGCAATATAGCTTTTCTAGTGAGTCATAGGCTTGTACCGAAAGCGCCTCATGGTCGCCGACCTGTTTTTTCCCCGCCCAAAGCATCATCATACCCGAGCTTCATCACATCCTTCTTCATCCGTTTATCTATCTACACAACGCCGGATCCAATACCTGAACACACGTAGCTGAACTTGGCCATTGGCTGTCCAAAGGAAATAACCCATCTACGCCTGACGACACACTAGTACGTATGCTTTCTTGTCGTATTCGCAATTCCCCTACCAGACTCGTCAAACCCACCAGCCATCATCCGAAACATGAAAAGCTTAACGTTCTTGCGAGGCCCATAGCGCTGAATAACTGAGAGAGGGAAAAGAACAGCTCCCGTGACACGAGTTCAACGCCAGCAACGGCGTCTAGTTAGTCTCGCGGATGACACTTTCCTCATCAGGTGAGAGAAGTGAGTGTTGGATTCAGCAAAGCCAATCATACGTATTGTACAAGATAACACTACAAAAGCAATAGTGAGCCTTAGAAAGAGTGCAAGGAGGAAAAATAGACACCACCAATCCTTCCCGGGAATGACTTAATGGCATGAACATCGATTGCAGGGGCAAGAGGGTCCAGGGGAATGAGATTCGATTGTTCTACTTAGGCTCGAATATCTAACGATTTGCTTTCGGATGTGGCGACCAGAGTACTATGCTACTTGGGAGGTTTCACTTCCCCAAGCACGAAACTGAAAGACCTCAATTCCGGGTTCACTGGCAGTACTATTTACCAGCCATAGAAGTGGAAAGTCTACTACTCCGATAGCTAGGCATTTTTCATGGACGATTTGTGACGGGTTTTGAAGGTGGCTGGGCGGTCGTCTCTTCAACTGGACAGCTCTTTTTGGCATTTTTGAGAAATGGAATGAGGAGGGGAGGGATCGCCCACTTCCTCCACAATGTTCATCACCTGGTCTCGGGATTTGGCACGAGAATTCCGGACTCTTCAATCGGTGGCTCTCGAGCTTCACTGCTTCTTTCACAGGTGTTCGAAAAGAAAACCTACACAAGGTGCGTTTGCGAGTTACCCAGCTAATCGGGCTCGGGCAACTTAAGACTATTACGGAGAGGCAGACGGCCAGACAAAATCCAAGTCAATACCAACACGTAGTAAAAGATCCTCAGAGAATTGTGAAGAAAGAAGGAAAACTTGAGAGGGGCCGGACCCCATTTATTTTTAGCGGGTCCAAAGGGGGCGACGGGAAGGCCTCCAGCTTCCCGAGACTGAACCATGGTTCTGGGATCGCTACTATCTTCTCTGATGTATTGCACTATAGCCAGCATCAGATTCATCATTTCACTCGATATAAAAGTAGCTTACCGACAGCTTGGATGACTCTAGCTCCTAGAAGTAACAAGCCCTTGATGTACATGAGCTCCCTTTCCTGTTCGCGTGCACAGAGCAGCAGCTCTCCTCTTTCTCTCTAGCGTAACCCTAATGAGCCCAATTGGCACGGTCCTTTTATTCTCCCTATTCCCACAGCAAGCCACCGCCAAATTCGACGAGCTGTGTGACAAAAATAAAGCCTTGTTTTATATGACCAGCATGGCGGGGTCGACGCTTCGTCATTGCTCCTTTTCCCGTGCATCTTCCGAAGAATGGGACGAATGTCAACAGATCGCACCTCCCATTGTGGTCAATCAGGCAGTCGACCCTGGAACCCTAGCATGTGCCAATGTGGCCAGTTGCTAACATTTGCGGCTGGCGTTATACCCTTCTGAGTAAGTTTGAAGAATGCACGTTCATTGGAGGCTCCAGTCGAGTGCCTCCGATTGTGGCTGTGTTGAAATTAAGCCACCCGCTTGGATGACGCTATTGGTCTACTTTTCATGGGTGGTCGCATGCCAGGAACTTCACAAATCCTGACGTCGACGCGGTTACCTCGAAGGGCTGTCCGTTTCGTTTGTCAAATGTGTTCCCAACTCTGAATACTTCATAACCATTGACTGAGAAGTTCAAAAAAGGAGCGGTGTAGATGTGGATGTAGGTGAACTGAAATGAGAGAAAAACTTCGCAAGAGAAAAAATCCCTTGAGTTCTACTTGTGTCCACGCAAAGACATTACGAATATGTCTTAGTGCCCCCTGTAGAAGAAAGTGATGATTGATCTGGTGATCATACGTACCTGTGCTTGAGATTGAAATCTTCGACCACGACCCCCACTCAATTGATTATCCAGGTCGTCATCGATCCATGGCAATCAGATCCCTGCCGTCTATCAATTGCTGAAGAACCCGCCATCATACATGGTGTAGTGAATGGTCGAAGTCTGCGCTCCTGCGCCAAACCATCCCTGGCTGTCTGTATTTTATGCACCCAAAGAAACCAGCCGCTGATCGTGCATGGCACCAAGGCTGTTAATGCGGACTGGTCTCTTGGCCCTGAAGGTGTTTTTCTTTCCTTTTTTTTTCATCTTTTCAAGGCCCAATCTCGATTCTTATTTCTCTTATGGAGTTCGAAGAATTTCAGTACGCTGGTGAGCATGACTTGAATAGACACTCAAATACCGAAAAATGTCTGTTGTGGGAGTCTCTTCAAAGGACCATCATTTCGGTAGCGTGCTTGCATTGCTCTGTCGACAGAAGTCCTTCTGTAGGCTGATGGCACAGGCTTGTCACATACACTACCCAGCGAACGCTTTAGTTCTCATCTGTTCTTATGCCGCCTGTGGTTTGATTCGATGAGTCAACATCGGATGTGGCTGTTCACCAGGAAACGGGCGAAGCAGAGAACGAAGACGAATCGGAACCTCGAGCATCCAAATGGGCCTAGTAAAGTCGATGAGTTCTTCAGGTCTTGAGTAGACCGCGAAGACCCTGGACCGATCGCCCGGACTTTGTGCTGGAATACAGACGAGCCGCGGTACGACAGTGCCGATTGGTCTCCGGGCACTGGCACTGAGTGATGGACAGGCCCAGAGAACGGGCACAAGGGAACCTTGCCAGACTGGCCGTCTGCGCCCATAGGCTGGTGTTGGTAGGATTGTATTGGTGGCCCCTCCAGGAAAGCTTTTCCCGACCCCTCTTTTCCCCTTTCAGTCTTACATAGTTGTGTAATCGTTTCGGCTCAGAAAGTCAGTTGTTTATGCCACTGGGGGCAAATGCCGTGGTCTCAGCTTTCGTCGAGCGATGGCAACACGTATTGCACTGACAGATGATCTTCGTTCAGTATTCAGTAGGTTGAATGGTTGTTTCAGACCTTATTCTGCCGATGGCATTGGCCTTGATTCTCATCGGCACCAAGACACGCTTGGTATCGGGCTGAGCGGCCTTTCCCACCATCCGTACGTTAGTACGTGCGATTGAATCCCGCATCCCAATACTTCGCTCAGCTCACCCATAAAGGGTACGAAACGCACTTTTCGAACGGGTTCAAGGACAGTTCAATCGCCAACATTTTGTCTGCCGCATCAAACATTCGGTCGAGTTTGAGACTTTCTATATATATTACCTGCTTTTCAGGTCACACTATACAGAGTCGTGCTGCGTGGACGGATACACTTGTGTTGATCCCTTGTTTACCTGGACCATCCCGGAGAATAAGACCTGCTCAAGTCCGTCACAGGCTTGGAACAGCAAGATGACGTACGTAAGCTGGCACTACCACCTCCTGTGAACATTGCAATGAGAGCTGATTTTCTGGTCCTCAAGGAGTCCCGATTCACAAACAGAGGACCTAGACGAGAAATTTCTTCAGCTTCTTACAGTCCATGGTCGCGATTTTCAGTCTTACTCGATCGACAACAACATTTGCTTTCAACCTGTTGACGATGTATAATTAGGAAGCTTCACGGCGATTTCGTGCGTCACTAACCTCGAGAACCTTAGGATGAAGTGGAACGCCTCGAACTTCAACACCGAGTCTTCGACAAGGTATTTGACGACCGTCTAATCTTTCCACCTCTACCGAACAACGGCAACCCGAAAAGGATTCTCGATTGCGGTCATGGTACTGGGGCTTGGGCGGTCCAGGTAGCGGAGCAATACCCACAGTGCGAGGTTGGGCCATGCACGGCATCTTTTGCACTTCAAGTCCTCGCTGACGTTTGTACGAAGGTTATTGGAGTGGATATATCTCCTCAAATGAGCCCTGATTTTGCTCCAGACAACTTGTGGTTCCAGGTACGGCTTTTGTTTGACCTGGGAGGGAAAGTCATCTGACATACCAATCGCTGAATGCCCACCGATTGCGTGCAGTGCCCTCGTCTTGTCTTTCCGTGTTATCTTTTCAGGAATGCCTATCGCAGGAAGTGCTAATTCAAGGATTTTGCAGGTTGACGATTTGAATCGCTCCTTTACCTTTCCCTCGGATAATTTTGATCTCGTTCATTCAAGAATGCTAGCGACAGGCATCGATCGAGACCGGTGGCCGTCATATATTCGAGATATCAAGAGGTCTGTTATATGGCGCGAAGATCATCGAATCTGTGATTTCCAAAGCCATAGACTGACTTGTGTGAAAAATTAGAGTCCTCAAACCGGGTAGTTGGGTTCAGATGGTAGAGATGTATTTCAACGTGCAGTCAGACAATGGTTCTCTCACCGAGTCACATGCTTTGAGACAATGGAGTACCAAGTTCATGCAATCACTAAACGACAAGAAGGACCTCCGCGTCGGTACGCGCTTGAAAGAGCTTCTGCTGGCTGCAGGAATGGACCACGTGGACGCAAGGATGATCCCTCTTCCACTCTCCGGGTGGCCCACTGGTACATCTGCCGATGCATAGAACTCGTATGCTACGAAACTGACGCCATTCTAGAGCCGAGGGCACAGGACATAGGTGCGGCAAACCTCGAAAGTACTAGGCAGATGCTCCCCGCGTTGGCTTTATATCCGTTGACCCAACGTCTGAGAGTACCTTATGACGAGTTCCAGCAACTCATTTCCAGAGCACAGGAAGAAGCAGGAACACTGGGCTTGAAAGCCTACTTTCCGCTGTGAGTAGCCCATCGCAGTCGAGTTATTGTTTAGGTGCTGACGGCATAGGTATGTGTGTATTGGACGGAAGCCTTCATGAACAGATTGAGCTTCAGCTGCGATTCCTCGAATGAGATGCTCCGGTCTGCGATTGGGGTTCAAGTCTCATATTTGATTCGAGTTCGCCAAGACTAATGGAGCATGGTGGAGCAAACTTTCAATGTTCACCTAGACAGTTTGATAGTGGCAGTAGCATAAGCAGCTGAATATGATGAGTTGACATGAGATTGTTACTGTTGTCCTCCAAGTTCGAGTTGAGGTCTCTGCTTAAGCCGTGGGACATTACCACCACGTGCAAGCTGTTCAATGCAGGTAAAGCAACCATCATGCTGCGTATGTGCTGATTTATGTTGAGAGTGAGCTTTTCAGATGCTGCATTCGTGATTGTCTGCTATGACATGCTGATCGCATACAATGGTTAGCTCAACTATGAGTGCCACTGTTGACATCGCACTTCTGAGAACTTGTGAATACAAGCTGACTCCGTCACGAAGTGAGATGGCTAATGGAACTGCGGTTGTCAGTGCTTTCAATTGACAGGGATACCAATTCAGTGATGGTGGACTAGTACGTAGTCAGGTGGACTAGTACGTAGTCAACCAAGCTGGCAAGAGTGCGCGACTGGTCCATGGATGTCAAGGGACGGCAAGCACTTTTCTGTCTCCATGTGCACTCCGGGAGTTCTCAGTAAAAGCAAACGCGATTCAAGCTATGCTAACTCTTCAAAAAAAGGGGGCTGTTGTTGCCATCACAATCAATAGGCTGTCGAATAAAGAAAGAAAGAAAGAAAGAGAGAAAGAGAGAAAGAGAGCAGGAAAGAAAGAGAGGCCAGGGAAAAGGCAAGGTTCGGGTACGGAACCAAACACACGGGATCGCCTCGCTATGACTTCTTCCTCCACTTCCCCACGACCTCGACTCCTCCATTTTCCTCATCCACATCTTGTTCCCCACGACCCACCTTGTCATGCATATGCTAAGTTATTGACTGGCCTTCGGCGCCTTCACTTACTGACTATGCTCAAAGAGCAGGCATATTCGTCTTGACCTCGCACGCACCATGACTGGTCGAACAGGTCACCTTATCTCCGTCAGCCACAAATCGAATGACGACTGACTCGTCACTAAACTGAAGGCCACATGGAGCTTCATGCCATTGAGTTCTCTCATTCACCAGAGCTGAAGAATTACGAGCAATGCCTAGACCAGCTAATAAGGTTGAATCTTGTGCGCCGATCTGCTAAAGCGCATGTGTAGTGATGTGTCTGTGTGCTGGAAGCTGCCTTGGCATCGTTGGGCAACTCAAGGCAGTTGATACTCGACAAATACACCAGGCAACCAGGCTCTTGCTGCCCGAGTCATACACTGGGTCTTACTCGTAGTCGGCAATGTTGAATTGTCTTCGATTTGATGCGCTGAACCTGACCCCAGCTCAGGTAGTCCTGAATTTCGCACCATAGCATACAATTGGGTTTTCAGATTCCAGTCTACCGGAGAAGACCTGCATACGACGCCGTGCGGCTTCGGTGAATGCCTTGAAACCACGTCGATGGAAAATAGGATACAACAATGTTAAAGATGCGCTTTCCTATATGGCCCGTACTATATCGAAGGTGAAGATCGTGTCCGAGTACAGAACCACCCTTTCACCTATTCCTCCTCTTATTAGCACCCCATCAAAGCGTACTGTAGTGCCATGCTCTACCACCATTCAAGACTGACCGAGGTGTAAGCACAAAGTTGAGCCTCGATCGATCGGCCCAGGCGCTTGGGCGCACACAGCGGGGATTTCCGAGACCTTTGGTGGCCTGAATTTTGCCTTAATGCTGCGGCAACAGAGCTTACCACAAATGGTAAGTGCCCGCGGGGCCGCCGCAGCAACGCCGCCTCAGAAAAAAGTTGGCTGCTACTAATTTGATCATCCATCAATCTCCTCCCCGACGAATTGCAGATCTATTCGGAGTGACCTCTCTGCTTTGCGCAACAAGGTCTCAAAATGCCCTCCACTTACAAGAGAGACAAGCCGTGGGATACGGATGATATTGACAAATGGAAGGTGAGTAATCAGAAAAAGATTTTGTGGTGGATCGAGCGAGCGACAGAAACAGAGGCTAACCTGCAAATTTGCGACCAGGTCGAACCCTTCAAGGCCGAAGACAACGTCGCCGGTAGCTTCGCCGAGGAGTCTTCCTTTGCAACTCTGTTCCCCAAGTACCGCGAGCAATACCTCAAAGAGGCCTGGCCCCTGGTGACGAGATCGCTGGAGAAATATGGCATTGCTTGCACTCTCGATTTGGTTGAGGGTAGTATGACAGTCAAGACGACGCGGAAGACGTTCGATCCCGCTGCGATTCTCAAGGCGCGCGACCTCATCAAGCTTCTGTCGAGAAGTGTTCCAGTACAACAGGTGAGAGAGTCCCGCATGACTTCCAATCTACCTAATCTCCTGGCTCACTGACTTACTCTTCAGGCCCTGAAAATCCTCGACGATGAGACCGCATGCGACGTCATCAAGATCCGCAACCAGGTCCGCAACAAGGAGCGCTTCGTCAAGCGCCGCCAACGTATCCTCGGACCCGGTGGTTCCACCCTGAAGGCCCTCGAGCTCCTCACCAACACCTACATCCTGGTGCAGGGTAACACGGTCGCAGTGATGGGACCCTATAAGGGGCTAAAGGAAGTGCGCAAAGTCATCGACGACTGCATGGCCAACATCCACCCAATCTACCACATCAAGGAGCTCATGATCAAGCGCGAGTTGGCCAAGGATCCTTCCTTGGCGGACCAATCGTGGGACAGGTTCTTGCCCAACTTCAAGAAGCGCACTTTGTCGAAGCGTCGCACGCCGTTCAAGGTCACGGACAAGACCAAGAAGGTGTATACTCCTTTCCCGCCGGCACCGGAGAAGAGCAAGGTGGATCTGCAGATCGAGTCCGGCGAGTACTTCCTTTCCAAGGAGGCCAAGGACCGGGCGCACAAGGAGGAGGTTATGGAGAGACAGCGGGTGAAACGCGAGGAGAAGATGAAGGAGCGCGAGAAGGCGTTCGTGCCGCCAGAGGAGGTCGAGGCGACCGAGAAGGACAAGAAGGCCAAGAAGGAGAAGAAGGAGAAGAAGAAGCGGAAGCGCGACTCCGAGGCTGCGGATTTGGAGGGGGATGTCGATGCCTCGGACAGGAAGGAGAAGAAAAAGAAGAAGAAGAAGAGCAAGTCAGAGGAGGCGTCCGACGGAGAGGCTTGATCTGGCCGTCCTCTTCATTTCCTTGGGTTTTGCTCTGTGGTTTCTTTTCCTCTTGTCAAAGGATTTCCCCTTCGTGTGGACTTCCGTAATCAGGCGCTTAGGCATAGCATGGGCTGGAGTTATATGTTTCTTGTCTCCCTTCGCCTCCTGTCATCCAGGACGGAAGGGAATATAAAAAGCCGAATTGAATGAATGATTCAAGTGAGCCTGCATCGGCCTATGTTTTTCTGTCGCCTACGAAAACAAATAAGACTTAGTAAACTGGGTTCTTGCTACTTATTTAAGCGATTTACCACTGAGTCGACCATCTCAGTCTCTCTTGAATCCCGAGTCACTACCTACACATTAATCAATCCCACCAACAACAACAATACATATCTATCTCACAACACCAGCCATCTCACCCACCGAATTAACTCATCTATTCAGTCCATTCACCCACCCAACAATTTTCACCCCTCCAGATCCCTCACATAAGTTAACCCCGTGGCCGGATCCTCAAACTCGTGATGCACGCGCCTCGACCCGTCCGCTCGCTCCTCCACCTCTCTGGAATCAAATAAGCCTCCCGGCGTCGAGGTCTCCTGCCGCTGGCGCGACACCACCTGGTCCCGCGGGTTGTTGTATGCAGAGGTTCGAGGCCGGGCGGCCGCCGGGTCCGAGTCTTGGGTGGAGACATAGCCGGCGAGATGGGAGCTGGTGAGCGGATGGTCGTCTTCGTCATTATTGTCGGCCACGGTGGCGCTGCGGGCTGCGTGGGCGCCGTAGGCGGTGGTTGCGCTGTCGGTGGCGGCGGTGGTGTTGTGGGCTGCTGCGTCGTCTTCGGCGTCCATGGCGGCGATGGTGTTGTAGATGGGGCTGGTTTCGGTCATTTTGATGGTAAGGTATGGTTCACTTAGTAGTTACTAGTATGTAGATTGATGAGGATGATATGTTATTCTTGTTTCTCTTGTTTCTGATGGTCTTGTATCAAATGACTTGCAGGGATTTAGAAACTTCGTGGTGGTTTTGAGGTTTACTTCATGATGCGGTGGAGATATATGCTTCAAGTGTAATGTGGTGATAGGGTGAGTGTATAGTCCGTCATTCGCCACATCAACTCATCTTGATGTAATCGGCTTCCAGGGGGGGATGGCACTGATTGGTTGAGTTCTCTACTTGATTTGCAAGTAACAGGAAGTCATGGTTTGTATTTCCTTTTCAATAAAACAGAGGATTTAGAGAACAACGGGTATACATCATCCTTTGAACAGCATATGTATGTATCGGCTTGTTGTCGGTCTGCCGGTAAACCGGGCTAAAGATATATTCTGTGATGTTACAGAATCAAATAACTTGAGCGATAACTACTACTATCCATGAAAGAGAATGCATCTCAATAATTAGAATCTAGCACAATAATAGTATATGAAAAGAACTGCGAATTCTATACCGCTCATGCATTATTTGGCCTGCAGCAGACCGCAGACCTTTGCGGGAAGCATGCGAATAACAAAGAACGCAGAGCTAAACACCTTGCATATAAACGCATTGAAACTGACTTAACACGCAGCATCAAAGTTGCTTGAGTTGTCTGGTCGGGTCTTGCATCCCAGAGTATGTGGGGTTCGCCTGGACACCATCCCTGGATCAGCGAGGAATGTCAACGATTGATTTGACAAGTTTCTGGCCCTCGACTGGCGGACTGCACTCAATTGAAGCACAACTACGATGACAACGATAAAGATACAGCAACTACTATTCTTTCATGCAGGAATGCTAGATATAAGCTCTGCACGAAATCATACATCTTCTCCGGGCCAATGTACGATCCCCGATGGACCCGGAGTAGATAATGCCCACACAGTTCACATTCCTCCCAAAAACACAAATATATGCCACCACAACACCAGAAGAATGATCCAGACACTCTCAGCAAGCATTTAGCAAGGAGTCCTTTGCAAACTGCACGCGAAGCTCGTCCCCCACAGTCTTGAAGTCCTGCCATCTAGTCTTTAAGATAGCACCACCATGTGCCCCCTATCGATACCTCCATACCCCGGAGCTGCTACACATTCCAACACATCTCACCCACCATAAAAGCCCACAGTCAGACCCAAGGTCGCCAGCCGAACAATCATGAGGGTCAGCTCGCCCTTCAAATCATCACCTAGGAAGGTGACACAGCCTCGTGTGGTTGAAGACTGTTTTGGGTCGTTGCCAGAAACCCCTCAGAACCCGGTATATACTTACAGCATCATGATTCCCCCCATACCCACATACACATATATGATACTATACATAACACTATCAATCTCCTTCACTAACCAGATATCATTCCACTACTAACCATATATGTCCACGAACAGCCTCCCGCCCGCAAACGCTTCAGCCCGATCAAAACCACCCGCACCTCCAAGAAAAAGCCCCCGCTCTATCCGCCGACGCCAGCCACAAATCCCCTCGTATCCCGATCCCGCAAAAGCAGCAGCTCCTACCACAAGCCGCTGCTCAATCAACAACGATCGCGAACAGCCTCGAGTTCCACCACCCACTACCACAGCATCCACCTCCCAGAGAGCCTCTCATTCACCCAACAGCGACAACGCACGCTGTGCGCTGAGGACGAGGCGGGCAATGGAGAGCAGGAGGAAACAGAGGGCGAGCCGTCGCCGTGCGTGGAGATCGCCTCTCGAAAGGCCACGGCGAAGAAGTTTGGGCTGGCGTCGCGGGTGCGGCGAAGACTGCAGTTTGCGACGGCTGCGTCGGCGGTGAGCACGACGCGGGGCTGGGTATCACCGAAGAAGGACAAGCAGAAGAAGGACTCGTCGCTGCGGAAGGGGTTTCAGCGGCTGGGGACAGCGGACGGGTCGCCGGAGGATGTGTTTCGTGATTATCGATGTCAGGAAGGTGAGGAGTTGGTTTGTGGGTCGTGATGTTGGGGTTTGTAGATCTATTGTCTTATGGCGTTTGAGGGTTGGGTGGGGTTTCCATTTGTCTACTATGCTGAAGAAAGTACATTGATGGACTCATGATAGGATTAGCAGCGAGGTTGATCCCCAGCAACGCCTGACGACACTGTCCGCTCGACTCCAGCTCTCGTCGATGCGTTGCTTCACATCCACCGGGTCGAGACACTCGTGGTCGAGCCCGTTGCAGGTAACATGCTTCATCTTCCTGTCCTCCATCTCGTAAAGCGCCCACACGGTGACCTTGATCACATCTCCAACTTGCACTTTGTAGCCGTGGACCACGCGGTCTGTCGTCTGAGTGTAGAGGAAGCATGTCTCCATAACGAAGAAAAACAATGTGCCCTTGGTCGATCATGACTAGCATGGGAACGACGGTTTCCTCGGCTGTAGCATGCTCCACAGCATAGTGACAAGGGTTCCAATTTCAGGATTGGGAACGACGAGCCGGACATCTGGGTGGTAGAACAAGTGCTGTTTCCGGTAGTCTCTGGCGTTAACCAAGGCCCGGATGTACACGAGGAAATGCCTGATAGATGAAGAGGTCATGATTCAATCTCGAGGTATGAGTTTGGGAGGAGATCGATATAGACGTAGGGTCGGGGTCGATTGCTGTCTTCTCGTGTCAATGAAATCAATGCTATCCCAGATGTATCGCCAGCTGCCGAGTGTGCCAGCGTCATTTGCGCTCGCGTGCCAGTTGCGTGGTTTTGTACGTCGGGTCCATCTCTCCTCCACATCTCGGTAGCAAATTTGGGAAGCTGAGGCAGTAGATGATAGGTCCCTGTCATCGATAGTGGGATCTCCACCAACGCCGCAGTCAGTCGGGTTAATGGTCAAATCGTCCAGCTGAACTGTGCGCTTGTCTCTACATGACGGCAGTCAACCCGAGAAACCATACTACTATCTGTGCTGCTATGCCTACGCCGATGGCCATCCCAACCGACGGTTATTGATCAGATCGGGAAGATGCTCATGCTTGGCGGGTTTCAACACAACTTGGAACTTGTGCAAGATAATCAACCGCATTGCATGGTTGGCAATTGAGCGAGTTTTGCGATGTCAGATTGAACGATGTGTCGAAGCGGCGTGAGTAGAAGAGTTTGAATTGAAGGAAGAAAGAGAAAGAGAGGATGCGTATTCAGTACGACAATCGGCTTGATCCTACAATAAATCACTCCACACGAGCGGACGAATGACCGGAGACCAACCGACCCCATATTCTAACGCTAGACCCGCTTTTGCTCCGGTTCATGCGAAGCCAACCTACTACGTACAGTAGTATCTCAAATGCCTACACAGTACCTTACATTAGTACCTCCTCCAATTTGACTGTCTTTGATTACGGAGTAGATTGGCCATTCGAATCGAGTGCAATCACTGAGTCTCATCCCATCATCCCTATCACCCAACCATGAGCGCTGAATTCTACCCCAACACACAATTTGGGTCAGGGATCTTCAACCGCTATTGCGCATCCGACTTGCCTCGCTGGGTAATCCCCATGCCTATCATCGGCCTTGTTGAATTTCTGGAACTACTACCTACAGTATTCTGGTCTCCACGAGCAGTGAAATTGGAGCGCCTGTCAGCCTTTCTCCGACCCATTCATAGTCGGTCATTGGCAATCCCATCCACCACGAACCGCTGACTTGCCAATTGCAACGGTTCCAGATCCAAAGTGCCTCGATGGCCTCATCGTATTGCGCGTATCCGCGACGGAAGGTGGCTTCGAAGGTTTCGCATCCCAGACTGATGCCCCATCAGCGGCGCTTTAGCGTCCAGATAGAGGGGCTAAGCACTGCTTACTCTATGTACCCTAGCGAGATGCTGGTCTCGGTCATCAAGAAGGGGTAAGATTGTTAGCCATGGAGAGCGAATCGAGCAGAAGCCTTGCCTTATTTATACCTCGCCCTTTCCCGCCCAGACATGCTCGATGGCTCAGCCGATCAATCGGTCAATTAACCATGGCTTTGATTGTTGAGCACCTGGAAAGCCACCATCTGCTGCAAGGCGCAGCTGTAGCCTTGCTCTTGGTCTTGGTGTCGAGCTTCTATGGGGCTGTCATCAGCAGTTTCCCCTACAAGAACATCCCCTTAATTGGAAAGAGTCAGTGGGAGTTGTCGAACAGCAAAGCCAAGCAGCGGTTTGTGACATCTGCGAAGGAGCTCATTGCGGAGGGGTTCAGTCAGGTTCGTCCTTTATTCTGTTCGAGACAAAACGGAGCCCTCAGCTGAATCATTGTATCATGTGCTGATGGAGACTCAATATAGGGCCTGAAGGTCTTCCAAGTGATCTCGAACTCCAATTCAACCATCATTCTCCACCCCAGTTTCGTGGATGAAGTGAAGAACAATCCCGATCTCAGCTTCGACGAAGCGACCAAACTGGTACTACTGAACCTCTGCCATAGATTGAGGTAGGCGACTCTAACCGAGATTTGACAGACCTTTTTTGGGACCAAGATCCCCGGCTTTGAGGTTTTTGAGCGGGTAGAGCCTGTCCAATTGGACGTGATCAATAAGCGTCTAACCCATGCCCTTGGTAAGTAACTCACCTACAGGCCAACCAACACTGCTGAGATATCTTCAGGTCAACTTGTGGCTCCTCTATCGAAGGAGACTAGCACTGTATTGCAAGAACGGCTATCCAAGAGCGACAGTGAGTTCTTACCTTTCCCAGGTAAATCGGCTCGACATTGACCATGATGGGCATACAGCATGGACCCCACTCAACTTCGCCACGGAGATCCCATATATAGTCGCTCGGTTGTCGACTCTTGCGTTCCTGGGCGCGAGAATCTGTCGGGACGAGCACTGGCTCAACGTGTCCGTCAATTTCACTATCGACTCGTTCACCGGGGCGCGCGATCTTAAATCCTGGCCATCGGTGCTTCAGCCATTCGTGCACTGGTTCCTACCTTCAGTCCAGGGAGTGCGCAAATATATGCGCATTGCGTCAACTATCGTCGACCAGGAAATCGAAAGGCGGAGACTCATTCGAGAGGGTCGGCTGCCTGCAGAGAACCCGCCCCGGAGTCACGAAGACACATTGGACTGGTTTCATGAGCTTGCAGAGGGACGCCCGTTCCACATGACGCGGGCCCAGATAGGACTGACTCTCGCAGCTATCCACACGACGTCCAACCTCCTGACGAATGTTATGTACGACCTGGCGGCGCACCCCGAATACATGCAGCTCCTTCGCGACGAGATCCAGACGGTCATCAACGAGGATGGCGGGACTCTGAAAAAGACCAGCTTGACGAAGATGAAGAAGATGGATAGCGTGATGAAAGAAAGCCAGCGGATGAACCCCACCGGAGTTGGTAAGCATCCCCCCCACCCCCCCTGCTGAGGTGCCATTTGACCCCCGAACCTGACAACGTGCAGCCTTACTCAACCGCGTCGCGATGAAAGAAGTCTCTCTATCGGACGGCACCCGTATCCCCAAGGGGGCTAACCTGCTCGTCTCTACCCACAACCTCCAAGACGAGAGCATCTACTCGTCCCCCGGCGTCTACGATGGGCTACGCTTCTACCGGTGGCGCCAGTCGCCCGGCAACGAGCACCGGTTCCAATTCGTGACGACCAGCGCGGACCACTACGCCTTCGGGCACGGAATGCACGCCTGTCCCGGTCGGTTCTTCGCGGCCAACGAGATCAAGATCTTGCTGGTGCATCTGTTGCTGCGATACGACTGGATGTTCGAGGATCGGACCGTGAGGCCGCCGAACTTTATGCATGGGATGGAGTCGATATGTGACCCGACCGTGCGAATGTTGTTCAAGTCCCGGGAGCCGGAGCTTGATCTATCCAAGTTGGAATAGAGTATGCGCTATAAGTTGTTGTTCGTGGTATGAGCGGTTATGTAGCTTGATATTATCGAATTAGGCCAATCCATAAATTGAGACATTCACAGAGAAGAACCGGGTTTCTCCTTCAGTCACACTGCAGTCGCCCCCTCAGCTTTCAGCTGTTGGCATTGACACCATTATGACGCAAAAGCATACATCTAGTTAGCCCAGTACATACTCGGTATGAATATGCAGGGTAGTATAAGTCAACCCCACTGAAAGCAAGGGGGATGGAGGGGGAAACCCACCGAGCCGGCACCACGCAGCAATGCGGCCACTTCTCCTTCCCCATCCAGCACGCAGTGCGTGTTTGTGACTGATGAACGCATCCGAGTGTGAGATGCTGACGATGATTCGGAGATGGATCGCTAGGACGTGGGCAGAAGTTGAAAGGAAAACAACTTACATTGAGCGTCTCTGGTGGACCGAATGAGCGCGAGACATCCTTCGTATGCGGTACACAGATGACGCTATAAGCCCGCACCCCGCAGACCAAGAATGCTACAAGATAATTCTCTCAAGTGTTTCTTCAAGTTTGAAGCATACGTGAGGTGGTAGGACTAGACGACGCAGAGTGATGTACAAGCTCAATCGCTGCGTGGGGGCTCGGATATTGGTACTTTGTAATGTCATACGCGCATGTCCAGTTATAATTGTATGGCCCCGTCCTTCTTTGCCCTCTTCATAAGATAGCAGAGACTGAGAGAGTGGGCAGGCAACATAAGCCTGATGGATCAGCAGTGCAGGAGAATCACAGGAGGATGATCAGCAGGGATTGGATGAGGCTGACGGCTCGTGCTACTGGTGGTGTACCCGATGTACTCTGTACTTTGCTGCTGGGTTGATGGGAAAGTCAACAAGCATCGAACCCAACCAGATCTCGGTCAAGACTGGTTGTTTGATCCATGGGGGACAAGCAATTGTGCTCTGGATTGACCCAGTGACCGCCAGACTCGTCTGGTCCCTGAACGAGCATTTCTTGATTGCGGATAGATCGGGTCCAGGTTCCATATCAATTCGGGTGCCAGTGCTTTCCCTTCCCGCTAACCCACACCAGCGTGGATCTCAAAGTAGCGAGTGTCTAAGAATAGAAGAATCAGGTGGGCTGTGCTTCCTTGTTCCTGGACCAACAGGTGCTCCATCCCCAGCCACCCTTCTTTCTTTCTTTCTCTCTCTCATGCTTGAAGTGCAAGATAACCATGAGGGTTACTTGATTTCTTAGTCAGGAACCAAAACGACCGCCCAGACCCTAGCGGTAAGAGTAACCGCGATACCAAGATCTCCACGTTGTAAGTGGTGGAATGCGAGGCATGTACGGTCATGTAACCAGACGCGCGGATACGCGTCGATCACGCGGTAAAGTCGCGGTTACCCCACCTCGGCACGCGTCGGAGATGTTGATAGGAATTCTTTGACGAGAGACTCGGGGGACACCTTAAAGAAGATGGAGGAGAGTTGAAGTGGTATGTAATGAAGGGAAGTCCAGGAGGATCGTCTTCCTTCTTCCTTCTGGCTTCTCTCCTGATTCAAATAACCCACCACTGAATCACTAATCACTCAAGTACACTCCATCTGCTTTGAACCGTACCATCGAAATTAGTACTTAAACATCGGGATGCGACTGGCTGCCGGTTAGGGTCGCTAATGCATGCCCAGTGCTTTGAGGATTCGTTTGGCCTGATAGTGGAGAATGCTGCTGCAGGAGACTGGAGTTCGCGGCCTGGGGGCAAAGTGTTCGCCCACTCTCAGCGCCCTCGGTCTCTCACCGTCACACACTATGAATACACAGCCCTCAATGATAGAGAGTACCTCCCGAGGCCACGAATTCCCTTCCCAGCCACCCGACTTTTCCTCCTGAGACAGGGGCAGTAGACTAGGGAAGACCCGCTCTAACCTCGTGAGGCATCGTGAAGCTTGTCATCAAACAAAGTGAAGGAACAGGAGAGGTACTGTAACTACTCCGTAGGACAGAGAAGACAAGATCACGCACCAATTTCCTGCTACCACCAGTAGCAGCCACGTACAGGGCAGATACTGCACACACTGCATAGTGCCCATTGCACATGAGGGCATCGCATCAAACCAGACACCCTTGCAGGGGTTGGGGTCTAGCAATGTTGCAAATAAGTAAAGGTGGGAGGAGATTAAATCATCTTGGGCATGGCTCGATACCCAGCCTAGCCCGTGCAAAAAGGGACAGTCCGATCCGCCCCCATCAATCGAACGACCATTTGTGGAGAAGCCACTGCAATCGATGCAATGCCATGATTGTTGGGCAACGCGGTGAGGCGTGCATGGGATTCCTTCCTTCTGCTCACTGTCAATCAATCTATATCCACGCAGACTCGAGAAGGTTGGGGCGGAGGGAAAATCAAACACAATAGGGAAAAAAAGGGGTTTAGCAGAATCCACGCCGAGTTCTCCGCATTCCAGAGCCAATGTGACGAGGTTTGTTCCCTTGTGTGCTTGTTTCTTTTTTCATTTCACATAAATAAACTCAATTTGTGATATGACTGATATCACATCTTTGTAGTTTTGTATGGAGTATGGAGTATGGAGGAGTATTGAGATGGGGCCTCCATCCATCCATGGAACGGAGCAGGGAGAGGAACGAGCTTAAGTTAAGGTAGATTTAACCGCTTGCTGTTCTGCTCGGCTGTCTGTGCCTTTCTGCCAGTTACTGTACTTAAGTTGTTAGTAGTAGTTAATCAGGTAGTAAGTAGTAAGTTAAGTAGTAAGTAGTTAAGTTAGTAGTAGTTACCACTGAGTTAGTTTCCTTCCCTTGCCTCGTTCCTCTTCCTCCTCCTCCTCCTCCTCCTTCCACCCCCGAACTCTCCCTCTCCCTCTCCCTCCCTCCTCCCTCCCTACTCTCTCACTGTTACTCTCATCTTCTTCCTTCCCTCCCACGCTTTTTTTCTCCTCTTTCCCCCTCCCCCTCTCCCCACCACCCTTTTGTCTTTTTTTTTATTTCCCTCCTCTTTATCTCCGATAGAGCCTGTCGCTCGTCCTTGACTATCCCTTTCTTCCTTTTCTTTTCTTTTTTCTTTTTCTTGGCTTATTGTCTTTGGGTTTCCTGTGTTGTTGGTTCCCGGTTCTCGCCATACTTCCAAGTAAATCGACGATCGGGCAATGGAGGCCGCCAATTGTTCGAGGTGATCCTGTCTCAATTCCAGCGCATCGCTACATTCCACAACCTCGCGCCTCACATCACCTCATCTCACTTGCGATTTCTACCGACCACTCACACCCCGACTTCTCTTGTTTTTCCTTTTCTCAACTCTCTCCCACTGTTACGATTTACGACCCTTCGACCCCTCCGACCCCGAACCGTACTTGGTCGATCTTCCCGGAGCTTGACTCAAGGCACTTGACCATTGACTGAAACCGATTTCATTGCTCCATCTTCTCTTTGGGACTTCGTCAAAATCAGGTCGCTTGGTTCACGCAGCTCTAGCCTTCACCGCTGATTGTCAGCGCGAATCAATTGGAGTCGCTGACACTGCGCACGCCCGAGGTTATCCGAGTCCGCGCCTCGATCATTGCTGAGAATAATCTCCTTTACCTGCGCCCATCACAGTTCAAGACGAGCGACATGTTATAGTGTCAGGCGAAGTATTATTGTTAAGAGTACGTATCCAATCTTCGGACCCCGTCGTCGCGATCCAGCCTGTGGCCGACTCCCTCCGCCCGAATCCGTCACTTGTACACCATGGAGTCTCGACAGCTGGGCCTGTCGCGTACGCTGCCGAAGAATTTCACCTTTCCTTCTAGCAGCATAGGTGAGCCGAAGACACCCGAGCGCTCGTCAGCGTCCCTTGATGTCCCGCCGCCGCCTCGTCATTCCAGCTGTCGCCTTCGCCGATCCCGTGTTCGCTCTGGGACCAACGTCTTTGCGCAAGCCGACTATGACCTCAGCACGGCCCATCCAAACCCATCCGACATTCCCCTCCCCTCTATCGAGGTTCCCACGCCTCGCGATGCTTTTGTGGTCAATACAGGCTCGGCAATCCCGTCGCGCGATGACCGCTTTCTGGCCCCCCCTCGGGACAGAGTAGCCCTGAAGACCCCTCCAGCTCAAATTCGCCCAGGCTTAGACGATTCAATTGCCGAGTCTTGGTCCTCCGAAGACCCTCGTGCCTATGGAGAAAGCATCCAACGACCTGGGTCCGCCTGTTCGCAAGCTTCGGATTCTTCGGTCTCGTCTATCGAGACGTATGGGTCGCGGCGCTCAGCGGGCGGAAGCTGTACGAGCATGGAGAGCGATTCTTACGACCCATTCTTTCATCTTGAACTGCCTCCAAAGCATGTCACCGAGACTCCGTCGATGCGCCCTGCGCTCAAGAACAAACCGTGGGTCCGCTCAACAAGGGAGCACTGGACGATCGATATGGACAACCATTTATGGAACACATATCAGCTGTACCTTCAAGACCCAACAATCACTCCTTTCAAGATGACGCCGGGTAGTATTCCACCCTTGGGTGTCACTCATCGGGTTGCACGCGACGCAAAGCGGACATGGGAGAAACGGCGCTTCAGACTGGATAAGCAGTTTCCGTTCGCCATCCTCCAGTCCCGCTCGGGCGGAGACTCCACCCCGACCCCTAAGGCCGATGCCGCAAGACCGCTTTGGCCCAAGTCGGAGGCCTCAACCCGGCGGAGGCTGAAACTTCTGTGTCGGAAGAAGTTTTCCATCGCGCCTCATTACCAAAGGATGTTGCAGTCCAAAAGTCCCACACCGTTCTACGATTTGTTCACACGGACCTCACGGGAAGCCTCTCAGACAGGTGAGTACAGTAATACATCTACCGCGTATGCAACTCGTGACCTGGGTGTGTCACTTGTCGCCAGCTCGGTCCACGGCCCTCTTGCTCAACTCACGGCAGAGGATGCGTCCTCGACAGAGAAGAGCGATGAGTGGTTCAACAACCCAACGACCGGTTATGCGCAGCCAACTCTTATGGAGCCAATTGCGCAAGATCCTGCCCAACTACACGAACAAGGAAGCATACCTCGCCTCGGTTCCCCATTTACGTACAATACTTGGAGTCCACACGGCTTAAGGAAACGATTTCAACGCCAGACACCGAGAACCAGGCGGGATACAATCCACGTCACGGGTTCCCGACTACGATCCCTACCTATGTTCCCGACCACTGAGCATGACACCACTGTTGTCAATACTACGGCGCCGATAGAAACTCCTGTAGGACAAGATACACGAGACCAGCTGGAAGAGCTTGTTCGCCAAGGAAAATTAAACGAGATGGATCAGCGGCGAATACGAATCCGTAATCGTGGAGCGACAATGAGTGCGGTGAACCCTAGGGGCATCGACCAGCTATTTTCCCCACCGTCCTCATCCTCCCGCAGTGAGGAAAGTCTTGTGGAGAAGCCTGTCAATTCACTCCTTAATTTGATGGGGGACAGTATCAAGCGCTTGGGCTCACCTTTCAAGGTTGAGGCCATCAAACGGCCCGAACCCTCGCCTCGGTCCGTCAGACACGCACCCTCGCTCTCCGACCCGTTCGCAAGTGGGATGCTCCCGCAGCCCAGGCCGACCCTATCTACCACCCCATTCAAGGAACCAGAGATGACTATTCCCCTCCCATTTGACCCGACAGAAGAAGGCATATCAGATGCGGAGCGAATCCGCAGGCAAATCCTCAATATGCCCTACACGAGGCGGTAGTGCTGGCGACCTTGATCTTCCTAACGACTTTGGACGATTTATTGCGGTTCTGATCGCACTTAATCAGAGAATAACGACAGAAACGGCATTGACGATCTTATGACCTTATCTCGAACTCTCCAGAGTTCTGTATGTTGAAAGTTCAACATCGGCAAATTATGAAAATCAGCAAAACCACATTTACCCAAGTGCACTCAGACGCGTGGCTCCAGATGCATTTACCCTCGTATTATGGTCAGGAACCAGCACCATGATGTGCCAGCCCCTGAGGCTGAAGAATATCAAATCGACAGAAGTAGATCGATCGTTGTTACCTTCTTCGCATTGTTCCGACTATTGCAGCCTTGCACCTCTACACGGCCTTTGATTACTCCAAGAAGTTCATCTGTATAGAGCTTCAACAACTACCGGCGAGAGTTCTCTGCAAAGCTGTTCACGGTCAACCGCATTCTTTCTTTTTTCTTTTTGTCCTCACTCTACCTGGCCGAACCATTTTCATTCTTTGAAGGTCTATCCACCAACACGCATCTTCGATCAACTACCAAATAGGGCAGCTGGCCCAGCTCCGACCAACCCATCGCTCCCTGACAATTCACTCCTTGACTATTTCCTACCTTTCTATTCCGTTTTTCCCTTTCATCACGTCATCATTGACCTCACCAGATGATTGATCGAAGATCGAATTTCTCTGCGTTTTGATCATATCTTCTTTTATCTTATTGTTTTTCTTTTTGCCAACGACAACGACCCCCGTGTGACCGAGAGAATTTTTACACGACAACGATTGGAACGGAGAGACGCGCTATTGACTGAAACGACATTTTTGTGATAGATGACATGATTAAACTGCATTCAACTTGAACCCCCTTCCTGCTTTGAGGAAAGATGATTGTCCTTTTGAAAGGAAAACAGACACACGACATGGAAAGCGAAGCGAAGCGATGATGATCCTGTATCTTCTCCTCTTGTTCTAGCGATTCCTCTTTCTTTGCGTGTATGTGTGTGGCATTCAAGGTCCCGATTTTAAGTCCCTTCTTGCTTTTTCCCCCTGCTCTCCATCTCTGTGCAAGGTGTTTCTGAGCAGAAGACTTTTTGTCTGTTTCTTCATGTCCACTTTTCTGAAACCCTCCCTTATTCTCACTTTCATTCTCTCTCTCTCGATCTACCTATCTCTAGAGATCTCTTTTTCCAGCTTCATAGCAGGTTGAGTTATGTTTGTTGTCCTGCGAGGGATGTGCATAACACTTTTTCTCTTATTGAAATCTATTTGGTTCATGGAACTAATTACGAGTGTTTCTTCTTGGGGTTCAGGCGCATTGGGATGCAGAGTGCCAGTGTAGCTCGGGTGGTTGTTGGTGATGCCCCTAGATTCAGTGTGGAGAGGGATCTCCCTGGGTTCCAGTTTACTGATCCTTGTGGCTGGCTGCCTCCATTGGGACATGATTGGTGCTACGGCGAGTTTCGGCTGTGATCAGGCAGGAAATCCCGCATATTCCCAGTATTTACTACTGAGCATGGACGTGCTCCTCGGACGAAGCCACTGACTATGTGTCTGAGAGAATAGGAATACCGAAAAAAAGGATGACATTATCATTAAAAGTGACTTGCAATGTGCGAGCCCCTTTCTCACAGAGAAGGGGTCAAATCCCGAAGCGAAGATACAAGAAAGCCCCATTGATTCGATCCAGGTCAAACCAGAAGGGAAAAATGATCCCACCCCGAAAACGCCAACGCTGCGCAACAAAAACAGCCACATCTGAAAGCATGCTATGGGTATAAAAGGGGGTCCGACGTGTAGGTATGTGTGTTTCAATCAATGCAGACATCATGAAAACAAAGCAAAACAACAAAAATAAGTCTGAAGAGCCATGTGGGAGAAACCAAGTGGTTGGTGCCATCAGACCTTCTCCAGTCTTTTCTTCCGCTCGGCGAAGATCGCCTCTAATTTGCGGATCTGCAGGCCAAGTCCTTTCTTTTCTGCATTCACCAGCAGCCAGTCCTCCATCCGCTCACGGACCAGTCTCATTGAACTGGTCACGGGTAGGACGGGACCAGGGGTCTCAGGATCTGAGAGGCTGGCGGCCGCGGGGTTCCCGCTCTCGCGCTCCACCCGGACCCAGCGCTCTGCGCCGGGGTTGAGAAGGAGGTCGAAGACGTCGCTCCAAATCTCGCGCTCCCAGTAGCGTTTGAGGGATTCGCGGATGCGGTAGGTGCGGCTGCTGGCTGATAAGGCGAGACTAGGCGGCTCACTCGAGGGGGAAGAGGCGCCCTCGCTGCTGCGGACGGGCATCGACTCGATATACTTGCCAAAGAGCATCACGTGGATGGTCCCCGCCAGTCCGTAGAGGTCGATCTGATGAGTCCAGGGTCGCGACTCGCGAATCTCGTTGCATTCGTGCTTCTTCACGTCCCAGTCGGCAATGAATTGGACAGACGGTGAGAAGGCATGCATGTCGATCCCGCGACCAAAGTCGATCAAGGAAAGGCCCTTATTACACCAGCCATGGTATCCCCTGGGTGAGTAGTGCACTTCGCGAGGATCAAGATAGTCATTGTCAAAGTCAATGAGCGAAGGTGGTGGGACGGGTTTGTCATCCAGACGAACGAGACAGTTGTCAGCTTTAATATCGCCGTGAAGAATCCCACATGCGTGCAGAGCCTCGATGGTGCGAAACAGTTCGACTGTGAAGAACATGGCAAGCACCTCATCCAATCCACCTTCACTATTGGTGCTTGTCGAAATTGGTTCGTTGCGGACGAGATTGACCAGGTCCAAAATTGTACCCTGACCACGGTAGTCTTCCACCAGTATGCTCTCGCCTTTGTACACATGGAGCTCGTGTGCGCGAATGATGCTGTCTGTGGCGCGAGACAGCTCGGTGTTCCGGGTCAGGCGGTCGTGCGCGGTGCGGATCATGTAAAACTCCCATTCATTCGGCGGGCCAACTTCCAGCTTAATTGCCTCGAAACCGTAGCGTGGGGTGCTATAGCTCGAAATGGTCGTGCCGTTGGAGTTTCCGCTGGAGTTGCCAGTTGATTCGTTCTCCGAGTCAGACGGTAGGCTTTCAATGCTTTCCGCAAAGTAGACCGGTGCATAAGCCCCGGCGCCTAGCTCTCGTCGGATGATATAACTTCTCTCAGCACCGGGTAGGTCTAGGATGGGCAGATCAAACGCCGCCTCGTCTCCACTCTTCCCACGCTTGCTATTCGCTTTGAAGAACCTCTGGACTTCAGTGCCGTAATGAGTTACCCTTTGCGGGCGATTGTGGTATCCGGAGTACGAGGCCAAAGGCGGCTGCAAGGATCGAAGAATAGTGTTCCGAATGTCTTTGTCTGTGGGACTGCATTGCAACTGCTCGATTACTGGCTCATGACGACTGCTTTCACTCAAAGGTGTTAAACCCATGCTAGACCTTACTTGATCCACATTCGGGCAGATCGTCACGTCCTCTGGAATATCGGCAAAGTGGTCATCGTGGTAAGGTGTTGTTGTACCCAGTAGGGGACTAGACAGCAAATTACCCATCTGTGGTCTGGAAGGTGTTTTCGCATTATACATTTGAGCCCTTGCTGCTGTCATCGAGATGGAGTACTCCGTCTGCTCAACAATAGGAGTCATAAATGGCAAGCGGTTCTGAGCTACCATTGCAGGATCGCGGTAGGTGCCATAGGGAGCAACATAGTCTTCCGGCATTTCTGGTACAAAGCGCTGTCTTTCAGGCTGTTGAAGATCGGAATTCTCGTCGAACGGTTCTTCATTTTCTGCATCATTGTATGGAGGGTGTTCCTCAGCAAGTGAACGGGAGGTGTGCGATTCAGGCACATCGCAAGCCGAGAACTGCGTCCATTCACCATCAATAACACTTTCGGCCCGTGTGTTATCCTCGAAGCCATCCTCGTCAAAGGACTTATGAAACGTTGTCGTCTCATCGTCGCCGAAATCGCTGGATGCAGCTGAGATATGACCCGTCACAGTACTTTCCCCAGCGCTAGTGTAATCGTCATCGTCAAAGTCACTCTCAGCTGCGTGATCCGTCTCCGCCTTCAGTGGTTGATTGAAGATACTATAGATCTCATCCGTTGCAGCTCGTGTGTGTATTGTCATGGTAGGTTCAGCAGTGCTTTTCCGACGGATCTTGCTTCCAGTTGGAGAATCGAACTTCATTTTGACTGCAGGTTGATTAGCATGCATAAGCATTTTGCCATGGTCGTGGTCGAGAAAAAAGCTTACTTGTCTGCGTTTCTTGCTTGACTTCGCGCATTTTCATTTTCCGCGCCTTGGTCTTGTTCTCTTGGGCCGCGCGTGCTTCAGCTTGTTCCTGCGGATGATTGTCGCTATCCCTCACGGTCAGTTTCTGTTTGAACTGAGCTGGCAGTTCATTTTCTATGCCATGTTGAAGTGGGTTCTCCATGGGCATTTCCGCATTGGAATTGCCAGGAATCTCTCTGAGGGGCTGTTTGGCCACCCGCCAATCCTTCTCCAGCCATCCACGGTGGAGCGCCCTGAGCTCCTCGAAGCTCACTTCGTGGTTCGGATTCTTATAGTCAGGGTATACAGCATCGAGGTTGACGAAAACGCGTTCCCGCCGCCCGGTACGTGGATTGATTGCTTCCTTTACGCGGTGCTCTGGTACAATATCTGGAAGATCTTGTTTGACTTGGATTTTGGATTGTGACTGGATACATTAATCGTAAACCAACCCGGGTTCATGCCACCAATTAGTCCTGCGATCGTAAATATCATGGAAGTCAGAAAGAATCGGCAAATGCACATACCTCATCCCTGAATATCGTCATCTTCTCCTTCGGCACGGGTTTCTTCCCGGCCTTCAACGTTTCTCCTGCCCAAGGCTTCGCTTCCACCCTATTCTCTTTGCGTCGATCCTGCATTGAGCCGATGCTGTCCCACCCTTGCGCCGGGCCACTGACCGCCGGCTGGCTCGCTGCGTCGGCATCGGAAAAGATCGCCATCTTCGGTTTGCCGGATTTTGTCTTGGGGGCGGCGCTCCGGGCGGGTGCCGCGCGCTCGGCCTGAGGATCAGGGGAGGCGGGTGTAGCCGATGCAAAGGGATTAACCTTTGCAGCCAAGGCTGGGCGGACTGCGGGCAAGGCTGGGGATGAGGGGCCATTGTCCTGCGTCCGTTGTTCATAGCGGTGCTGGAATTCGCGGTATTTGCGGGCCAGGCGTTCCGCTGGCCGGGCCTCTCGGTCGAGACCAAGGTGATAGACCTCGTCTGCCTGTGTCCACCGCCCTGCACCCTCCAGCCAAGCTGCAAACTCTTCATAGAACAACGCAAGGCCCTCACCAATGTGATGACGCGCCAGGAAGGCGAAGGTCTCTCGCGGCGAGTCGGAGAATAGTCGGATGTATTGCAGCCACAAGCGTAGGTAGCGGGGGTCGTTCTTGTAGTGAGCGGAGGAGAGGAAATGCTTCACAGCGCGTTCGAGGAGGGGAAGAAGCCCTGATTCAGGGGTAGCCTGAGCGGAAGGGTAGGCGTTTAACGTCCATTTCACATATCGGTCGTAAATATCGAGCGGGTCATCAGATTCGTCGATGGCTTGCAGCTCCGCCTCGTATTCTTGTCGTACAGCATCGTTGACGCTCTTCATTTCGTTTGGCGATGGAACCGCAAGCTTGTCTGTTGTCTCTCGGGGGCTGAAGATACGGGCCAGTTCCCGAGCAGACCGTCCTCCCGGCAGAGATTGAATGTTCTCCTTTTGGTTCTCGATGATGTCGAAATCGATCAGGTCGTCGGAGGCCGCCATGGCGGCGAAGAAAGAGCGAAACACGAGTTCACTCGGCGAAATGTTGCTGTGATAGTGATATCAACTGTGTTGGTATCGTTGCAGTCGTTGATGGCGTTGGGCGGTGGGTGAAGGTCGATGCGATGAAGGCTGGGAAGGAGGCAAATAAGAAGGAGTTGAAGCAAATCGAATCGAGTTTATCGATAAACATCCGTTGGTGGAAGCCGCGTTGCTCCAACAACCAGTCACATGCACGCTAGTCCAATCAAGGCAAAATTGAAGCGGCCACCAGCCTTCATCATAGGCAGTCGCTACGTAGCCGGTAGATAATTCTCATAAATCATGAGTATGATCGCACATATTTATTTTCCGTAATCGGTCTGAAATTTATGAATTCTCACGTCAGGAGGATGTGGCGTTGACCCTCCCGCTCGCGCAGGCAAGGAAAGTCTCGACCTCGCCGAGTGCGCCTTCTCCCCGCGTCTCCATATCGCCAATATTTCCAAACCACCGATGCTGACAGTCTTGGTCGACCCACCACGCAAGTCTCAGATATCTTGCGAATACCCCATTGACTCGGCCTGGATATTCATCCAGCGAATTCAAAGTATAGTACAATGCCTTCTCGCGGTACCCGACAAGCAGCATCCAACGCTGTCGCCGCCTCGCCACCGCGTTCGCCCGAAGACCACAAACGCAAGCTTGCCGACGAAGGCCGCGAACAAGCTTCTCCACTCCGTCGATCGAAGCGCGTCAAGTCAACTGGCCACACCGAAACTCCCTTGTCCGCGCCTTTGTCTAAAACGGAAACCAACAAGGGGATCCGGAGCACAACTGCAGCGTCTCCGAGAAACAATACAGCCCGTGCAGGCGAGGTTGCCGCCATCGCGGTGAAGCACGAAGTTGAGGAAGAGGTTGAGACTGCTATCATTGGGAAAGACTCAACGGAGGAAAAGGACAGCCTAGTCAAGGAAGAAGGGATTGAGGAGAAGTCGGTGGAAACAGTCAAGGTCTCTAGGAAGCGGAAACCCAAAGAAGAGGTCGAAATGTTGCCTCTAAGACCTCGGACACAGGGCCTACGCATGCTAGTGGGCGCGCATGTCAGCGCAGCCAAAGGTTCCTTGCCCTAAACATCCAATGGCGGCTACTAGGATCATAGTTCTGATGCTGACTCTTGTTGCAGGCGTCTTCAATTCCGTGAATAATAGCATGCATATTGGGTTCGTCGGACACATTGATCTTGCCTGCGACTATAAACTAATTGAACCGCAGTGGGAACGCATTTGCGCTCTTTCTGAAGTCGCAAAGGAAATGGGACAATCCGCCTCTTCAGGATGACCACCGGGATCAATTTAGAGCGCTGTGCGAGGAGCACAAGTACGATGCAGCAAAGTGAGCTTCCCGATCTCGATTCAGCATTTGTCATCCAACTAAAATATATAGACACATCCTTCCGCACGGCTCCTATCTCGTCAACCTGGCGCAAGAAGACAAAGCCAAAGCCAAGCAAGCCTACGACTCCTTCCTTGATGATCTACGTCGGTGCGAAGCCTTGGGAATTCAGTTGTACAACTTCCAGTGAGCCAGTCTCCCTTCACACGCCTCGAGGGTGTATATTGACAGGATTCAACAGTCCCGGATCCGCCAACTCCACCCCTCACGCCAGTGCCATCACTCGACTGGCCTCCGCTCTTACCTCGGCTCTCCGCGCCACCGATTCCGTGATTCCCGTCCTCGAAACCATGTGCGGCCACGGCAGCACTATCGGCGGTTCCCTTTCCGAGTTCAAGGAATTGCTCGCCCAGATCCCTGCTGACCTGCACCCACGAATCGGTATCTGCATTGACACCTGTCACAGCTTCGCAGCAGGCTACGACCTCGTCACCCCGTCGGGCTTTGCGGCTTTCATGCAGGAGTTCGAGGATTTGATCGGCATCCAACACCTCCGGGCCCTCCACCTGAACGACTCCAAAGCGCCGCGCGGCAGTAAACGCGACCTCCATGCGAACATTGGCACGGGGTTTTTGGGGTTACGAGCGTTCCATAATGTCATGAACGAGAAACGGTTCGAGGGGGTGCCGATGATTCTGGAGACGCCAATTGACCGGCCAGAAACCAACTCTGCAGTTAAGAATGAAAGTGGGGATGAGGGTCAGGCTAAGGGCAAGAAGAAAGCGACGGCGAAGAAACGAACGGGTGCATCGGCGAAGCTGGTCCCGGACCACAGTGTCTGGGCGAAGGAAATCGAGCTTCTCGAATCCTTGATCGGAATGGATCCGGACGGGGAGGAGTTCCAGGCTCTGGAGACGAAATTGGCAGATGAGGGGAGGGAGATGCGCGAGAAGCAGATAGAGCAGTACTTGCGGAAGTTGGAGGCGGAAGAGAAGAAGGCAGCTAAGGGGTCGGGCGCGAACAAGGGACAGAAGACGCTGATGGAAATGATGAACGCGGCCGGAAAGAAGAAGGGGAAGACAATGAAGAAGAAAAAGGACGAGAGTGACGTGGAGGATGAGGAAGGATGTCAGTCACATTCTGAGGATTAGTGTAAACCACTCGAGATGAGAGCACTGTAATAAGTCCCTACTACCTATGACAGAATACACATCCCGAGTCCCGCAATCCAGCTCATTACCCAAAACAGCATGGTTCCTTCATCGGGCCTTAAGGTTGGCGCCGGCAACTCACAGCCATCCATCATGGATCCCCAGCCACCCGCAATAAACAAGGCCAGTGAAGTGAAAACAACATGGCTGGTAGTTAGTTGGTACTTGGTAGTTGGACCACGCTTATAAGCTATCACCACCCCACAAACACGCCTGTCCTCCTTGAATCCCCAATTTCTCTCTTTCATCTCCTCCTTTCTTCCTCTCTCGGATCCAAACCAGTTTGATCTTCCGCATTCCACGGGATGTCAATCTAGATCCCCCACACCACCACCACCACCACATCCAGCCAATCCACTAAACCAACAACAAACATATCCCCCCGCGACTATCTCCATCAAATGCTAAGGAAGTCCCACCCTACGCCAATAACGCCAACCACATAAAAACTCGGTGGTGCGAAGCCCCACCACCCCCTCAGAATGCAGGAAAACATCGCCATCGCTGTGATCATCATCGTCCTTTTCATCATCCTGGCCATTGCGGGCTACGGCATTCACACAATGAGGAACCGGGTGGCGTACCGGAAACGCGCAATTGATGAGGAGAGTGGGGAGGAGGGAGGCGGTTGAACGGACACAATAAGGAGTAAACAGTCCTAGGTGTTCTACAGTATCTCGCTTTCTCGCTCTTGGTTTTGTGTGTACTTCTGGTCGTCAGTGCGTCTTGGGCGTGCTTGCGGTTATGGACTCATTTGGAGTTCGATCAACGGTTCTTGGTTTTTCTATTTTGACGGGTTATGACTTATGATATGATGGGTGATGGTTTTAAAGAGTTATGAGGGGGATGCAGGGAGACGGAGATCAACAGGTTGATCTCAGTGAGAGCAGTGTTCCTTGAAATCATATTGCGCAGTTATAGAGGGTGGGCTGGCTTCGACCCTCGTGTTGTGTACTAGTGTGAGGAATTTGTCTAGCTGGAGTAAATATTTCTGTCTGTTGTCTATATTGTTGGATATTAGAAATGAGGGTATATCATTGCGTTGAAACTAGTTGGGAGCTGCAGGAAGGCTTTTCCTGGCATCATATCGATTTCCTAGGCCGTAGCATGATTCACCATCCGAACATCACCTACGGATGATAGCTTGTGCACTCATCCCAGGATTCTGAGTCCACCCTTGGTCTTTCCATGCTTCTTGACTCCATCGTGTTTGACCTTACCCCCACCCGAGCCGCCCCCACTCGAACCCCCTCCACCGCCGTGCTTCTTCCCATTCTTGTTGTTGGACACGGGCCGGACCTCGGTGGTGGCCCGCCGCAGCAAAACCGGGTGAGAGCCGATGTACTTGCCTTGCATCTCTCTCGCCGCCTTGAAATAGTCGTCGCCGTCACTAAAACTGACAAACCCGTAGCCCTTGCTCTTCTGCGTGCGCTTGTCTCGGATCACCCGCGCCTTCTGCACTGACGTGTACTTCGCGAATGCCTTCAGCAAGGAATCATCCGTGACTTCACCCGCCAAATTTCCGACGAAAAGACGAAAGTGTGCCGGATCCCACTCCAAAAGCGTTGAGTCGGTCCAGTTCTGTCCACCACCGGAACGGACCACTGTCTTCGGCGCGGACTCAAGAACCCCCACGACGGGAGCGGGAGTGTTGGCACCGGTCGCAGCACCGGATGGGGTGTTTGCGCCGGACGCAGGACCCGCGACGGACCCCTGGTTTACATCTCGACGTCCCGGGAACTTGCCGGAGCCCGGGACCTCCTCTTTGTTCGCGTAGGCACTTTGCCACTGCGCAATCTGAGCTTCGGTCTCTGGATCCATGCCTGAATCATTGCGACCGCCGTAACCCCTGCCAGCAGCGGGCTGGAACGGATTCTGTATCCGTGGGACCGACGGTCCATACGTCGTGCCGTCGCTGTACTGGGCGGGGGCGCCATAGTAGCTCGGGCCGCTCTGATATGATGCCTGTGGTTGTTGTGGATAGTAGTTTCCGTACCCGGTCGTGGTTGGTGTCGCAAAGCCGCTGGAGGTGGTGGGTGGCGCGGATACAATAGGACTGCTGGTACGATAGGGTTGACTTGAGGCTACTGAACGCGGTTGGAAGGCAGTGGCGGCGCCGTAGCCCGGTCGCGGCGGTCCGTGGCCGCCATATCCACTGCTTGAACTGGGCGGCGCATATGAGGGTGCAGCCGAGTAGGTGGGTTGATAGGTGGAAGGCGAAGCAGTGCTCGCTGATGGTGGTGGACGCGCAGGGAGCGACGAGGGTGCTTGCCTAAGACCTGGAGGTGGCGGAAAGGACATGATGAACGGAGAGTTCGAATGAGGGAGAAACGGTGGATAGTGTGATGCGCTGTTCAGCAACTAGCAACAGACACGTACCTTCAGGGCCTGACTGACGTCGCAGTCATACGCCAGACGTCACGCCTGAGAAAGGTCCCGAATCCGAGTCAATTGGCTTGGAGGTGAGAAGCCGTGTCGCAGCTAGACCACAAAGCCTAGAGGATTAGTTCTGATTGCGACGTGGTGATGGTCACTGATAGGGGATTCGGCGAGGAACAGCAGCGATTGATGAGATCAAAGAAAGTGAGGAGAATTGAGAATCTAATCGTCAGTGAGGAAAGTCTGAGTTGATGGGCAGGCAGATGGTTCTAGATGCCTGAAGCAACTACGCCGCCGACAGAAGAGAAAATGCGCCAGTGGTTCCTAGCAAGTACCGTACAGTGCAAACACAATTGCTGCTGCAAATGCCCCAGTAACATCACGTGATTTGATACTGATGCATGCAATGTACTCCGTACCTTGAAACGATCCAGAGTCTGCAGATAGAAAGATTGTAGACGACGAGAAGCCAGTTCATATCTAGGCTGAAGGTCTGTGAAAGTCACTCTACCTACTTCTGCTTGAGAGGCAGAAAAGCAATCCTCAATCCTCGCATGTAAGCCTGACATTGATCCTCCGAGCGCGGAGTTTCCTCATTCAGAAGAACAAGACGTTCATTCAATATGAGGGCTATTTTCGGGCTACCGTTCGAGTGCTAGCTGGACAAGAATATTGATTGCCTGCAAGTAAAACTGAGATGCATACTGTCACAGTACTCCCTACTGATACTCAGCAGGTGTCAACTTGGCTGGCCCTGATCTTCTTACTCAGCGCCGTTAGCCTCACTGGTGCATCTGAACCCCCAACAATTTCAGGCCCATGTGATGTAACTTGACCCCCACTCTAAACCTGACTGGGAAATGCAGTTGCCGACCGTACGGAGTATTGTGTAGATTACTATCGGTAGATGGCTAGTATCAACAATAATCAGATTCCCCGGAGATGGACTAAATTTCTCCGGCGGTAATTGTTCAGTCGGATATAAGGATCCCCTGAACATATCGGTTTGGATTTCCGCTCGAATTCAATTTTGAAGTTCACCACAGTAGTGCACGGAGTAAATCTGTAACTATAGTAACGACCGTGACTCTAATCGTACTGCTTAGTTGAGCAGTCGGGTGAGTCGAGAGTGGGATGGATGAGTAAGTAGTGGAGGGGGAAGACGGTCCCAATTTATCCGATCCCGAAAGTTCTTCACCGAAGGCGCTGCTCTGGGACAATTTCCTTACCTTTTTTTTTTTCCCATTCAGGGCCGATGTAGGCCGGAATCTAGCGGATTTTCTGCAGTGCCGCTGCCGGGTGCTGTTGCCCCTCCATTGCCCCGCCATCTGAAGGGAGCATCATCATCATTACTATCATCTGCTCAAGCTCTACATATGACCTAACAAATAAGTTTCAATTCAGAAATGGCTGCTGTCATGGTATTACCGAAAAGCAATTGAGATGCGTAAGAAAAGAATAATTGTATACAAATCATCATTCTGGATAAACTACCTGCTCATAGTACTAAGTAGCTTACTAGTACTAAGTAAACTACCCAAAGCAGCCGGCCGGTCTCACCGGAGGACTCTACTCCCTCTGGTCAGTTCCCAGCAACCCTGGAGTACCAGTGAATGCCCCGCTCGCAAACACTCATTGAGTCCGTCCCACCCATGACGGAAGAGCTGCTCCGTAAGCCCCGTCCTCATTGCGTGAATCCTGCTCTGACATCTTCCAATGCTTTCTGCTTCTCGCCCGTCCTCGCTTGCCCCGTTCGTGTCCTTGCCTTCCCTTCCATCCTTTGCTCCCCCTCTCGATCCCTTCTTCCTCCTAACTCTCCCCTCATATATCCTCTGTGATCCTCCCACTTCTCCCGGTCCACGTTCTCATCTCTTTTGCTTCTCTCCTCCCCAACTACATACCTAATATCCCTCCTCCCCCACTCCCCACTATTTCCATCATGGCCGACCAAGCTGTGTAAGTACTCAAGTCTCCCTCCCATTTGCTTCCATCGTCTATGCATTTATGCCATTGCTTCGTGCATGCATCACTCGGTCAATCCTCTTCGATCATGCGGCTGCCGTCTTGGAGCGCACACTAGCTTCTCGACGTACTTCGGATCATTGTTTATGAATTCGATTTCCCCTTCGTCTGTGAATTCATCACGATGAGGAGGCCGCGGTTGTATGGAGGTCCGCATTGAATCCCACGGCCGAAAAGCCGTGTGGTTCAGTGTCCCCCTCCCCATATGTCAATTCTCTTTTCTATCTGCCCAGCTATTGACATGGAACTTGGCGACTGACTGTAGCGCCCGTCTCGCCGGCATCAATGTCGGCGCTCCGGCGCGTCCTCTGCCTAGTGCTGATTTCGGTCTCATCGGTCTGGCCGTTATGGGTCAGAACCTGATCCTTAACGTTGCTGACCACGGTTTCACTGTCTGCGCCTACAACCGCACAACCTCCAAGGTCGACCGCTTCTTGGAGAACGAGGCCAAGGGTGAGAATTCCCTCCATTTCTAGTTCATCCGGCAATTGCTCACGCATGACTTATCAGGCAAGTCCATTGTCGGTGCCCACTCCATTGAGGAGTTCTGCGCCAAGCTCAAGCGTCCCCGCCGTATCATGCTCCTGGTCATGGCTGGTAAGCCCGTTGACCAGTTCATCGAGTCTCTCCTGCCCCACCTTGAGGAGGGTGATATCATCATCGATGGTGGTAACTCCCACTTCCCCGACAGCAACCGCCGCACCAAGTACCTTCAGGAGAAGGGCATCCGCTTCGTCGGCAGCGGTGTCTCCGGTGGTGAGGAGGGTGCCCGTTACGGTCCCTCTTTGATGCCCGGTGGTAACGAGGAGGCTTGGCCCTACATCAAGGACATCTTCCAGAGCATCGCCGCCAAGAGCGACGGTGAGGCTTGCTGCGACTGGGTTGGTGACGAGGGCGCCGGTCACTTCGTCAAAATGGTCCACAACGGTATCGAATACGGTGACATGCAGCTCATCTGCGAGGTAAGCTACCACACTCGACGGAAGAAACCCTAGGATTGTCACGAATTAGGAGCTAATCACATCGATTCTCTTCAGGCCTACGATATCCTCAAGCGCGGTCTGGGTCTCAAGGGCAAGGAGATCGCTGATGTCTTCGCCCAGTGGAACAAGGGTGTCTTGGACTCCTTCCTCATTGAGATCACCCGTGACATCCTCTACTACAACGATGAGGATGGAACTCCCCTCGTCGAGAAGATCCTTGACAAGGCTGGTCAGAAGGGTACCGGCAAGTGGACTGCCGTCAACGCTCTCGACCTTGGCATGCCCGTCACTCTGATCGGTGAGGCCGTCTTCTCCCGCTGCTTGTCTGCCATCAAGGACGAGCGTATCCGCGCCAGCGGCCTTCTCAGCGGCCCTACCCCTGAGTTCGACGGTGACAAGCAGGCTTTCATCGATGACCTCGAGCAGGCCCTGTATGCCTCTAAGATTATTTCCTACGCCCAGGGCTTCATGCTCATCCAGGAGGTAGGACACCCTACTTTATAGCTCTTTCTTTATGCTCAGCTTCTGACATCGAACTATTTAGGCTGCCCGTGAGTACGGCTGGAAGCTGAACAAGCCCTCCATTGCCCTCATGTGGCGTGGTGGTTGCATCATCCGTTCCGTCTTCCTTAAGGATATCACCAACGCTTACCGCAACAACCCCGACCTTGAGAACTTGCTCTTCGACGACTTCTTCAACAAGGCTATTCACAACGCCCAGAAGGGCTGGAGAAACGTTGTTAGCAAGGGTGCTCTCTGGGGTATCCCCACCCCTGCTTTCAGCACTGCCCTCAGCTTCTTCGACGGCTACCGCACCCGGGACCTTCCCGCCAACTTGCTGCAGGCTCAGCGTGACTACTTCGGTGCCCACACTTTCCGCATCAAGCCCGAGCACGCCAGCGAGACCTACCCTGAGGGCAAGGACATCCACGTCAACTGGACTGGCCGTGGTGGCAACGTCTCTGCGTCGACCTACATTGTTTAAATTGAACACGCGATGTAATACGCTGGACGTGAAGCCTCGCACGGGTCTAGCAGGGGACAGTTGGACTGATCTCAGGGAGTTGGCGACATGCGCTCACTGAGTGAAGAATGATCTGATGAAAACAAGAAGCGAAACAGGAAGTATACCTAATTATGCTTCATAGTACTATGTATCTAGATGCTTACTGTTACGTTAAAAACGTATGGAATGAAATGAACCCTTTTCTTTTCTTTTAGCACGCTGCTGGTAATTGAGATCCACAAAGAGAACAACATGATATGTTGTAGAACTAAGCAAAGAGGGTTCAATAACATGCACTCCTGTAACAATATGACTACTCTGGGAGTTTGTAGTAATGCCGGAGGAACTCGGTGTTTGGGAGGTTTGCTCCGCCTGGAGCTAGTCCAGATCTGGTAAGTCAAACGTCGCCGCTCCCCGACTTCTTTCTGCGTGCTCCTGCATCCACCCTCAAGTCTACATGTGCGGCGTTGCAAACGCTCGACTTCCTTTCCCCTCTCCTCGATCGGCTGAAATAGTGGTGGACAAGGTTGCATATTCATTGCTGTCTCAGCGTCTTCTATTCTTGTCGTTCTTTTGTCCGAATTCGTTCCAGCTGCGGTTCCCGCACCGTCCCACTTCGGCTTGATCCACGCCGGAGTTCCATCGTCATTGTTGGTAACGACCGTGGTTTCAGCAGTTCCTGGCATCCCCTTTCGATAATTTGATCTCCGGGCTGGTCTAGGTCGTTCTTCTAGCAGACATCTCGGTGTATATCCTCTTGATTCAGGTTATACCTCTAGTTCGTCGCGGCTGCAATAGTGCCCAGCAGTGGACCCTTGCCTAGCCAAACCGGTGCTGTCGCTGGTGGGACAGTGTCATTCGGACAATCCGTCCCCTGGAAGAGACGGGCTTATGGCAGAGAACAAACGCCAGAGTGCGGGAGCGAAAGCATCTGCGCAAGGACCGACCGGAGGAGCTACAGGTCAGGGAACACCAGGCGCGATGGTGCCTTTGGAAGTGGCATTGAGCGGCGCCATTGGCGCACGGTAAAGCACCCCGTTCCTCCGAGGCTTGTACAGCCTGATGACGATATGAATCTGGTCGTTGTGTGCCCGCGGGACCTGTGCTTGCCGTCGGTTACGTGCTGTTTGTCAACATGCTGATGCGATCTTTGCTCGTCTTCTAGTGTCCGTATCAGCACAGCCCCGGTCGCGTCGACGATTGAGGGTACACTCTTTACAGCCGACCCCATTACGAATCTTGTCGCTGTCGACACCGCCGACGGAAAGCAGTCTCAAACAGGTGACTATCGCATTATTCCGGTCTCGCGTATCCAATCTTTCCAGATCCTCTCCCTCGCCCCGTCTGCGACCGCCGCCGATGGGCCGTCCTTTGCCGACGCTATGCCACCCCTTCACGCTCTCGACATACGTTCCCTGAAGACTCGAGAGGCCAATGCTATTGCTAAAGCGCACGAGAGTGAGGCTCGCCGTGGCAAAGGTGTGACTCGCGAGGCACAGGATATTTTCGACGCCTTCAGTCGGACCATGCCGGCTAGATGGGATGGAGCCAAGATCATTGTAGCGGATGCAGTTGCCATTGCGGCTCCGTATCGTGTGGATGACTGCCGGCCTCTGGTGGCCGGTGACACGGCTGCACTTGCTCGAGTGCGCAAGGTGGTGAGTGGTCTCGCTATTCGTGGCCTCTTGCACGCATCCTAACGTGAGACATGCAGCTTGAAATGGAACGCAAGAAGATTGAACTGCGCAATGCCAGTGCCGCTATCGGTACAGCTCACCTTCCCCGTCTTGACCCCGATGCATCTCAGCATTCATCTAACGTAACAATCGCAGGACCTGGCGCTGCTGGACAGAGAAAGGGCGGTTGAACCGTTCCTCTTTTACAGCGGAGTTGACTTCCAATTCATTGGCAAGTCTTGTTTTATATGGTAGGGTCGTGAAAGCGCGCATGAGTGGCATAGATGCTCCATCCGCACGAAGAAGAGGACGCGAAGAGCACTGGGGTGAAAGAGCAAGTGTCCCCTGGAATGTTAACTATACATGGGATTGCAGGTCTGAGGCTTTAGAAGAGTCGGAAAGAAACCATTTGAGACGAAGATGGTGGACTGAAGTGATCTTGGTGGGCTGGGTATAGAGACTTCTCTAGGGGAATTGGGGTACGGTAGGAGTAGGACCCACTGCATTCAGGTCTTGCAGATCTGGCCGCTATACACTTTGGAGGTGCGCGAGGATGTCGGTCAGCCCTCTGCCTAGTGTATGGTCGCTGAAGATATAATTCCGATGACTTCCAGTGGGAGGCAACATGCAATGGCTATGATAAGCAAAGTTTGCCCAGTAGCTTCATATTCTAGCAAAGAGCCCTGCTCCTTTCGCTTTTGCAGCGGAGGCCTGCACTGTAGACCGTGAGCATTTCACCCACCCGATCCAGGTACTAACGACTACTACCTCTCCCTATCCGAATTCTTCCCAACCCCTCTGTTGTACGTCCAGGTTTGTACGCCAACCTGCGCCATCATCAAGTGTGCACCCTGTCACGAGGGCCCTCCAGCCTGTCATAACCATGTGAGCCTTCCCGATGATCTGCATGGCAGGCTACGCTCACTCCATCGTGGTGTCAGTAACACAGCGGCAGACAAACACCTGCCTCAAAACTCTCCCTCTCTTGTAGGACCATTTCTTCGGATTTGTTATCTTGCAACGGGTTACGCACCGGAGATACGAAGGGGAAGTATCTGTTCCTGGAGTTATCTGGGGTCCTAGATCCTGGCTAGGGATGTATACCAGGTCTCTCTCGTGCGCGACTTTACTGAGGTACTATACCGGTGGTACTGTAGGTATACAAGATACATGGACAATTCTAGTACTACTGGTATGATATGCGTCTTTGACAACTTCCACTTGTTTTTCTCGATCAAATCGATTTATAGTGGAGTTTGTGGTCTGGGGGAGGGTTTTTCTTCTTTTGTGGTGCATAGATTTATGCAATTTGGTGAAGGTTTACCGAACAACAGCTAAATGAGAGAAGGGCGGCGGCAGGACAGAGTTGAGTGTAGCTTCTACTTCTGACTCCTGTAGTAAGTTAGTGGAAAAGTTTTTAGGAATCGTTTACCGCCTGGTCGCCCGACTGGGCCAGGCCACATGGAGTGCTGTAACTCAAATGTTTACTGTTGTGATGTGAAGAGACCTGGTAAGTTAGCCTGGCAGGTGACTCAATCAATAATGAGGAGATACGAGGGAATCGCCCATCTTCCCCTCATTAACCCATTGACCCGTTGACCCATTGACCCATTGACCCATTGACCCATTGACTTAGTCCATGGGGGACAAAGGGGGGGTGGGGGGCAAAATTATTGCTTATAGTTCATTAGTGTTTCTTGTCTGGGTATTCCTCTTGGGCACGCCTTGTGTGAGTGTCTCTCTTGTCATAATGATGATGACATCGATGTATTATTCCTACCGGTGGCGAGAGAGAGCAGAGATGGTACGAGAGATAAGGAGATCGAGTAGAAGGATCTAGCCTCGGTTCACTCAGTGACTACTGTATATTGTACTGTGGTATAGCTGGGAGGAACTATGATCTCAGTCCCGAAGGCGCGATTCGTTCATAGGTTCATCATATCTTTGGTTGTGTTTGTTGTTGGTTCCAGCAGAAAATAATGGTCGATGGCATCATATGCTACCTACACAGTACGTACTCCGTAATATGCACTGAGTTTGGCTGCACTTGAGGGACCGTCTGGAGACAAGTAATTCTGTTGCTTGTCGGGTCAATCCGAATGTCCAGTGCAAACACCGTGACTGAAGTAGTTACAGTCAGCCCGTGAATCAATCACCGTCCAAGCCTCCAATGACCACAATCCATGAGTTGGGCCCCGACGCTTGGCCGGAAAATGCTCAGTCATGGCTGGTCTGAATGCCAAGCTGTGTGTCTGTCTGCGCGAGTGGAACTGGGAATCACAGCCAACCTGCGCCCCAGGCATGGAAAAGTTGTGAATAGATAGATACCTACTCCGTAGATAGGGGGTAGATAGCAGATTGCTGCCTGATTGATGGGAGTCTACATGTACGGAGGTATACGGGATACTACTGTATGATTCAAGTAGCTCACTCACTCTTTGGCGCAGTGAAATAATCATCTTTATGAAGACCTGGAATTTCCCAAGGTACCACAAAGATCACAACATCCACCGATCAGCCTTTTTCACCCCTGGACCTTTTAACTTATTCTTCTCCCCTCTTTTGGATTTTCCCCCGGATCGTCCGGAAGGTTCAAGCCCAAAGATGCACAAATTTAATCTCGGAGCATCAGAGCAATCATCGCTTAGTCTTTTCGGTGTGTTCCCCGCTTTTTCCAGCCTTGATGACCTTCAACTTGCCTCATAGCTCATGCCTAGCAACTAGTTTAAGGCAGACAGGGGGGGGGGCCCAAGTGGAACAGCAAAGTGGAGGAGGAGGAGCAGGAGGAGAAGGGGAGGATAATTCTCTATGATCCACAGACTAACGTAGGGCACAAAAAAAAGAAAAAGAAAAAAAAAGGAGGAAGAATAATAGAAGGGAAGGGGAATGAGTAGGTACCTTCGTACCTAGTGAGTGAAAGAGATTGAGACCCTGCGTGTGCGGTTTAGCAACTCATTCGTTTATCCTCGAGTCAGTCAAATCAGTCCATCTGGTCAGAATCATCCCATTCGGCACGGAAGTTCTTCCTCTTCCTCTTCTTGTGTCGCTTCGCCTTCCTATCTGTTGTCATTTCCCTTGAAAGAAGGCTGTAATTTGAAACAAGTCAGGTGTTGTGGAACCGGCCTAGTTAGTGGTTTGAAGATGGTGGTTCACCGTGGTTGTTGTCATCATGATTATTAACTTTGGTCGTGCTCGTATTTAGATTTTGGGACTGGGTTGGATTGGGGATCTGGAGATGAAATGACGTTCTGGGTGGCTATTGAGCAAAGAGCATTGAGCAGAGCGGTAATCAGTATACACAGCACTGAGTATAGAGTATTGAGCATTGAGCAATGAAGCTCTTCAGGGAATACCTCGTTACTGTAGTCCTCGAGGAGAGACCTCATAGTTCTTACCAAGGAGAAGAAGCATAGAAGTAGCACGGGACCCTGAATTCCTTCCAACTCATCCCCAGTCACGTTCTTTCGCCCAACCAACATCAACATCAACATCAACAATCATCCTTATATTCTTCTTTCCCTAAGTTAATTATTCTTTTCTTTCTTACTGAGTATTCCAAGTTTGACTGACCTATTTGGATCCCATAATTCCTCACTAATCTATTTTTCCCCTAGCGCCTTGTGACCCATTTTCCCTACTGTGTCATTCCTCACCCTCTCTGTGCTCGCTCCTCCCTCTCCCTCCCTCCAGCCCTCTCTCTCTCTATTCTCTCTCTCTCTCTCTTTTCTTTAGCTGTGTTCCCTCTTCGCTCCTGCAGCGGTCGCCCTTGCATCATCCATCCCATACGAACTATTCCCCCCCCCTCCCTCCGCTCACCCTGCACACACTTCCCCCTCCCTCTAAGGTTTTCTCACTCTGACAGTTCCTTTTTCTACCTCTTTCCTTGGATTAGTCTCCTTTTTACTTTCCTTTGTGTCATCCCATCAATTCCTTTTTCCCTACGGTCCCTGAGACCAGTCATTTTTGCTCCTTCACCGATCTTCTTCTTTCCACACACACTCCTTTGGCTGCCCCCGTCCTTAACCCCCTCCCCCCCCCCCCAATTCTTTTTTTGCCCTTCGATTTTCCCTCGATCGTGTGCGCGCGCGGTGGGCCTCTGAGACACAATCCACATTCTCACTGATGGGGCCATCCTTATTGTAGCGAACGCCTTCGAGTCCGCGATTCAACCATATATCACCTCGCCTCCCTCCCTCCTCCTTCTCCCCCCGGAGTCCCAGTATGGGTGTATCCCCGGTCAGTAATCACCATCGACGGCGGAGTTCAGTGTTGGCTGTAGGTCCCCATTCCGCGGCAATCGACCCAAGGGACGACCTTGCAAGAGTTACCGGGGACGCAGTCGGCGCGAAGAGGGAAGAGAAGAAGTCCTCACCGGCTGAGGACGCAGACGAGTCGGATTTGTCCTCCATTGCGGAAAGCGACGAGATGGATTACACTAGTTCCGACGAAGACATCCACGATGACGAGGAGACCGGCCTCACTGCGAGACAGCGACGGCAGCGACGACGCAGAAGACAGCAGCGCAGGCAGTTGGATGCCCGGATCGCCGATGTCAAGGCTTCCAAGCACGACTGGCTGCCACTGAGAATGGCAGACAGGGAGATCATGCAGCGGCTCCTGGTCAATGGCGCTTTGATCCTCATGTGGTACTTTTTCTCGCTGTCGATTTCAATTGTGAGTTGATCCCAAGGGGACGGAGCTGTGCAGGTTGGGGACAGGGGCTAACTGGGTCGCGTGCCTCCCCGTGACAGTACAACAAATGGATGTTCTCTGACAACAACGTCGTTTTTCCCTTCCCTCTCTTCACCACCAGTCTACACATGGCTGTTCAGTTCACACTCTCTTCCCTTCTGCTTTACTTGATACCATCGTTGCGCCCGCAACCCCCTCATACCTCCACCCCAGCCGGCTCGCCCGTCCGCGATCATGATGCGTCGGAGAAACGGCCGATTCTCACCAAATTCTTCTATTTTACTCGTCTGGTTCCCTGCGGTGCAGCAACCTCCTTGGACATTGGTCTTGGGAATATGTCTCTGAAATTCATCTCCCTCACCTTTCTCACTATGTGCAAATCCTCCGCCCTGGCCTTTGTTCTTCTTTTTGCCTTCCTCTTCCGCCTCGAGACTCCATCAGTTAGATTGATAATCATTATCGCCACCATGACTGTAGGTGTTGTCATGATGGTAGCCGGTGAGACCGCCTTCAATGTAGTCGGGTTCGTCCTGGTCATTGCATCCGCGTTCTTCTCGGGCTTCCGATGGGGCCTGACCCAAATCCTCCTTCTCCGCCATCCGGCGACAGCCAATCCCTTCTCTACTCTCTTTTTCCTTACCCCCGTTATGTTTGTGTCTCTCATTATCATTGCGCTGGCCGTGGAGGGACCTTCGGAGATCGCCGCGGGATTCCATGCCCTGGCCGAAGCTCGCGGCAGCCTCTTCGGCGTGGGTCTCTTGGTCTTTCCGGGCCTGCTCGCCTTCTGTATGATTTCTTCCGAGTTTGCGCTCCTCAAGCGCTCCTCGGTGGTAACCTTGAGCATCTGCGGCATATTCAAGGAAGTCGTCACCATCAGTGCAGCCGGTGTCATCTTCCACGACCAGCTCACCTTGATCAACATCACGGGTTTGTTTGTGACCATTGCTAGCATCGGTACATATAACTACATGAAGATCGCCAAGATGCGTGCAGAATCTCGGAAAGGCTCGTGGACGCGTAGCCCGAACCTTGACTCCGAGACTGACGATTCGGATCCCACGGGAGAGCGCGGCGAATATCAGCGAATCCGTCATCCCGAGACGAGCATGCGCTACTCGCCGGACGACCTGGATGACGATGAGAATGTCAACATCACGCCCGCCGATCATCTGAAGCCCGGCCGCCGCTCGTTCCGCGTTCGTGCCAGCGGCGCCAGCAGCAATGTGCACGGGTTGAGCATTAACACCTCGAACCTCAGCGACCACGATCGGTCACTCTCTCCACGGGTCGCCGGTCCCTCACCGTTGAAATCCGCACCGCCCGTCATCACCTCGCTTGAAGCGGAGCTTCACAAGTCGGACCGGCGGCAAAGCTTCGGAGGCGTTGTGCAACCATCCCCGGAAAGACTGTCCCATGGAGAGGGGCGATCCGCCCATTGAAGTCCAACCCTGGCGGCTGAGATCTTTTCACTTTGCTTGGGAACCGCTGGTCTGGTTCGGCTCACGGCTCCGTTGTTCCACCAACGCATTTGACGGCACATTGTCCGAACGGATTCGGTGCAGAAACTCCCCCGGGGGGGTTAGCGTCTTCTCACGGTATATTGCGTCTTTGCATACACACATGGTGAATTTCCTTTACTCGTTGAATTGACGGTCCGCATGCCCAAGAGGTGGCATGTATGGAGTACATTTGGCGTTGTGCACATATTGATTGACCGACCCGGCCTGGTATAGAGGTTTATTTATCGCGTGATACCATGTTATCTATCTCTTAGCCCGTCACAGGCGGGGGTTTCTTGCGATCACGTCTTCCAGCATTCTGCATTGGTTGTTTTGTGTCGGCAGCCCGCATGCATCATGGATACCCATATACAAATATACTTGACCATGATTTGTGCTGTGTTCTTCTGCCTATAAGAGCTTAGTGTAAGATGCTGTCTTAGGCTTAACTGGCAGTTTGGAAGCTAGAAATAAATTGAATGTTCAGAAAGTGATAAATAGAAGGGTCTGGGCCGCAGATCGGTTTCTTCCAACGGGCCCAACTTTTCCTCCCCCGCCTCCGCCCAGCGGCTAGTATTCTCCTCCTAATCGTCACCAATGCTCCAGAGTAACCATGGAAATGAGCAGTTGTCCCCCAGGGATAGATGTCATCAGGACTTCTACAAAACTCTTCCTCTCTTATTCTTTTCTCCTTTGCTATGTCCGACGAGATCGAGTCCGAACCCAGCAGTGTTGACGCTCTCGCCAGCCCGGGATAGCCACTCTTCGCATGGTCTGTTCAGGATTCGCAGAAGGGACGATTGGCAGGCATTGCAGGTCGTATACATGCGTGATTTGATGTCCAATTCCTCTCCTTATTCTCCTGACCTGAACAAGCCAATCGACTATGTTTCTATCTATCCTCCAGACACGAATCATCCGGGCGGTTCTGCTTCTATTCGGTGCGATCGCCATCATCCTAAACTTATCGCCGACCCACTATGTGCAAGTGATAGCACAGACACAGTCTGTTGAAAAGCCCGCCCCTTTGCATCTTATCAGCAATGAAATATTAGGGGTTCGCACTTATCAGTCCTTTGCTTGAGAGAAATGGCGTTTGTCCTAACAAGACGCAGACCGCAAAAATATACGTGGTTAACCTGCCTACCCGATCCGACAAGAGGGATAACATCGCTCTGGGCTCGTCAGTGAGCGGTTTCCGCGTGGAATGGCTCCATGGAGTCACGCCGGACCAAGTCAACCCCAAATCCATTCCACATGTCAGTCCCTGCGATGTGCCGTACTCATGTGCACCGTTGCTGATGAATACCTCCAGAATTGGAATCCAGACCACAAGCCCACAGAATATGCGGCTCGACGTGCACATGTCAATGCAATGCAGCAGTATGCAGCCTACCCCTTCCCCTCCCCCCTGGCTTGCTTTCCTGCGACACATACTAATCACACTGCAGAATTGTTCAAGGGAGACTCGGGAGCGCCATCGTCATGGAGGACGACGTCGACTGGGACGTGACCATCAAAACCCAGCTTCAAGGCTACGCGCTCGCCGTACGAGCGCTCCAAGGGTCAGAAGGCATATCTACCGGATCCCCCTACGGCGATGACTGGGACATTCTCTGGCTCGGTCACTGCGGGCTGAGTTACAGCGCTGAACGGCCGTTCTTCCTGTCGCAACCGGATCCGACGGTTCTGCCACCCCATCACTTTTTACCCTACTGGCGCGATCCACCCCCCATCGACCGGCCGGACCACACGCGGCTGGTCTGCAGCGTGGCCGATGCGGTCTGCTCCATGGTCTACGCGGTGAGCTACCACGGTGCTCAGAAGATTCTGGCGGCGCTGTCCGTGAACCCGGGGCACCTGGCTGAACAAATCGACATTGGGGCTCAGTTCGACGTGTCTCTGGGTCGGCTGTGCGGGCATGGATATCTGCGCTGCTTCGGCGCGTATCCGTCGTTGACGGGGGGGTTCCAGCCCGCCGGGCCGTTGTCAAAAACCTCCGATATCCATGACCAGAACCAAGATGTGCATGCGGCTTACAGCTATGGGGTAATGTATAGTACCATGTTGAATATTCACCGGCTTCTGAGCAAGGAGAAGACAGTGCACGCGACGTGGGAGGATGTAGGTGTGCCCCTGGATGTTGACCCGGCAAACTTCACGGTGCTCGGAGGGTCGGTTGCAGTGGCGCGGGAGCAGGGACGTGTGCATAAGATTGTGGATGTTTCTGCAGATTAGGGGTGATTCTTATTTCACTGTTACCACGCTTGGTTGGATCGTTTCTTATTCATTATGTATAGATAGCACAAAACAACCACCGAGCCCTAATCCCACCTAATGTTGCGGCTTGACTACACTATAGTAGACTAATACCATTCTTATCACTGATAGGTAGGGCCTCTTAGTAGAACTCAGACGTAGCTGTAGCTGCCGCTGCAGGATACGTGTTGGTTGAGAATCCCAGGACTAGGTAAAGCTGCGCGGAATGGGTTAGGGGTGGCATGGGCTGGCACCAGGGCACAACTGGGTCGGTTGGCTCTGGGAAAGGAGAGATTAGAAGCGGGCTTGGCTGTTGCTCTTGCTCTTGCTGATTGCTGGGTCAGGTTGAGATCTGGTGGTTGTTGAGTATTACATTTGTTGCTGTTATTGTTTTTGTTGTTGCTGTTGTTGTTGTTGTTGTTGCTGCTGCTTCTGCTTCTGCCGCTCTTAAATAGCAGCCGCGCTTGATCTGTACCTGGGGTGTAACAAATTCATGTTTATCAGTTTGGTATATCCAGAGCAAATAACGAGAGAAGAGCGGCGAGGCGTGATTCAGGTTGTTCGGTATTTGAGTTGGTGTGGATGATGGGTGGGGGATATTGATTCATCTTCCTAGCTACGGGTTACGGGAGATGAAACGGAACGGGACATTCTTCGAGTTGGGATTGAAGTTGTATTGCTTTTTTCTTGATTCCGGGTTGAATGGATATTACATCTGCATTGCTCGCTTTGATGCTGTTCCTTTGAAGGACAGCACGCAGAATGTTGGGAAGTGATGCACAGCACGGAGTACTCCTCTTCCTATTCTGCCCCTTGAAAACTGTAATATTCCAGATCTACAGATTGCTATCATAACCCAAAGATTGGAGACGATGCATTGATCTTGACTATCAGGATTCACCCTGTGCAACGTCACTCCTTCATGTAGGTCTCGAAGAGGTTTGCTAGTTCGAAAAAAATGGCTTTATAGGACCGCTCTTGGGTGCTGAGGTTGACATACTATCGACCCAATTGGCATCCCCTCTAATTATCTTCAAATTAGCAAAGTATAATCTACTGCGCTGCAAGCCAAACTTTACTATGAACCCAGCCGTCCACTCCAGGTTGTCGGCAATGGACCAGGCCAGACACCCCACCAGATTCACTCCCTCGGCTACGGCCAGCAACATGGCTTCCACGTAGTCGCGGTAGTACGCGGACCGCACGGAGTCTGTCAGGATATCCTTGCGCTTTCGTCTTATACGCCTCATAGTGCTCTGTCCACCCGAACTCCATGATCACGATGCCGTTGGCCGGCTTCCACGTGCGCTGAATGTAGTGCAAGAACGCGGGGAGCCACTCGGTTGCCTTGTGTAGCCAGCGCGTGTTGGGGTTGGAGGCCGGTCCGATCAATCAGCCCCCCTCGCTGGCTGGTAACGTGTACGTCGAGTGGTAGCACTTCAGGTAGAGGCTGTTGCTGGGGTCTGCCAGGCAGCCCTCGATCCACTGCTTGAATCTATAGCTGCAGCTATGTGGATAGCGAGAAGCCCCGATAAGAGAAGCGCGCGCATGGTGATGCTCGAGATGTGTGTATTCTTGACAAGCTCATGATCACGGATTCGTTCGATGCTCGAGTAGCTTTTTCATGTCCAGGCTTCCCATCATCTAGCCAAACCAAAGATCAATTCCGGATTCTGCAGCTGCGGTTTTCAGTCAAAGCAGTCATGGGGCCATTCAATTCCGGGAGATCTGCATCTGCCAGGCCACGGGGATAATCAAGCCATCTGCAGAGGTGATGCATTTTCCGTCGTAGCAGTCCTTCTGATTAATCCGGTTAATCATCCTTGGCGGAGATGGCTGTGTTTGCCCCTCATTGTCTGAACTGGAGATGTGGGGCTGCGAAGAAGAAGTTGAAGAAGTCGAAGGAGGGTAAGAAACGAAGCAAAAGAAGAAAGGAGGAGGAGGAGGAGGAGGAGGAGGAGGGCGTTGACACATACCGGACAAACAAACCAATCTCCCTCATACCTCCCCTCAACTCCGCTTACTGCATATATCTCTCCCTCTCTCTCTATCGCTCCCTTTCTTATCATCTCTATCCAGTCTGGACCTCAAGTTTGCATACACTTTATGTCCTATTATTCATTTCCACAGCAAATATGCATGCTTTTCCTTCTAAGCCCTCCAATGAAACTCTATTCGCCAGCAGCCAGTCTAGCCAAGGCGACACAGAGCACAGCGTGCTGACAGCGCGCTGAAAACCGGATCCAGCACAAAATAATGTGTACGATTGAGCATTCAAGATGGGAAGGACCCGCGTTATCGCATGATTCAGCGCCCCTTGGCGTTCAAAGGATGTACAGTCCATCCATGGGTCTCGCCCCGTGGCCGCAGATGATGACTTCATGATGGTCGACGTCAATGTCCACCGCACCGCATCATGCGCCACTATACTTCCTGGCATCTCAGGGTTTCTTGTCGTCAACCTTGGAACAGGTTCCCACCCCTCGAATCGGATAGAGTCAGCCATTTTCGCCGTGTCGGCATGTCGGACTCCGAACATTCACCTCCGCATTGTTACATCTGAAAGCTTGCATTCTGGCTGAGCGATTAGGTTCTCGAGAAACCCACCACCTTCCTGCGTACATCCGGTTAGGTCCGTTACCTGACTTGGGTGGCCGGTATAATTTGATGATGTATGCTCCTATCGAGCTCGGTCCAGACTCGACCCCTGGCGCTTTCCATATATTCTTTCGAATGCACAGCGTTATCTCTGGCTGCTACGCATTTGATGGTCAGCATCAATCATCGTAAGCATGGATAGAGAGCAGAATATTGGTTCTAGACGCAATCTCAACGTCCAGCACGAAGACAACCCCTCGCTCACTTCTTTGTCTCCGTCGGAGCCAACATCGCGCTCCGAATCTAGCTATCATGCAGAACGATCTACCACGACTAGCGAACATGTCGCTAGGGGCCAGGCAGGGACTTCTCTCGACAGGCGGCTGACTGATGATGACATTGTCCGCGTTTTGTCCAAGCGACAAACCTCCAGATCAGGCTCCGACCCTGTGGGTGCAGATGATACAGCTCAGATTGCGAAACTGGTGTCACGGATGTTCGGCCACGAGAGGAAGGCCAATTCAGAAGAAGAGAAGACAAGGCATCTCGGTGTAATATGGAAGAATCTTACCGTCAAAGGCGTTGGGCTAGGCGCTGCTATCCAGCCCACGAATGCAGACATTTTCCTCGCATTACCTAGAATGATCAAGAACTTCTTCACACGACGCGCGAAGCATACTAGCTCAGGTACCGCATTGCGTACTATTCTAGATGACTTCACTGTGAGTGAGCCACGCGTGCTTGGTCTCTGTAAGACTGGTTCTCACTCATGAATGCATAGGGATGTGTGCGACCCGGGGAAATGCTTCTTGTTCTGGGTCGCCCCGGATCTGGATGTTCGACTTTTTTGAAAGTTATTGGAAACCAAAGATCCGGCTATAGAAGCGTGGAAGGTGATGTACGGTATGGGGGCACTGATTCCAGTACAATGGCGGATAAATATCGCTCGGAAGGTATGCAATTTACATGGTTTCTCATTTTGACGGTGTTCGGCTGACTTCTGCAGTGCTCTATAATCCTGAAGATGACCTGCATTATGCTACGCTCACAGTTCGAGATACCTTGATGTTCGCCTTGAAAAGCCGGACACCAGGTCAGGAATCACGACTACCGGGAGAGAGTAGGAAGCAGTATCAAGAAACCTTTCTGTCTACAATCGCCAAATTGTTTTGGATCGAACATGCGTTGGGCACAAAGGTTGGAAATGAGCTGATACGTGGTATCTCCGGAGGAGAAAAAAAGCGTGTATCCATCGGCGAAGCTTTGGTCACAAAAGCCAGCACGCAATGTTGGGACAACTCGACCAAGGGCCTAGACGCAAGTACTGCTCTGGAATATGTTCAAAGCCTCAGAAGCTCAACGGACATGTCACATGCGTCCACACTTGTGGCCCTGTATCAGGCTTCGGAGAATCTATACAATCTCTTTGACAAAGTGATGTTGATTGAGGACGGGAAATGTGCCTACTACGGACGCACGGAAAATGCCAAAGCCTACTTTGAGCGGCTAGGATTCGAGTGCCCCCCTCGGTGGACAACCCCGGATTTCTTGACTTCAGTCAGTGATCCTTTTGCCCGACGTGTCAAGCAGGGTTGGGAGGATCGGATTCCCCGTTCGGGGGAGGATTTCCAGAGAGCATATCGACGCAGTGGCATTTTCAAAGCCTCTCAAAAAGATATTGAGGATTTTGAGCGAGAGGTGGAGACCAATAGGGAAGAACAAGAGCTTGCCCGGGAAAAGCTCAAGAAGAATTACACAGTATCGTTTTACAAACAGATTATCATACTGACCCAGCGGCAATTTCTCATCATGTATGGGGACAAGCAGACACTGATCGGGAAGTGGGCTATGCTTACTTTCCAAGCATTGATCATTGGAAGTCTTTTTTACGATCTGCCTCAGACTAGGTTCGTTCGCCATGATACCAGTCCTTGTGAATCTTACTGATCAGTGCAATAGTGCCGGTGTTTTCACTCGAGGAGGCGTCTTGTTCTTTGTCCTGTTATTCAATGCACTTCTTGCCATGGCTGAACTTACAGCATTCTTCTCTAGTCGGCCCATTATGCTGAAGCACAAGACTTTGTGAGTATGGAATATCAAGCTTCTGAGCAATGCTGATAATTGCAGTTCCTTCTACCGTCCTTCAGCATTCGCTTTGGCTCAGGTTGTTGTGGATGTGCCCATCATATTTGTCCAAGTAACTCTCTTTGAGTTGGTGGTATACTTGTATGCTTTGTTTGCTGGCACCAATGCAAACAGTAACTGACTGACCTGCAGCATGTCGAATCTTCAGAGAACTGCATCGCAGTTCTTCATCAACTTCTTGTTCATATTCACGCTTACGATGACGATGTATTCCTTGTTCCGAACCATTGGCGCTTTGACAGGCTCCCTTGATGTTTGTAAGTAAGATCGTGCAAGAGCCAGAGTCTGGACTAATTTGACCAGCCACCCGTCTCACCGGCGTCGTAATTCAGATCTTGGTTGTCTATACCGGTATTTGAAGTCTTCAACCCTTCATGAAGATATTCAGCTAAGTTATTCAGGTTATTTAATTCCTCCGTGGAAAATGCATCCTTGGTTCAAATGGTTGATCTGGATCAATCCAGTGCAATATGCATTTGAGGCAATCATGTCGAATGAGTTTTACAATCTCAATTTGCAATGCGTTCCACCGTCTATTGTTCCAGATGGCCCGACTGCACAGGCAAATCACCAAGTATGCGCCATCCAAGGGAGTACTCCGAACCAGCTCGTCGTCCAAGGTTCCAGGTATATAGAAGCGGCTTTTACATACAGTCGGTCTCATCTTTGGCGGAACTTTGGGATCATCATTGGTTGGTTCATTCTGTTTGTTGTCTTGACGATGATAGGCATGGAGTTGCAGAAGCCCAACAAGGGGGGTAGCACGGTTACTATATTCAAGCGAGGCGAGGCACCCAAAGCTATCGAAGATGCAGTGAAGTACAAGGAGCTCCCAGGCGATGTTGAGTCGGGCAGCAGCAATAGCATCCAGGAAAAGAAGTCCGACGAATCGGGGAAGCAGGTGCAGGGCATTGCCAAAAGCACTTCTATCTTCACGTGGCAAGATGTGAACTACACAATACCCTATAAAGGCGGCCAGAGGAAGCTTCTACAAGATGTGCAGGGATATGTTAAGCCTGGTCGTCTTACAGCTTTGATGGGTGCATCTGGAGCGGGGTCAGTCCTTCTCTTACTGTTTTGCTCGATTCCTTGACTCACTGTTCATCTAGAAAGACGACGCTTCTGAATACTCTAGCACAGCGTGTCAACTTTGGTGTTGTCACTGGTACATTTCTTGTTGATGGAATGTAAGTATGGCCATCTCAACACTCCTTACACTATTAATGAAGTCTGCAGGCCCCTTCCAAGGAGTTTCCAAAGAGCCACTGGCTTCGCTGAGCAAATGGACATCCATGAACCTACGGCTACTGTGAGAGAATCACTCCGGTTCTCCGCCCTACTTCGTCAGTCAAGAGAAGTCTCGGTCCAGGAGAAATACGACTATTGCGAGAAAATCATCGACTTGCTGGAAATGCGAGATATCGCTGGAGCTACAGTTGGTGCTGGTGGCTCGGGGTTGAACCCAGAGCAACGCAAGCGGTTGACGATTGCCGTTGAGCTAGCTAGCAAGCCACAATTACTACTTTTCCTGGATGAGCCGACTTCTGGCTTGGATTCATTAGCTGCTTACAATATCGTACGCTTCCTTCGACGACTCGCTAATGCAGGCCAAGCAATTCTTTGCACGATTCACCAGCCGTCGGCTGTTTTGTTTGAAGAGTTTGACGATCTGCTTTTACTGCAAAGCGGAGGGAGGGTTGTTTACAACGACGAGCTGGGTTCGGACTCCAGAAAGCTCATTGAATATTTCGAGAGCAATGGCGCCAGGAAGTGTGCTCCTCATGAGAACCCTGCCGAGGTATCTACAGCTCTACAGGATTCATCGATCGTGTTCGCTGACTGGAATAGTACATGCTGGACGCCATTGGTGCTGGAAACCCTGAGTACAAAGGACAAGACTGGGGCGATGTCTGGGCAAATTCGGCAGAACGCCAGCAGCTTTCAGAAACCATTGACAGCATAATCCGGGAACGTCGTAACAAAGGGGCAGAAGAAAAAACAGATGACGACCGCGAGTTTGCGATGCCGGTATGGGTGCAAATCATGGCGACCACGAAGCGGTCTTTCACTGCCTATTGGCGGACACCTCAATACACTGCGGTACGTGGTTCTCAAAATCTGTATGGCAGCAGCCCTAATGGCTTTGCAGGGTAAATTCATCCTTCATATCTTCACTGGACTATTCAATACCTTTACTTTCTGGCACCTGGGAGAAAGCTCCATCGACATGCAGTCTCGCTTGTTCTCCATCTTCATGACCCTCACCATTTGCCCACCTTTGATCCAGCAGCTCCAACCCCGGTTCCTCCATTTCCGCGACCTCTACCAATCTCGGGAAGCCAGCTCCAAGATCTATTCCTGGACAGCTTTCGTGACCAGCGCCATTCTTCCCGAACTGCCCTATTCGGTCGTCGCAGGAACGCTCTACTTCAACTGCTGGCAAGCAACCACCACTCCCCGAGCTTGAATCTTCCGAATAGACTAACAGTTGCCTTCAGGTACTGGGGCATTTGGTTCCCACGCGACTCCTTCACCTCCGGCTTCGTCTGGATGATGCTGATGCTTTTCGAGATCTTTTACATCGGTTTCGGCCAGTTCATTGCCGCCTTTGCCCCTAATGAGCTCTTTGCCTCCCTTCTCGTTCCCACCTTCTTCACCTTCGTCGTCTCATTCTGCGGTGTTGTCGTCCCTTACAACAGCCTCATTCACTTCTGGCGCTCCTGGATGTACTGGCTCACCCCTTTCCACTATCTCCTCGAGGCCCTCCTAGGCGTGGTCACCCACAACATCCCTGTGCGCTGCATCTCCCGTGAAGAATCCCTGTTCAGTCCGCCCCCAGGCTCGACATGTCAGGACTACGCGGGTGCGTTTGCCACTCAATCCGGCGGGTACGTCACTGACGCGGGCAATGGCTTCTGTGCATTCTGTCAATACACTGACGGAGATGTCTTCGTATGTTCACTCACCTCTTCTCCCTCTTTGAACGATGAGATGGATTGAAAGCTAAGCTAACTTCTTTCGCGTCTGGGTATTCAGGCCGCGAGTTTCAATGTTTATTATTCGCATAAATGGAGGGCTTATGTAAGTGAATGCCTGCTTGCGACTGGGGAAGGAAAGAGGTTCCTTCCGAGAAAAGATGCTGATCAATGAGTACAGGGCATTTTCTGGGTTTATGTGATGTTCAACTTCATGGCCGTCTTCTTCTTCTCGTGGTTGTATCTGCATGGGATTGGAGATATCAAGAAATGGCTTAGTAAACGGAAGTCGAAGAACGCTCCGCACAAGGATGAGTGATTCAGCTCGGCTGGCTATTGGGAAGATCAGACTAGAATGTACGAAAATGTGGCGTGGCTTACATATACTGGAGTTACTTGGAAGCTCATAGGATGTACAAAATGATGAGATACTGATACTTTCAAAACCGATGGCCAAAATAAATTACATCTGTGGTGACATGATGGCTGCTCAAGCCTACAACACAATGGAACACCAGTAAAAGTGTGAAGGTATGGACTGTGAATAGATTCCAATCTCAAGGATAATAGTATATATACATAACAACGTATATACAGGGAACAACACACACAACATGATAAACGATCCCTAAGAACGACCGATCACTAACTGAAAAGAGATTTTCTTCGCTTTTTTTCGTCGTCGGGCTTCAACGTCTTCCGATCATACTTTGTGTACTCATCAAGCAATGGGGTATTCGACCCCGCAATTACTTTTCCCGTGCCAGGACATGAACACATTTGTCTGTCACCGGTGGAGGCAATAAGATGCTTCATAAGTTAAGGCTTGTGACTGCTTAGTTACTGAAGAGAATGGAAACCAATCCTGCGTCCTCATGCTTTGGAATTCCAAAAGGCGCTTGTCTTGTTCCCAATGATAGTCATGGAGACATGTCCTCTAGATGAAGTGATATAAGAGAGTACCCAAACCAGGCTAAGCTTCCTTGCTTAGTGCACATCCCTGATCAAGCCGTTTCTCGTGGCGGACTTGGCGCGGCAGCACTTGAATTCGTACCAGTCGGGTTGGAGGGTAGACCGCCGCCTGATTGATGCGCAGCGGCGGTGGTGGACCAAGAGCTGGAGGAGCCAGCGGGGCGCTGGGTCGATGCGCTATTGGCACTAGATGGTGCCGTTGGCGAGGATAGCGGCGGTGGTGCACCAGTGCTCGAGACATTGCCCTCCGAGGCATCGTGACCGGTGCCTGCTATGGCCGCGATCGTCGTATGATGACCGTTCATGAGACGAGGGCGTTTGGAATGAGGAGCCGCTTCAGGACTGCGAGTCGCGGAGTCTTGGTGTTGTTGTTGTTGCTGTTGTTGTGGTGGTGGTGGTGGTTGTTGATGCGGCTGCTGCTGCTGCTGCTGCTGCTGCTGCTGGGAATATGATGATGAGGGTGCTGCGCCACTGCTGGGTGTGGGATTGGTTGGAGAAGGGTCAGGGCTCAACGCTGAGGAACTCGTGGGAGGATGCAGCATTCGGTTTGTTGACCGGTCCTCGCCCGAGCCGGTTGTGCTTGTGAGATTGCGCTGCTGCTGTCTTGTTTCCGTACTGGAAGGTGCAGCCTGCGGGGTGTCCTCCTGGTGCTGCTGCTGTTGGACGGAGCCAGTGTATCCCACCCCGACGCGGCCCATTCCCTTGTCATGCATTACAACTCGTTTCCATTTCGCGACAACATTATCGTAGTCCCACCGCGATGCGCTAGGGGAGATCTGACTTTGATGCGCGTCTAATTCTCTAGCAACGTCTCGTGGCAGAGGCAAGGTGTCGGGCGGAAAGAGCGCAAATTCTCTCGGCCATTGGCAGGAACCCAGTCGTTCCACTTGGGCGCGGAGTTGGTTCGCTTCTTGCTGAACGCGGGCGAGTTGTTCATCGAGGGATTTGCGCTTGTCCATTTCGCGGGCGAAAGCGCGCGTGATCTCAAGTTGCCAAGCATCTCTGCGCATCTCCTGGGACAAAGAAGCCCAATGCTTGAAGGCGAGCTCGAGGTGACGAAGGCTGAGGTCTTCGTGTTGTTGAGCGCTGCGGGTGATCATGTTGGAGTCGAGCCCGAAAGTGGACGGACGGCCAGAGTGTGGATGAGAGCTGGACTCGGCGGAGGAGAGTTGGTCGGATTGCCACTGTTCGATCTTCGCGCGCAGAGCTTGTCGGACAATTTCGAGGTGCTCAGTTCCCGGGGGCTGAAGAGGGAATGAGGTCGGCGAAGGGAACGGGTTAGTCGCAAATAAGCTGGGAGGAGGTGGAAGAAGCTGCAGACAGAGGGAGGGAAACGTCTGCGATTGGATGTCAAAGTCAAAAGGCGAGAGTCGGGGGCGCATTCGAGTACTAGACGAAATAAACACGTCAGATTGCCCATAGTAAGGCGCAAGGAGTCAGATGGAGGTCAGATGGAGGGTCGCCATACGTTGCAGCTTTGATGTTGTCTAGCACCTCGCGCAAAGCCAGTTCCAGCGCCCTCATGGTGTCTGGATTGCCCGAGTTGTGCCTATCCGTGAAAGTGAAGGATCCGGTTCTGGACTGTGAAGGCGCAATACGCGAATGGGAGGAACTACCCTCCGCCTGACTAGGATGGGGAATGTCGTTGATGACTCCAGTCGCATGCCAAGTGGGGGTATTGAACATCATCCTATACGCGCCATCGCGTGGCTTTGTGCCCGAGTCACCAGAATTGAATAGGTCCTGTTGACGTTTTCCCGGTGTTCTCTCCGGGGTGTCGCGTCTGCCGGATGAGGTGCGAGCTTGTCGTCGCGTGATCTCACTTCGGATGCGTCGAATCTCCTCGACATCGTGAATGCCATCGGGTTTTTTCTTGAACATAAACTGATCGAGGTGTCGTCCGAGGGAGGACGAGGTGAAAGCCTGGCGGCAGTATTGGCATTGCCGATCCTTGAGGGCTGGATTCTTTGCGGAGCTCGACGGGTGCTCGTCTGCTCCGACCGAACCTTCCGGGGTATTGGTCGGACGTGACGAGGCGCTTTCGTCCATAATGAGCCGGTTTGTCCGTAGTCAATGATTGTGGGATTCAGATTGTAGTGAGTGGTGACGGCTGTGACGAGACGCGTTCAGTGGGAGGGTTACTGATCGATGGCGTTTACTGGAAAAGTATAGCTTAATGCATGACACAAACAAATATGGACGAATGATACCAGGTGGTGGGAATTGAGCGAGACCACCGACAAAATGCGCGGTAAAGCTAACCAAGAGAGATGCAGGAGGGGTGGGAAAGCAAAAAGAGAGGGAGAGAGAGAGGGAAGAAGATGAAGAGGAAGAGAAGGAAAGGAAGGGAAAGGAAGAGTTGGTGGTGACGATGAGAGCAGGAAAAGAAGCGCCAAGCCAAGCTTGGGGCTCCCAGTGGGGAAGAAGGGAGGGGATTGTCTACTGTACTTCGTACTTCCTCTGCCTCATTCTCCAACAGTTCAACTAATTGTCTCAGACACAATCCTTCTGTCCTGTACCGCTCGCCTGGTACTTATGTTTGTCTACTAGACACCGTCCTCTTCTCTATTTGTATTCGTCTTTGAACACCATGACTCGCTCGACTTCCTTCCCATCGCCAATATCCTCCATCCAAGCCCTCCATAATCCTCCGCAATTGAAATCAAACACCACTTTCCCCTGCTTGAGCTCACCACCATTGGTTACAGACTCATCTAGCTCTGCCTCAATTCCGATGATCCCACCCTGACCTTCACCCGTTAAGCCCCATCTGTCTCCAGCCGAACGCTGCAACTCGCCGCGGGGCCCAGCAACCGCAGCGACAGCCTCAGCCAACGAGAGATTCGGCGTCGAGAAGCGAGAGATGGCGCAAGCTGTGCGAGCAGCCGCCGTGCGAAGAAAGGAATCGCCATTGCCTGTACCCGACACCGCAACCGCACGTCTCGAGCGCTTTTTCTGCGCCATCAATCTTTCCTTCTCGGACCACGCTTCGTGATTCCACGATGCCTCATCCTCCGTGCTGCGCAAAGATCCATACATCCAATCGACGCCCTCTCTAACCATCCCAGGCAAACAATCTCCGAGAGTCATATCCCAAATACCTTTCTTCACCCTATCCTCTATACCCACCTCAGCTCTTCCATACCACATCTCCTCTCCCCCACTCCTAACGACCTCCTCCTCTCCTTTCTCCTCCCACGCCTCCGCCCAGAATCCCGCCCCCAGCGTTGGCGTATCCCCAATCCTCCCAGGCAACTTATTCGTCAATCCCCCGGTACTCGTCGCAACGGCCAAACCCCCACCTTGATCTAAACAAACACACCCCACCGTCCCCTGACTCATTGTAACCGTCTCCGCTTCCCCGCGGAGACCCCTAAGATGCTCCTCCCACCGCCTCTGCGTAAAGAACCATTCATCCGGCTTAAACTCCAACCCCCATTGTCTAGCAAGCACATCCTCAACATACGGCCCTACAAGCTGCGAGTGCATGCTGCCACGATCATCTTCATCCTCACCACCACCACCACCACCAGCGCCACCATGTCGGCGACCATCCTTCCGTCCCGACCGAACCAACACCTCCCGCGCCAACTGAATCGGATGCCTCACATTCCTCAGCCCCATCACGCCGGCGCCGCGCTTGATAATGCCGACCTCAAACGGATGCGCCGGGTTGACGGAGCAAACCATAAGCGAGGCTTCCATTTCGATGGTGCCGGCGGCCGTGAAGACGCTGCCGCGCCCGCAGTTGAAGAGCGGGTCGTCTTCCATGAGCGAGACGGCGTGGACGGCCGCGTCGAGGGCGGAGGCGCCACTTTCGAGCAGCGCCCGCGTGGAGCGGAGGTATTTCAGGAGGGAGGCGTGGTATTGCGCGTAGAGGTCCGGAGGCAGGGTCGAGCGGTGAATCGCCCCCGCGCCGCCGTGGAGGATGAGGGTGGGTTTAAAGAGGGCGGGGAGTGGGGGTTTGTCGGAGGTGGAGGTGGTGGTTGTCATGGTGGTTTGGTCCGGTGGGTGGTGCTTGTAGCTTGTAGTATATGTAGATTGCCGGAACGGAAGAATTGAATATGTAACGAAGGGCCACCCGGAAATCTGAAGGGTTTCGCTGAGAGACAAAACTGCTCCGTCGTGACAGTAGAAAGGGTTGGGGGGAAAGGAGACGAAGGTCGATGATTTGTCGCGCGGCTTATCAGCAACGGCTCTTGGCCTGATTGGGAAAGTCCTGTGCCACTGGCTCACTTCGTTTATCTGTCGGAAACCTGCTGAACAAAAGGTTATCAATTCACCATCAAGCCACCATCGAGACAGTAGTATCTGAAAATGCTTCACTGTGTACGAAGTATGACATTATACCTGTTATCTGCATGTTAATGTACAAGAATAAGAGAGGACCAGTCCCTCCGGCCGGATCCGCAGAGACCTCTTTTTTTCGCATCTGCCCCCTCGGCAGATGTAGAAAAAGAAAAACAGAAATACACAAGGACGCAAAGGCTGTGTCATCCAAAATCGCCGACAAAAACCCACTTCTTTGTAGAAAAGACATCATAAGAGCGGGGACGGATCAAAGCAAGGAAGTCGAAAGCAACCTCTATACCATGCATCCTAAAATGATATGAACCAGCCCAACACCAGAGAAGAGAGACCACGATAAGGATATGAGAAACATGGGCATATTGCTGACAACGCGGGAATTCGTACGTTCCTAACTAAACATCAAAGGGAGATAGGGTCCGTTGTGGTGGAACAATTAGGCGACGGCCTTCTCGGGAGACGGAGGAGGGGGGGGAAGCTAAAATCGACGAAGATTAGCCTTCTGATATAGTTTCCATGATAACCGACTGCCCGGACTTTCTGAACAAGCCAGAGTACAAGGCAACGCCCCAGAGCAAGGAAGACCAAAAGTATGCGGGCAATCTCACCTCGAGTTTTGTGTTGTCGGCCATCATTCTCTGGAACCCAATACCAACACCCTCAATGACAGCCAGAAAGACAGCACACATGATAGCCGAGTTACGAGCAGCTTTGACACCACCACGAACAGCGAGAGCACCACCAGTGAAGAAACCAGCAATGACTGAGGCGATAAAAGGTTAGCTATGTCGTCATTTCCAATTGACGCGCAATCTGCCACAATGTAGCCCAGCGGCGTGTGTAAATGTAGGACGGATAGGCCGGGTATGACATACTGGCATTGTAAGGATCCTCCTTCTTTCTGATACCCTTGATCGCACAGTCAAAAGTCGAGAAGAGACCACCCCAGACACCAAAGTTACCACCGAGAACGGGCGCACGAGCCTTGATGGCTGTGAGGGCACCTATCCGACGCTCTCCGTAGGGGCTGTTTCTGAAACCCTTGACACCGTGCCAGACGGCACCACCGATAGCCTGCAGAGTATGCTGGTTAGCTGTTGCGATCGATGGCGAGATGCAAATGCAGCGGAGAGAGATGCGACTTTTGGGGGGTCCGATGATGACGTACACCCATACAGAAAGCACCACCAAAGTCGCTCAGGGCAACCCAGGGGCAGGGATCTCTGGAGTGATCCATTGTGAAGTCTGAACTAAGAAGAGAAAGAAGGTGAGGAGCAAGATCAAGAAGCTAGCGTTGCCCGGAGAAAGTCGAGTAGTGGCTGTTGCAGAAGCTACCAGTTCCCGAATATGAGTATTGAAGAAGGGTTAGGTCGAATGGTGACACAGATTGAACTCGACAGTGAGGTGGTGCGAGTTACAGTGAGATATGGGGTTGTGCTGTCAGAGCGAGACGGTGCACGAGAAGCTGGCTGAAGCAGTCTTTAATGGACAAACTCTGGGGTCGGAGAACGGAGAGCGAAGGCGGATCGCAACAATAAGTTTCTGGCTTTTTTCGCCGGGAAAACGTGACTTGCGTCCCCCAGTCATAGTCACGTGCCGATAACCAGCCCGGGAACTCCCTTTCCAAACATCCTCCAAGCAAGTCTACGGAGTAGTTATGAGTGGCGAGTCGGGAAGACAAGGAGGAAAATATGCATCTCGACTGGCAGGGATTCCATCAAACTTTTTCTCTCCGCTTGTCCTTGTGTGCTTTTCTTAGACTCAAAGGGCCCGAGCACTTTCTTTGGCCGACTTAACCGGGCTTCGTGTTTTCTGACGCCATGCTGATGATAAAAGATCATTGTCAGTTCTACTGCAAATATACCAAGGTACTATATGCTATAGATCACCTTTCTCATCTGACAAATGATGACAGATTGGCACCCTCCGTCTGTTGTCTGATATCATAAAGCTCACATGGAACCATCGCAATAACTCGTACACCTCTATGCGTAACTCGCTTTGGGTTTCAAATTGTTATTACCAGCATTCCTTGCCATGCGGGCGAAATATACCGTCCCAACCCACTTAAATGTCCACGCTAAGCAAGATTATGCATGATAGAGTTTTATATTCTAATACATATATGTACAGCGTATGGGTCCAGCCACATTGCAGATCGCATCAATCACGACGGCAGATTCCAGATGAAGTTCAATGCTCCTCCTCCATATGCAGGGAACTGTCCACAATTATTGAGCCCGAAGGGCGCCATAGACGGATCAAATGGTAGTGAAAGCCAGTCATCCCCAGCAATATCATTGAGCTGGGGAAAGAGACTCACGTCCGCCAGACTTTGCGACACAGCAACATCGACCATGGGGTTGGGGTCCTCGGCTTCTATGTTCTGTTGAGGGCCCATCGCACCGCGAGTCGTCGTTCCATGACTGGGTTTGACCAACTTAGATGATGCAAGCAAGTTGCGACGCAGACGAGACACGTGCATTTCCAGCAACTCGGCGTACCGAGTGCTGAGGTGGATATCGTCGAGAGCATTCGACCTCAGTGCATGTACGCAGCGCTCGAGTATGTTTAGCGATTCACGGAGCTTTGCTGGACGAGTCCCGAGACTCAAGGCTTTCATCAGGAAGATAGAGGAACTAATGATCCGTAGAAACATGCGGACAGGAGAGAATCGCAGAGCTCCTGCGTCACCAAGCTGGATGACTTTCTGTAGGATTTGGCAACACCCGTCAATCACTTCCTGGATATAGTTGTAGTCAATGGGCTCAATGTGCATCGCACGGACTTCTTCCACGTTTGAGTTATTGTCTGCGACTATACGCTCCACGACTGCTTGCATTCCCACCGAGTGCGTGTACACACGCACAAAGTTGTATTCAATGAAGAGAATGTCATAGAAGTGCTTGCTAAGCACTACACAGTGTATAATCAGCATAGAGTGACAGAGACTAGTTTCGCAGGAGACAGGGGATCCCTACCATCATGCCTGAGATGCTGCTCTTTCCACTTTTGTAGGAGAGGGCAGAAGTGATCCAACAAATCGATATATCGTCCACTATGCAGTTGTTGCCTCGCAAAATTGATAGACGGGAAGAACATATCGGTCACATTCTTGGCCAACTTTGTAAGATCCATCCAAGAGTCCATGAGAGCCAGCCATTCGTCTTCCGAGTGGCTCACGTCCCGTGTTGTTTGTCGACCGAGTACTGTATGGTTTAAGCTCTGTGGCATAAGCGAGACACATCCAATTCGCCAGGCGAGTTGATTGATGTAGACGTATAAGAGGCGTTGCACGCGGAGTCTGCGCAGTTTGATTTGGTCATTCGAGATGAAGCCTTCATATAGCGACGCATAGTCGCATTTCTTATCATCAAGTTCGAAAATGCCCAGCTCGTGCGCGAGCGACAGCGCGGATCCGAGTAACATCCAGGACATCTGATCAGATCTTCTGGCCGGTTCAACCATGTCTTCAAGCCATCGGTTGGAGGACGAATCATCTTGGCTTTTGGGTTCCGGGGCCAACACCAAGTCAGAGTCCCAGCCATCACTCTCCGGTGGGAAATGAAGGGATCTTGGGTGCCATTCCGACATCAATAACAGCGCTTCAATGGTTCCAATGCTCCTATTTTTCGCATGAGACGACCTCTCCTGCCCGAAAATAAGCCGCATGACAAGATGTTGACAGTGCTGCCACAGACGATGGTGAATGAAGAAGTTTCGGGATTCGCCTCCAGCTCCAGGGAGGACATGATAACGGGAAGACAACATTAATATAGCGCAACATAAAGCAGGATCACAGGTGATCAGGTATTGGTGGGTGCTATGGTCGGCATAGAAGTTGGTCAATATTGGTGAAAGAGGAACCATGTTCTTGAAGAACCTGCAATTGTCAGCATACATCGATAACCCAGGACAAAGTAGTCACACGAACAAGTCGATGAGAGTCACCGCTTCTCTGGATGAGAACCAACCCATTTTGACGAATCGGCAGGTTTCCCAGACCTTGAGCACCTCTTCCGATACCGATGAAAGCTGTACCGGGCGCTTCGCCTTGGCCACAGCTTCCATAGGATATATGAAATGCGGTTCGTTCATGGCATTGTTGCTCACACGTATGCCTTGCGATGCACTATCCCGTGTAGTTTGCGATTGCGCCTGGTAATCGCTGGCCATATTATCCTGGCTATGGGCCACAGCAGCCTCAAACAGGATATTCAGAGCATCATTTCCACTAGAGACCACGGTGCGCATCATTGAGTTGGCAAAACTCGAGGTCGTTGGAGGCTGGCTTGGGCGTGTCTCGGGATCATAAGTCTGATGGGAATTTTCGTCAACTTTGTCATGCCTGTGGCCATGGCTTTCAGACCGCTGATTTGCCTGCTGCGGCATGCTATCGGGTAACCTCCGCGTCTGAGTTGCGTACATATTCGGAACAGAAGAGTGGTGTGATCTCCTAGGATTGTGGTCATGTTTGGTACTGTCATTGCCTGGTCTGTGATCGAACACATGCAGAACATCGTCTGGCACACTTCGTCGTCGAGTCCGTGGAGTGTTGAAGACATGAGACTGGAGTAAGCCTCTACTGCTACTGCCAGTAGTGCTACGATCGATAGATTGATCATCGAACACTTCGAGTACATCATGGGGATGAATTTCGCGCTGAGTCCGTGTCGCGGAAGCATGAGTCTGACGCAAGCCCCTGCTTTCGTTTTTATGGGCGCTGCTGTTACCAAAGGGACTATCAGCGCCGACTTGTAAAACATCTTCAGGTACCTCCCGCTCCTGTTGGGTATGGTCTGACAACCTGCGACGTGTATTGGGCGATGGCACGGGCGTATCTTCCGACGGACCTGTTGAAGAGGAATCAGCCCCCGAGATAAAAGCATCAAATCGTCCGAAGAAGCGAAGACTAGCACAAATAGCAGTGGCAGCAGAAGCATAGCACAGGCATCCATACCGCGTTTACTGCTTCTTTCCCAGGCCCTCTTTTCACTGAATACGCACTCCCTCTGTTCCCTTCGACATTTCGCACACGGAGGCCCTATTGGAAAGCCATCTTGATCAGTTCCGAGGTTGCACTTGGCCTTTCGCTGGCGGCACGAGAGGCAGGCCTTGTAGGTCCGTTGGTAGGTCCGCGTTGGGGTATCCCCGTAGCGGGCGGACGGCCTCCTGACTTCCATGATGGGCGGAGTTCCAGCTCAACCAATGACATCGCAGATAAAGGGACTCCGGAATCAGACTTGAAAATTTGGCAACTAGGCCGGAATGTAGGGCTGTGAGTCAGCCCAGATGGAGACCGACAGTTTGCGCGAGATGGGGGGAGACGCAGCGAGGGGGAACCGGAGCGGTAATCGGGAGGAAACATTGAAAACGGAAATAGCCGTCGTTTCCCGCCCCAGGCGGAGAATCGAAACATCCGGGGCTGTTGTAGATGTTGGTATGGAGCATGAGATGAAATTCTAGCTATGGCAGCACTTGGCTTAGGATGAAGGAGATTCATGCTTAATTCGATGTGTGTAGCCCAACCCAGAACTCAACTTGAATGAAAAATATCCGCACCTGCCTGAACTTATCTGCGATGTCATACAGCACAAGAATATATACTTGCTACACGCAGAGATGCTTCCTGAAACAAGCATCCTTACCTACTGACTGTAAATCCTCATAAAGTCCAACATGAATCCCGCCACTCCCACAGAGCCGACAATTAAATACACCAAGCTCAACTAGATTCGTATGCGCCCGGGGCTAGAGGCCAGCGGATATGGGGAGATTGAGGAAGAGCTATGCAGAGGATGAGTCGCTTTTTTCTGGGTGCAATAATTGTAGGAAAGGAACAAGGTGATGGCTTAGCTGCGACTGAACTTTAGCAATGAAGGGAGCGATGCTATAGTAGATAGCGATCGGCCTAACTCAAATAAGATTAGTTCTATATCTCATGCTGCGCCAGCAGGGGGTCAAAAGAGCGAGGCATGTTTTGTACTGGGCGAGATAGGCAGATATCGACATCATGCGATGCTGCCTAGGACTAGGATTAATCTCGCGCTAGACCTAGGGCTGCACGAACTACCAGGAAAGCAATACACGACAAGGAGCACAAACGCTAAGACTACTCGTAGTTTCTAGCCTGGAAAATGGAAGTGTGCATTTAAACTTCATCTAATTTTATAGGAGGCTGAAGATTTATTATAATCTGTCTTGATTTATAATGTTTGATACTCTTCATTGACATCCCAGGAATCCATGCAACACGTCATCATCAACTTAACTATCGTCTGAAATTATTCATCAAAGTGCGTTTATTTGTGGGCTGAACAACGAGTTAGCATAACGGTCCCGACATCAAAACAGAATTGAAATAACTTACGGATGCCCTCCTCAGGCTGGGGCTCAATGCCGACAATCTCGGCGGCGTTCTTGGTCTCAGCAGCCGTCTTGTCATCCTTCATGAAGGGGAAAGCCAGAACCTCCTTGATGCTGTAGTTGTCCGTCAAAAACATGACCAAACGGTCGATACCCATACCCCAACCACCGGTAGGAGGCAGACCGTACTCCAAGCTGGTACAGAAGTTCTCGTCAATGAGCTGAGCCTCGTCATCACCCTGGTCCTTCTGGCGGGCCTGCTCCTCGAAGCGGAGGCGCTGGTCGAAGGGGTCGTTCAACTCAGTGTAGGCGTTGACAATTTCCTTCTTGCAAACGAAGGCCTCAAAACGCTCACACAAGCCGACGTTCTGGCGGTGGTACTTGGCCAGAGGAGACATCATCTGGGGGTGACCAGTGATGAAGGTGGGGTTGACGCAGGTCTCCTCGATGAACTCGCCGACCAGCTTGTCCAGCATACGAGCGTTGGTCATGGGGGGAGAGCATTCAACACCAGTCTTCTTGAGAATGCGCTTGAGGAACTCGTTGGTCTCAGCGGTGTGGAGCTGGTCACCAGGAGGGAACTTCTCGCCGGTAGCCTCCTCCAGAGCGGGAATCATCTCCACACGGCGCCAGGGAGCCTTCCAGTTCACGTTGTAGACCTCACCGGACTGTGTGTGGAAGGTGGTCTCATAGCCTCCAGTGACGTGCTTGACCAGGCCGGAAACGAGCTCCTCGGTCAGAGTCATGACATCGTAGACATCGGCGTAGGCCCAATAGAACTCGCAAGTGGTGAACTCGGGGTTGTGGGTCAAATCGATACCCTCATTACGGAACTGACGGCCCAATTCGTAAACACGCTCCAAACCACCGACGATCAGCATCTTCAGGTACAGTTCGGGAGCGACACGCATGAACAGGTTCATGTCCAGCTCGTTGTGGTGGGTGATGAAAGGCTTGGCGGTGGCACCACCGGCGATGGCGTTCATCATGGGGGTCTCGACCTCGACGAAGTCGCGGCTGTCGAAGTAGTTGCGAATGTAGGAGACAATCTTGGCACGGGTGAGGAAGACGTTGCGCGAACGATCGTTCATGATGAGATCAAGGTAACGTTGGCGGTAGCGCTGCTCCTTGTCCTGCAGACCAAAGTGCTCGGAGGGGATGGCGTGCAAGCAGGGAGCGAGAAGAATAACCTCGGAGGCGAAGATGGACAGCTCACCATCCTCACGATTCTTGGGGTTACTGCGACCAGGGAAACCGACAATACCAACAATGTCACCACGGCGGAGGTGCTCGTGCTGGGCCTCAAAGGAAACGTCGCCGGCAACGTTCTGAGCCTGGCAGACAACCTGAACCTTAACACCCTCAGCACGGATATCGTAGAAGATCAACTTGGCACCGGAGGAGCGCTTGGTGAAGATACGACCGGCAATGCGGACGGTAACATCGGGCTTCTGCTCGCCCTTGGCAAGACCCTCGTACTCCTTGAGGTACTTGCGGAGGTCATCGGTGACCTGGAACTTGTGAGGGTAGGGATCGGGCTGCTTGGTCTCGCGAAGCTTGTTGATTCTCTTGCTGCGGATCTCGAAATATTGCTGGAATAGGAGAAGGTATCAAGCATGGTTAACAATATCGCGCGACACCATGCATATGATTGCGGGGTATAACTCACGTTGGGGGTCAGGTTGGCCTCGTCATCTTCGGCGGAGGTCTTCTTGACCGGCTTAGGAGGAGCAGCGGCCTCACGTTCCTTCTTCTTGGCTTCCTTCTCGCGCTGCTTCTGGCGTCTCTTGAGTTCGGACTTGGACACCTTCTCTCCGGTAACCTCGTCGAGGATAAGGTTGGCCAAGGAGGCCTCGGCCTGCTGAACGCCAGTGTTGTCGGCCATGGTAATTGAGCGAGGATTTGAAGTACCGGACCTGGAACTCAGACTCCTCTATATGACAAATGAAGAACACGGAGGAGGAGGAGGAGGGTAAAAGAGATGACACACGGAGCGGGTTTGGTGGGTTGGAAGTCGGAGAGAGAGAGAATTTTGGGCGGGAGAGGCAGAGGGTAACGGTGATTGGGTAGGGAGGGGCAGCTCCCCACCTCCGCCCCTCCTCAATCAATGACTCAATTTTCCATTCAGTAGTCAGTCATGAACTTCGTGTTATTGCAGCCTCAGGCCAAGATTCAAATTGTTAGTCTCTACAGGAGATTCTATCTTGGACTATGAAATCACTGAAAATCACTGAACAACCAAGTCTCATCGCTGTCCTTCTCACGGTCTGAGAACCAAACAATTTCAAGCCTGCAAACTAGAACCACAATCTCAATTGTCCAACACTCAATCGATCCTTATCACTGCTAGGGCTAAGGGCTTAGGGCACGCGGGTGGGGTTTGTTGGATCTATCGTTCGCGCCTTCTCTATGTTCGCATGCCCCGCCTTCCGCTTCCAGAGCTCTCCTGCCATCCATGCGTTTGCCTGTGCACCTCAAGCAGACGTGTCCATAGTCGAGACATAAGGGGCCCAGTCATCCACCGGCTGTGACTTGACTGTCATGTTGTCATACACATCTTCGATTTCATCCTTTTTGTTGGCAGACAACCATGTTCGCGCCTTGTTAATCTTCTCCTTCTCGCGCTGCAGATTAACCCGGCGAAGTTGACGCTCTGGTTCCTCTGCCATGAGCTCGCAGCATCTTTCTACCACTTATCACAAACGTGTCAGCAATTGCGTTTTTGGAATAGTCAGCATACACTTACGGTCATGATCATCGATGTGCAGCTCTCGTTGAACCTCCTCAATCAACTGATCGCGACACTTAGAGAAAAGCTTGCTATGCGCGCTTTGACATATCAAGTCAACAAATCTAGAGCTAGCAACATCATAGTAGCCTCGTGTTGACTGGGGAAGAGAGGACAGTCAGTCACACGCAAGTATAGCCTGAAGGACTTTAAGCATACCGCCATTATCCTGACCTCCTGGGCGTACGGGTCCGGGCCAAGTTGGTGCGCCATCTCCTGCGGTTTTAGTAACATAGTCTTGAGCTCGTTATCTCGGCGAGGATCTCCCTTAGGATACCTGCCAACCTGGTCTTGATACAGTGAGTAGCGACGTTCGTTACGGGCGCGTACCAAAACTTCGAACCCATTCTTGGTGGCTTGCTCCAGCGCCAATCTATCCATGGTGAAAGGCTTGTTGTGTTCCATCTCGTAGATCTCCTCCGCCCAGCTGATGTGCTCCAATTGCAGCTTCTGGAGATACTGTTCCACAATTCGACGTATCTCGCGATAAAGGTTCGTCCGTTGGTACTGCAAGAAGACCTCGTCTACTTGTTTCATGAGTATCTTCCTCACAAGGTCATGCGTTTCATCCAGAAATACAATCATCGGTGCTTTCCAGTGTTCCACGCTGCGCTGATTCAGTATCTCGATTGCCTTCGGATCGATCTGGTCTGGAAGACACCCTCGGGACGCAGTTTCATTGCATTCGCGAATCTCTTCCCAGGTGAATCTCTTGGTCTCGCGGCTGAGCTTATCAAAAGGCGAAGCCGGAATGGTTCTTCCTGGGTCTGGTGTAAACCTCTTAGCGTCTGGTGTAGCACACTGACTGGTGACCTTGCGCTTCCTTGGATTCTCGACAATAGTCACTTCGCTATCCGAGCCGTTGTTTTCTTGATTGCACATCGTTTGCTCATGTATCTCAGCTTGTGAGAGCACACTTACACCTGGCCGAGTCTGTGTCAGTATCCTTTTGAACTGGTTCGCCAGGCGTGACCATAGTGTCAAGAGGGGATACTCTGCCGAACCGCCGTCCATATGCGCTTGTACATGCTCTCTGTACTTGTTGAGCATTTGACACAAAACAAACGGGCTGCTCGCTGAAGGGGGATCTGGTAAAGTTTGGAGCTCAAAGTCAATTCGTCGAGATTTCGCTTCGATTTGTTCAATCACCTTTGGAAGGCATTTCTGGATCTGGTCCAACAGGAGGCTCGAGAGCGCTGTCTGCAGCTTTCTGGTTCCGAATTTCTCTTGGAACACTGCAAGTTGTGTGGCCCACGGATGTGAAGCAAAGAACGCGTCCTCTTCTTGGCGTGCTTGAGCATGCCCTACCTCTGGATCTGGATCATTGCGGATCACGTAGTAGCCATGGCCTAATCTGAATTTGTCTCCTTCCAAAATCTCAGTCCATTGCTCATATCCCTCCCCTGACTGGATACGGTCGGGCTTAGTGAGGACCCCCAAAGTCCTATTCCTCGCACCCTTCACCTCTCTCATCAGGCGAGCAGCGCTAGAATTAGTCGCATCGTTGGTCATTGGCAAAGTCAGAAGCACGATACAATTAGCCTGGGTGATGTAGTCTTTGACAAGATTCTCGATCATAGCAACCAAGTATCGATCCTTCTCATGCTCAGCCTGACTTATCACCCCGGGTAGATCGTAGAATGACAAGCTTGGGAAGCCAGGAGCTGAGATGTCCAGTCGTACCACATTCGGAGAGAATTTGACATGATAGTAATTGGCGTCTGTCACAGCATTCTTCCCGGGGATATATTCATCTGAAGGCTTGTGGGGATTCAAAATGGCCAGTTGAGCCCATCGAATGGCCTCTGCAACATCGTCTCTGTCGCACAAGGTGATGAAAAGCTCATCTTCTTGCTCTTGCTCATGCCACGGACCGAAAGGGTGCGACTTCTTCGACACCTTGTCCACCTTGTGCTGACTGTCGTACATATACTTCCTTGACAAATAGACACGGCACGTCCACGGTTGATCCGGTTCACTCTCGGCGAGGTTAATCTCCATCGGGCATCGAGTGCAGGTGCCTGCCGCCCGAGGGACTTTGATCTCGCTCATACCTTCTATAAGAGAACTCTTGCCCGCACTCTGATCGCCAATGACACAGATTCTGGGAAGGGCGATCTGGCTATCTTCGATTCCAATGTGCCGCAGATCTTGTATCTTCTTTACCATCAGCTTCATCTCATGGGTGATGATGTTTATGGAGTCGTTATTCAATGTTGGTAGACAAGACATCTTGCATGTGTCCCGTATGACGGCTGAGAGATATGAGTAGATGAAGATGCATCTTAGGGAAGCATATACTCACGAAAGAACTCTTCCGATAAGCTTGCGATAGGTGACTGCCGCACAGGTAAGACTGACATGAAGGTGGCGCTGCGATCGTGACAGAGTGAAAGGAGGGGCGGAAAGGTGTTTGATAGAGGGAAAAAAACTGCAGAGCCTCTGAGGGAATGAAGATCTGGCAGCGGGGACTCAATTTGAAAAGGAAGAAGAGGGAGACATGGGATCTGTTTGGGGAGTGGGGGGAATGACCGTGGAGTGTGTTATTATGGATATCACAGCGTAAGAAGAGTAAATGCAAAAAAACACAGAAATGAAGAGATTTATACGCAGCGAATCTCAAGCCAACAGAATTGACAATTGCAGTTTGTGGTATCACTGTGGTAAAAGGACAGAAAGCTGTATAAAATGGAGCAAAAATAAGTGGCAGAAGTACAACAGCCCGTGAAGTTGATAGATCATAGCACAGCATTAACCTTTGCATTCTTAGTGGCAGCAGTTGGCACTGGACAGCAAATTAGTACTATTTTCAGATTTCACATCGCGTCGAGAGACATCAGTACATAATAAGCCCCATCTAAACAGTTTCTGTGTTAGTAATTGTTCTTTGGTGGGATTGTCCTTGCCAATTTGATGTTAATTCACTCGCGATGAACCCACAACACCTCCTTCCACTATTTCGGACCGCACATAACACTCCCACCGTCCCCACCTCTCTCGACATTGAACACACGACGTAGAATGGCTTGGTAAGTCACCCTGATCCAAGGTCGGTACAAAAACTCCATCTGATACTGGCTAAATTTGTTCTTACTCGGCCAACACTCCCAGACCTCAACTCTCAAGGTCTAAATTTCAAAGGTAGGAGGCGCTCTACAAAAAGACAACCCAGGCAATTGAAAGCATTTAACAGAACACAGGCTCGTGAAGCAGTTTGAGCTACCCAAGCTCCGTGAGAGTACGTAGCAGTCTAATTAGCTTATTGCTCTATGGCTCAGAACATTAACGTGACACAGAGCATGGAAGTCTTTCCGATGCCCGAAACACCTTTCAAAGTGGATCACAAGCGAGATAAGCATTTCTGGCTGGGTATTCACTCAGCTGAAGCCGATTGCCATATCTGCCAGGAGAACTCGTGGACTCTTTGCCTTACATCTGTGCCGGTGACCTGATCCCTGCGGAACTCCACGACCAGTTCCCGGTTTCCTGATCTGGACGTATTGAAACGAATGACACTTCATGCCAAATATTCTGAGCGGGGAATGAAGTACTCAATCCCAGGAATACGGCTCAATGGCGTGCATACAACTTAATTCGACCGAAAGAAGAATTTCGACCAGGAATATGAATTGAGTGACGAAGACAAGAGCCAGTGATGTATCTGTCACACTAGCAGCCAGCCCTCAGTCACCAATGCGTCAGTTGCACCTGTGAAATGTTTTCAAGTCCCTGGAATTCAAGTAGAAGAGACATGAGTGTACTCCACGTACCTAATATTTCCCAAAACGTCCACACGCAAGTGGATACCAGAACTGGTTAACTAACCTGAGGCAGGACAACTGAAAGCGGTGAGGTTGGCCCCTTTGGATCGAGTGCGCATCAACCATGGATCTTCTCTCCCTCCGCAGCGCTAAGACGGTATCCTACAGTACTGTAGGTAGGAGTCTAGTAAAACTACTCCGTACTAGACTGTAACTTAGAAGCTGCCCGGCGGGCGGTGGGCCGCGATACCTTAGTAGTAACTCCGCTCTTCTTTTGTCTAGTTAGTCTCCCATCGCCCCTCTCCTGAAGCTGCTGGCTTAAATCTTTTTGCTCAGCTTCCCCAGTGTCGCATCTGCGATTTTCTGACCTACATTCTCCTTCTCCTTCATCTCCACCTCCTCCTTCAACTTGTCGAGCGAACTCCCCTCGTTGCTGCAATGCTTCAAGTACCTGTTCGGGAGCACTCTAACGTGGCCTCCACCAAGGCCGTGATCTTGGTAGGCGGCATTGGAATAATCTCCGCACACCCACCCTGTTACTGATCATGCTGCTCGATACAGGTCGGTGGCCCGTCTAGAGGAACTCGTTTTAGACCTCTGTCTCTCGATGTGCCCAAGGTTGGTGGCCCCCCGCCCTCGTCCACGAAGCTTATCCCCTCCAACCCCTCTCTCCCGCTTGCGGATCTCACCCTCGGCGCCTACACTCTCAATGGCTCACCATTGGTACTACTATCTAGCCCCTTTTCGAAGTCGCCGGACACCCTATAATCCATCACTGCTTGAAAGCCCTTGCCAAGATCCCCGACATCCGCGAAGTCATCCTGGTCGGTTACTATGACGAAACGGTCTTCCGTGATTTCATCAAGGACTCCGCAAAGGAGTTCCCTCAATTCAAGATTCAATACTTGCGCGAATACACAGCTCTGGGGACAGCAGGTGGTCTCTACCACTTTCGCGATGCTATTCTTAAGGGAAAGCCCGAGCGCTTCTTCGTCCTGAATGCCGATGTGTGCTGTTCATTCCCGCTCGGCGAGATGCTCAAACTGTTCGAGGAGAAGGATGCGGAGGCTGTCATTCTCGGAACCCGGGTCAACAACGATGCTGCTACCAACTTTGGTTGCATTGTGTCGGATGCGCACACCAAGCGCGTGCTGCACTACGTCGAGAAGCCCGAGTCGCACATCTCCAACCTCATCAACTGCGGTGTCTACCTCTTTGCCACTGAATGCATCTTCCCTTCAATCCGTAGTGCCATCAAGCGTCGCACCACCCGCCCCCGGTTGCTCTCATACCCTTCGTCCGAGAACCTGGAATCCTCGTTCGTCGCCGCCGAGGAGGACGCCGAGAAGAGCGAAGTGCTCCGTCTCGAACAAGATATCCTGTCCGACCTGGCCGACAGCAACCGCTTCTTCGTCCACGAGACCAAGGACTTCTGGCGTCAAATCAAGACGGCCGGCTCCGCCGTGCCCGCCAATGCGCTGTACCTCCAGAAGGCATTCCAGGCTCAGTCCGAAGAGCTCACTCCCCCCTCCGCCTCCATCGTGCCCCCCGTATACATCCACCCCTCCGCCACCGTCGACCCTACCGCCAAGCTCGGCCCCAACGTTTCCATCGGCCCGCGTGTTGTCGTGGGCGCTGGCGCTCGTATCAAGGACTCGATCGTGTTGGAGGACGCCGAGATCAAGCACGACGCTTGCGTGCTGCACTCGATCATCGGCTGGAGCGGCCGTGTCGGCGCCTGGGCCCGCGTAGAGGGTACGCCCGTGCCCATGACCAGTCACTCTACCAGCATCATCAAGCACGGCGTCAAGGTCCAGAGCATCACTATCCTGGGCAAGGAATGCGCCGTGGGCGATGAGGTGCGCGTGCAGAACTGTGTCTGCTTGCCCTACAAGGAATTGAAGCGCGTAAGTATCCCCCGTCCCCTTCCCTTTTTCTAAACCCCAGTCACGGGACGGAAGCTGAACAAATCTTACAGGACGTTGCGAACGAAGTCATTATGTAAAAGGTCAACCCCGTGCTTGGGATCTGGAACATGGACAGAATCAGATGCTTGCTATGATTAATTATTGACATGCTCTCTTCTTGGTTACTTTATTGACTGCTTCCTCATTTTCTCTTATCTCAAGTTCAGATCACGCAATTTTACCTCGTTTCAGCATGTCTAGAGCCAGTTGTTATGCTTAGGACGAATTAGAGGTGTGGGTATGGATTATAAGCCTGCAACACAAACATACAATCTAATATCTTAATATGGTTTGAGCCTGTGATTTGTGGTGCATGTCACATAGACATTATGTGGAAGGACGGCTGGATGTAAATACAAGGGCCGTGAGAATACATGACATAAAGGAGAGAACTCAATTCCACGCCCAAAATCCGCTCGCCTGCTATCGACATAACAAAAGGCTGCCATGTTATTGCATACGAATCGCAGTCAGGTGCAGACTGGACGAGCGGGATTACCTGTATGATGCGAATCTTTCCATCGCGGTATACCGGGTATATGCGACGATGGCTGGTACCGAACCATTCGGGAGATCGCAATGGTCAATCGAAATATCATGTACATTGTGAGATCGTAACGCATCAAATACATTTAGCGACGATGCGTGGCGCAGCATGATCGCTTGGCTTTGTGTGAGTACAGGAGGATTCTCCATGCACGCACCCAGAAATGACACGGCGTCATAGAGCGATAGAAGGCAATATAAATAGTGTCAATGGGTCATCTATCGGTAAGCTCCAGCATCATAGCCCGTCTGCTCTGCGGGACGATTATATCCCATTGAGGATGCGGAAGCTCCATACGCGCTGTATCTTACTCTCGGCACACGGGATTGTGCTCCAAGGTCTCCCGCTGCCGCAGCATCGCCATAGTTCTCCACCTCGTACGCGTGATCCTGCTCCCCCGCCGCGATGGCATGATTCCCCAACCCACCGTACGACGGGGGCGGAGACATGTATCCACCGGGCATAGTCGGCGGCGTATCATGATAGGCTTCCTGGCCGACAGGGTATTCGTAGGGACCCGGCTGCGAAGGGTGTTGCTGGGCATACATGTCGTCTGGGTGGTAGGGACCCATTCCCCCGGACATCACACTGCTCCCGCGGTTGTGCATCTTGTATTCGTTGAGGGCGGCGTTGCTGGCCATCGGGTCGTATTGGCCAAGGCGGGTCTGGCGTCTGCGAATGATCACATCCAGACTGACGGCGGCGATGTGAGTGGCAGTTGCAAGGACGGTGAATGCAAAGAGGGCTTTGTAAATGCGGCAGACCTTGATGCCGGTTGAAGTGCCCCAGTAGGTTGTGGTACAGCTGGTTAGTATGGTGTGGGCCATACTGTAGCTTAAAAGGCCAAGGGAGATCAGCCACAGGACTAGGAGGACGGAATTGGTCGTTAGGTTGAGGCGTGGGGAGAGGCCGTGGAAACAGTGTAGTAGTGTTGTGAAGATGAAGTTGAGCAGGGTGAGCACGACCGCTATTAGGAGCTTTAATATACTTAAATTAGTTTGGTGTCTGTGTGTCTGGGGAAAGGGCGGGGGGGAAAACTTACGACCAGGAAAGCCCAAGGAAGTTTGTAACCATTGCTGTGGAGGTTGCTGATAAACACAGCTAGAATGATGCCTATGATGAAGGTCGCGATGAAACCGGTTATGCGAATGATGTGGAAGGGTATCGCTGGATAGTGGGATGGTTTGACCGATGGTTTAGTGCGCATGATGGGCGGGATATGTTTATCAGGGATGGTTGGTGCTGGTTGATCAACTATCACAAATATTGAATCTGATTGTAAAGAGGACAAACACTCTTGAGCCTGCAAGAGGAAATGAGTTTGATGGTTGAATTCAGGCCATGAGCAATTCACAGGAGTGAAAGAACTGAAACAGCAGTAGGCTGGGGACACGACAAGAGAAGAAAGAATTCTGAACCACAACAATGGAGGCAGTGCCTCACTGGGGGGGTCGATCCCAGGCTCCACTCCACCGGTGTTGCTAAAGAAAGCAGCGGGAAGAGTGGATGATGACGAAACCCGCCGCGTTGGGCTGTGGAGAGATTCCGACATGTGACATCAGGCACGTGCCGGGCTTACTTCAGCCAGGTCTAGATGCTCTTCTCGTAGCCGCCTCTCTCTCTCTCTCTCTCGTTTTGTTACTTTGTTCTGTTACTCCAACCGTACTTCCATCGACACCCATCGTGGCTGCTGATTAATTCAAAACAAAACTCTCGCACCTTCTCCATACCATAACCCACGGATTTATATATTGACTAGGAGACTCGATCCAGCTGCGATGTTTTTCCTTCTGTCAGGGCTATCTTGGCGCCTCCATCTTAGTTGCCAGGCTATCATGATGACAAGATGACTTCCACACTTAGAAATTCCCCACCATGGCATGAGGGTGAGCTGAAGATGCACAATCTGCTCCATGTCCCTCCGCGAGACAACCCCACAGTTCCAGCCTTAAGCTATAATGCTGGCTATCTACTGCGAACCGCTCCACTTCTGGCTATTGGAACGACAGATCGCGAAGGACGACCTTGGACGAGCATCTGGGGCGGCGAGAAAGGTTTCGCCAGACCGACTTCGCAGACCACGGTCGAATTGAGTGCACCTGTTGACGGTAGACATGACCCCGTGGCAGACATACTGCTGAAATCGCCCGGCGGGGACGTGATCAATTCCGAGCGCCGTACAAAACTGATGTCTGGACTAGTCTTCGACCTCGAAAATCGCAGAAGGGTCAAGCTTCACGGTAGGACGACCGAAGGGTCGCTAGACTCAAACTCAGGTCTGGACCAGGTGGAACTCGCTCACCTGACGTTGCACATTGATGCAAGTCTCGGTAAGTTCGTCTTTCCAGGCATTCTTCACATGGGATACGGGCTAACAATTCAGGAAACTGTCCGAAGTACATGAACAAGAAGCAGATCATCCCTGCTCTCCCAGATCCAAAGCCAGTATCAAACTCGCCACAACTACCCCCACTGGCTGTAGATCTACTTAATCGTGCTGATTGTTTTTTCATGTCCTCGTCTCACGGCATGACTGACATGGACACAAATATTCGGGGAGGGTCCCCTGGGTTTGTGCGACTGGTGTCTAACGAGCCTCATGGGGCTGTATTTGCTTATCCAGAATACTCAGGCAATCGACTATATCAAACTCTAGGCAACCTTCAAACTGATCCTCGGGCAGGGTACGTCTTCCCGGACTTTGAGACGGGAAATGCCTTGTATGTCACCGGGGAGACGCGGATTCTGGTGGGCAAGGATGCAGCACGGGTGCTTCCGCGGTCCAACCTCGCGGTTGTGGTCACTGTCACCGCAGCTAAATGTGTGGAAAAGTCCCTCGCCTTCCGCGGTGTTGCAGGGGAACCTTCTCCGTACAATCCGCCGGTGCGGTATCTGACTACAGAAAAAGTCAGCGCGGCTGACATGAAGGGTGACAGCTCTATCACAGCGACTCTCATTCGGAAAGAGATCCTGACTCCAGCCATTTCCCGATTTCGATTCCGCATCTCTGATCCGGGCAAGCTTGGGACGTGGATCCCAGGACAGTACGCAACACTGTCATTTTGGGATGAGCTAAACATCGGCTACAGCCACATGCGAGATGATGACCCAACTAGCCTCAATGACGACTATGTCCGAACTTTTACTATTTCGTCTTCTCCAGGCGAGGGAATATCTGCATCAGAGTTCGAAATAACAGCAAGAAAACACGGTAATGTGACTGGCTACCTATGGGGGGTCAATGAACGAGCTGGCCTCGAGGTGCCTCTAAAAGGGATTGGGGGAGAATTTCAGCTGAAACCAGCGGCGAACGAGACTTTGCCTTTCATAGCAGGGGGCATTGGAATCACACCGGTGCTTGCCCACCTCCCAGGTCTCGAACTTAGTCGGTTGCAGCTACTATGGACTATCTCGATCAGCGACGTGGGTCTGGTATGGGATACATTCAAGCGGTTTCCCGCGTTGCCCAAATCGACGTCATTATTTCTTACAGGGGCTGATCCACTGGACGAACACACTGTGCGGCAGTATGAGGCGGTGGTTGCATCTGGAGTGCGAGTCCTACGGCGCAGAATTGGCGCAGGAGACTTGGATTTGTCGCTGGCCGATACATGGTATTTCTGCGGCAGTCCGTCTTTGAAAAGTGCAGTGTTAGAGTGGCTCGCAGGTAAGAACGTAGTATACGAGGATTTCAACTATTGACATACATAATATATACGATATATAGCAATTGAAAGTGGTTTTACACTTATCTCCATTCCTGTTAGTACTCATAGTGAAGATATGGCTCAAGTAGACAGTTATTCAGCCCGAGTGGATTCTCCGCCGCCGATGGCGGCAACGCGTTATCGGCTGCTGCCTCCGCATCTCCGCCGCCATTTATCGAGCTCTTTTCTCTCCTGCAACTTCCTCAGCTCCAGCTCCAGCTGCCTCTGCACTCTGTCTCTACCATTTCTCTGCCATTATCCTCTCCTCAGGCATACCCATCAACTCTTATAAAACAAACTCACTCCAACCCCGCCTATCAACGCACCAACCCCGAGCTCCCCCAGCTGACCCCTCCTCAACATCACCACCACCACCATGTCCACCTACGAAGGTCCGTACATCCACCCTCAACCTGCCGCACCCCTTCCCCTCTCCCAACACCCACCCCCAACTCTACAGTAACCCCTGACCGAATTCGAAACAGTGGAACACAACACCACCGACCCCTCCGCACCCAACCCCTCCTCAAACAACAACACGACAACCCACCGCCCACGCCGCCCCGACCTCTCCACCTTCTTCGCCACGCTCTCGGAAATCACCCCCGATGAATCATCCAGCGCATCGACCCGCCATCGGCCCCACGCGGTCCCCGTGCCGCGCGACATCAGCGCCGCATTCTACACCCTCGCCGAAGCGCTGAACGTGATGCGCCGCGATGGTGCGGGAATCGCCGCCGCCGCGGCGGGGGGCATCCCGAGCTTCGGGCCGGAGGATTCTACCACCCCCGGCAGCGATGCAGACGGGGGTAATGGTAACGGCCATGAGCTGCTGACGGAGATGATTCAGTCGTTGTTGCAGTCGGCGGAGAGGCCGCCGAAGGAGGTGGAGGGGGTGAGTGAGGAGTTCTGTGATGGTATGTCTAACTGTTTCTTTCTTTCTTTCCCATTGCAAGATGGATGGGTCTGTGCGGGGGCTTGTTGCCCCTTTAGGGTCGGATGGTTTCCTGTGCCCTCAAAGGCCGGGAAAAAAAAAAGGAAAAGAAGAAAGAAACTATTCATCTACTAACTGATGGTGGGGGTTAGTTCTCGATCGTGTGCCCAAGGCGGCGTTGAACTCATCGCAAGTTTGTCCCATTTGCAACAACCCTTTCCTCGAGGATCAGTACCCCCTTGTCGTGCGGTTGCCCTGTCATCCCACGCATTTGTTTGATCTCGAGTGCGTGAGACCCTGGTTGCGGCTGCGGGGCACGTGTCCTTTGGATCGCACGGATTTCGCCAAGCAGGAGAGAGAGAAGGCCGAGGCGAGGAAGAAGCCGGTCGTCGATGATGATGAGGAGGAGTGGGATGGGATGTATGGTTAGGTCTGGGGTTGAGGTATGACATACGGAGCAGCCCACAGAAGGTCGTTTGCGAAGGTACTATATGCTTCGGAGTTGAGGGCATAACAGAGTCGCATAGAGACGTTTCATTCATGAGTTGTTCTTTGGTTTCCTTTCCTTCCCTTTTTGTGGGGCTTCTAGCCTATGTACATTCTTCAAGTGTATTGGAAAGCAATGGAGTTTACTCAGAGCTCCTCTCTGGGTCGAAGGGCCAGTTTCCCTGCCTTGTCAATGATAGCTTCCAGACCGCTTCGCTCCAGAACTCCATTATCGTCCTTAACCACCTCGCGCGCTTCCAGCTCTTCGACCATTTTCTGATTCTCGCGGTTACCCTCGAGCAAGAACTTCAGACACATCACAGCATGCTCTTTGATGTAGGGGTTGTGAGCATCAAAGTTGGTGCAGGACAGGATAGTCTCCACACCCCCGTAGCGCCTGATTTGATCCTGGACCTCCGGACACTTCCACACCAGAGACGAGAGAACAAGCACAACCAGCTTCTTGAGATTGCGCCACTCGAACTCCGAAGGATCCTCTGTAATGGGCGGCGACTCCGCTCGCGATCCGGGCCCAGCATCAACCGGGTCGGGGTCACCGGGATCGTATGGTCTTTCAACTGCGACAGGGCCGGAGCTCGAGTTGGATTGATGATCCCTGGAGGGGCTGTTGCGTCCCACAGTAAGAGAACTCAGCTGGCCCTTGGGAATGCTGGCCTCAAGCTCCTTAATCAATGTCACCAAGTCATACACAATCTCCCATTTGACAAGCAGGTTCTTCCAATCGTTGTTCTCAGTCAACACAGCGAAAAATTCCAAAAACTGGTAGACACCTTCGTAAACTCGCTCCATATCCCACAGGTTCAACGGGAAGTCCTCTGGCAAGGCTCTTCCGGCTCGGATTTGACCCTGCAAGTAAATCAAGGCGCAGGTCTCAGGGATGATGTTGCCTCGGAAGATGGTGAAGATGTAGCGAACGGTTAGGATATCAACTCGCGACAGAGGAGCCGGATTCTTAGTTGAGGCGTGCTGAGGAGTGCCAGTGACCGAAGCCGGAGAATACTTGGCTCGGAAGATATGGGTGAGTATTTTGACCACGACTGCTTGCGCAGGAGAGATGATATCCTTAGGCTGGCCGAAATCAGAGTATGCATGGGACATAAGACCATTTTTCAGGACCGCATCCATGATCTGCACCATCATCTTGAAGTAGAGCTCGTCATCAGGGAGATCCCAAGCAGCAATGAAGATCAACAGTTCTCTTAGAAGGTTTCGACCGGTTTCTTGCGTGAGCAGAATATGGCATCGCAGGGCCTGCATATTCCGCGACCCCGTTCTCTCCCCGCCCTTCAGTCCGAAGCTGTCAACAATACCCGCTTGGATGATCATCGGAAGCGCTTCAATCTCCGCCGGACCTAGCACAAGCGGAATGTCTGTCAGTAGGCCGCGTTGTTGGTCTCCTGGACGGCCGCGGTAGTCATCGTCATCCTCGTCGTCGTCTTCCTCTTCCTCCTCCATGCTTCCATCCGCGACTGCCTCCAGACTGCGTGAGTCGTCATCACCAACTGTGCCCGCGTCCCCAGTATCGTAGTCCTGGTCTCCATCCCCTCCAATCTGGGAGCTCTCTTGCAAGCGTGCCATCAACTCGTCCTTGGCTTCTTGTAAAGTTTCGGCTGCAGACTGCGCAGACCGGGGCATATTCATATCCTCCTCCATGACAACTGCGTCACCAGCTGAAAGCGCCCCGTATTCGCTCAGATCAGGAAGATCGGTCCAACAGACTCGTGGGAAACCAGCTGTTGCACTTCGGTCTATCGACACGATCGCCTTCTTGCGGGGTGGTTCATCTTCCGGAAGGGCTGGCGGAAGGTCTTTGGCTCTGTCTTGGAGATCAGACCACCCATCGACCTTGGCCCCGAGAATAGCAGTCAGAGCCGCGCGAATCTCCTTGACCTGTTCCGGGTCCTTCCCCATTTCCTGTATGGCCGTCAGGTCGCGCCCGAGCAGTTTCTCCATGTGATCTTTGATGTTCGCGAGAAGAAGCATGGCTGCCTCCTCCTTGATCGTGGCGGGTTCCCTCGGGAAATTGGAAATCGTCTCCAGAAGCAAATCCTCCGCAGTCTGGTCATAGAGCGCCCTGATCGGGGGGTTGACTATCCGTTCTCCGGTCTTGACAATCGGCGCCATCCCTTCCGGCTGCGCGAATGCCGGGTCAAGCGGCTCTCTCGGTTGAATGATGTTTGAATCTCCAGTCGAATGGTATCCGAAAAGGTCCAGCCACAAAACCATCTTCCGCTGCTCGTTATGCATGATAAAATTGTGCATGAACTGCAGGCACGTTATCAAGAGGCGCTTGTAAAGGTTGACGACTTTCTGCCACCGCTCCTCATTCCGTGCGTTCGTTTCCCCGTCAAATCCCCGCGCCGTCACTCTCACACAGGTGTCGACCAGTGCTAGGATCCGCTGATCGAAGCCTTTTTCCGCCGCCATATTCTGGGCCTTCTTGGTGGTGGCGAGAAGATTGCGGGCGATGGTACACAAATCATTCAAGCGCTCAATATCCTTAACAAGCGAGAAGTAGTTGTAGGCGATGAGGTTGGAGGAGGAGTGGTCGTAGTTGGCGTTTGGGGGACTTTTCCAAGCAAATGACTGCGACTCGAGTACAGGGATTGCCTTGGTCAGAACATCGGTGAATCCTTGCCAGATGTCTGGTGACAGGCCGAGATTATGCCTAACGAAGGAATCAATCAGCCCGCCGGTTGATAACGAGGTGTGTAAGAAGCGACATAGGCGTTATCTTGTGAAAGAAACAAGGTTCTAAGGATAACTATAGGCAATTTAAACCAAAAACTCACCTGACATCGCTTTCTTGATGTGTCTTGTAGAGAATCTGCTTGCCCGCAGATAGCATGTGTTCTAGACGTTTATCGTCGATCATCCCGCGGGTTTCATAATGGCTCAGAGTCCCCGTTAGAATGACCTTTAGCATAAGCTCTGCGGGGGTGCACTTGGGTTTCATCTCCGCTGCTGCTGCTGGCCGGTCGGCCATCTTTGAGGGGGGGTAAAATGGAGTGGTGCTTGTTGGTGAACAGCAGCACCTTGAGATGATGGGTTGAACCGCGGGGAAGATTTTAAGGTAAGGAAAGAATCACTCCAGGCTTAAGGTTAACACACGCACCCGCGGTTTAAAGGGGAATTTTTCCGGCGCCGGAACGATCCCGCCGACCACCTGCCTAATTGGGAAGATCTATATCTATGCAGTGTACTTCGTAATCCGTACTGTGAGTGCGAACAGCAGTACAAACGTCTGGCCACTACTCTCTTCTGACTCCTTCCTTCTCATCACGACAACTTCGGTCGGATCGAAAGCCCAAACACGTGACGCAGGTTGTTCCAGAATCCCAGGTCATAGATATTCTCAATCTCGCGCATGCTATGTACCAGACGCCACCGCGGGTCGATAGCAGCATCCCCGCTGCTGGGCTGCGAAATCTCGTTGGAATCCGGAGACAGTAGGTGTCCTTCCTTGGGTGCTTCTCCGTCAGTGAGAGCGAGAATCTGCTCGCTACTCATGGGCCAGTCTGTTTGAGACCCTTGATATTCTGCGAGCAAGGGGGAGTTGCCATATATTTCGCCTTTGGTTGACTTGTACACGTAGCCATCGGCCACATCCTCCTTCCAGTCTGACCACTTGGCGCTTTCATTAGTAGTCATACCGGCCCAAATCAGATAGGTATGGTAGACAAGGAAAGCCCCCGCCAAAGGAGCTGTCATGGTCATCAACAGGGTCGTTGCGCCGATGCGAACATCAGCAGCAATCACCACAGCCCAGATGTTGAAAAAGGTAATCCAGTCTTGACGCTCGCGTCGTAGAGGGTTGTCTGCAGGAACCAATTTGTCGTAGGTCTGATACAGCAGAGTGTATCCAAGGCACGAGCCATAAGTGAGCATGACGCACAGCGATACTATTAGCGACAGGAAATAGTGGTAGTTTTGCAACCCCACACAGTTCATAAGCCATACACAGTGATGGTCGTGTCGGGAAACACACGCTTTGCAAGTGCTGCAGTGCTTGCTCCTCGCCGGCTTAACAAATCGACACGTACTGCAGCGGTGTCCTGGATGAAAAATCACCCGGTCGTAAGGGTAGCGTTCCACCTCCTCCGCGTGGTTTCTGGTCGTGATGAAGGACTTGGTGGTTATGCTCACATAAAGGAAGTAATAAGGGAGGAGTACAGCCAGCGGTATCCAGACATGATGAGTCACGGAAATCCTCGGCCAAGCGGCTGGAATGAACATGCATTGGCCTGCTACTAGAAGCGAGGCAAAGAATATCTAGATCAAAGTCAGTAGGTAGGCAGGACCGACTACTGCTTCAAAGGACGAACAAGAACAAGCGGGTGGTTCTCGTTGAGAACATAATTAGCAGCTCGACTACAGCAGGAGAAAAGCCGGCCACTGAATAGTCGATCATCGAAGTATGCGAATCCATTGGGGATATGTATCCAAAGCGCCCTGTGAAGAAACCCAATTGGAGTTTTGCTATAAGCACGCATCAGCCGCGATCCACTGCAATCAGTGAGGAGCAGTACCCAACCTACCGAAATGCAGGTAATCTGCCGAAGAGAGCGACGAATACAAAGCCAGAAATTCCAAGAATTACCAGCGCTATTGTGCGGAGTAATCCCATCCTGATTCCAGTCGATCTTAATCCTCGAATGAATTCCGAGCGAGATGAGATCTGACATGCACCAAAAGGTACTGCTTACTTGTTGTGATGTTTCGTAAATCAGGCATGAGCAAGCGTCTTGGTCATTCGTATTCAGTCGGAAATAAAGCCAGCATCGCCATCATTTGAAAGGTTGGAATCATTGTGATCGCTGTCCGGCTGTTGGAGAGATGATGCCGTGCACGTGACCGTGTTTTCCAAAAGAGACGGGGAGATGCCTCGCTGGTTCCAACTCTCGACGATAAGTTGTCATGATACCACAAACAAAACTCCCTGGATTCAGGTTCTGGACCGCCTTACCGGAGAATGCTTGTACTTCTTGAATCCAGGTTATGCTGTCAGTAGACTAACTCTAAGGAATTGATTGGGGTGTTACTATCAAGAAACCGAAAGTCCACTCGGCGCAGCTGCGTCTACTCGGTCTACTCGTATATCCAAGATCGAAGCACGTGATAACGCGTCGTTTGAGGCGTCGCAAGGGTCTTCACCAACCCCTACGCGATACCGAATGAGAAAACAGTTTAGGACGAGACGAGCGAACCGCTAATGGAGGATGATGTCTGAGACAAACACGGCAACCAGTCATCGGGGTCCAAGCGCAGGAGATGGGACACTCTTCCGGGGGAAGCATTTCTGGCTCTCTCACAATGTGCCCCAAAGAAACCGGTTCAAGGAATTGATTGAGGTACGGTCATCTTTCGTTCCATGACTTTATGGCAAACTCTGTTTTGATACATATACTAGCAAAACGGAGGAAGCATAAGGCTGTTCGAGCGAGATGCGGAAATCAAACTAGTTGATCACAAACGCAAGAATCTCCCGCCAGACACGTATGAGCTCTTTCAATTCGTTGCTATGTTTGTTCAAAACTTACCTTTGCATAGATATTCCTTCAAGTTTGTCGAAGACTCCCTTCGCGAAGGGCGGATGCAAAATCTGGAGCCCTATAGAGCAGGTCCATCAGAAGCTCGGCCAGTTGGCGCTTCATACATCCCTACTCGAAACCATAAAGTGCCCTACACCATCGCGGATGACCAAGTCCTCTGGGATTGGGTGCAACAGTATGAGCGAGACCCAACAGCCTCTATCGCGGGCAATAAAATCTACCAGGAACTTGCAACGAAGGTAGTGTAGACTCCGAACGGTCAATCCCCGCAGCGGTACCTGACGGCGCTCACTGCCTCTAGAATCCCAGGCATACTTTTCAGTCCTATCGCGACCGATATCTGAAGAGACTACGCGGTCGTCCACGTCCAGGTGGCATGCCGAAAGTCTCCACTCAGCACGAAACGGCTACCCAAGAGGTTGCTCCTGCACAAATCACGACTTCTACAGCACAACCTGGGACGCCAGCGAGACCCCCACAAGAGCATAACGCTGCTTCTACTTCTGGAATGCCGATTTACAGGAAGAGGAAACGTACTTCAGAAGCAAGAGATATGTCGGAACCGACGGACCAGGCTAATCACCCAGAACCAAAGAACAGGGCGGTCGAACCTTTGCCGGAGGTGCCAAAAAGTGCCGCTTCATGCCTTCAAAGCAAGGATAAAGAGCCGGTCATGCATGAGCAACCAAGTTCGAAAGCATCAGCTGATCTCTCGGTCACGGATAACGACCCCCTTCCGCGTACCCAGACTGTCAACAAAGGGGGTCGTCCACGCAAACGTACTGCGAGGATAGTACCCTATAATCAGAAGTGGCGCAAAGAGCGGCTTCAGGGTAACGATGAAGAACCCAATCTACCCCAGCAACCAACCTCAAACGGATCGGCAGGTGGGAAGAGGCCCCCTTCAGTTACGAACGGCACCAATCACGGAATCGTTTTGCCAGAGGGCCGGACTCAGACCGAACAGCCGCGGGATTACATCAATCATCCTCAAATTCCCCCCGAGATAGACCCTTTGTTCCTCCAGCTTCCTTTCTTGCCTTCCAGTCCCGAGCCCGAAACCATTCCCGAGCATCAAGTGCACGTGCCGGAGCAAGATATTGACACTTGGATGGACCGGCGCCTCCGCCTTCGGAGTAGCCGCGTAAATGAGGCACAGCTCATTGAGGCTCTACGCTGTACAAGTATGGATCCAGGTTTGGCGGATAAAGTACTTGAATTTCTGGTAGCTGGAAAGGGAATTCCCGATGACATGCCTGGGGTCTGGACCTCTGCGGATGATCGATGCGTCGAAGGAAAAGATGGACGCGGGATTGAGCGGGTTCTGAAGAAGCACGGCGCGGAAGCTTTTAATGCTAGGTGGGAATATCTAAGCATGGCAAGGGCCAGTGGTCTTGAGACAGAGGCTGTTGAGTAAGAAGTCCACGGCGAGCTGGTAATTTGATAACGTGCAACTCGAATACAGAGGAACGCTAGCCGATCAAATGAGAAAAAAAGTCAGAATAGACCCGGGAATATAACGAGGATAGCAACGAAAGAAAGAAGCAAGATTTATTTCAAGATGTGTGCAAGCGCTCTTCCACCTTGGGACATGTTGGGTTCTCGATGACCTCTCTTGTCCCAAGACTTATCCATCCAAAAGAGGGATTTATCTTACAGTCACAGGATACGTGGGTAGTGGCCAGGCAAGCTCCGAGGGAACACCCGTATGCACAATTCATTGCCACCGCTTCGTGACCACTAGATGCATCATTAGATAAAACGGGGAGAGGGGCAAAGGCCTGGATGGCCACCCTCTTTGGCTAAGCGCTGTCGAAACAGATAAAGTCGCGGTGTTTCAACCTTCTTTGAAGACCCTACCATAAAGTTAGTCTATAGAAGCATCGCCCGCCTGAGCGATTAACGACTTACAAATGAGACTCGTAGAATTCAAGCATCTATCGGAGGTTAGCCAGCATCTTCAGGTCAAGGACGCCTCAGAGCCACATACCTTTCGAGGGCATCGTTCGTAGCAAGTTCCAATGAGGACCTTGGACTTTTTGCCATTCTTCCAGTTTAGGATTGCAAGCAGATTCGACGTGCCCGGCTCGCGGAAGATTGTGTCGACATTGTCCACCTCCTTCTCCCAGTTCTTAGATTTGGGCGCCCATGCGCTCGAGTCACTATCCTCTTCGGGCTGCACTTCTGGCGAGTCATTTGCGCGGGACTTTCTCCGCTTGTTCGGTTGTGATTTTTCGGGGGTTGTTGACTTTCGGGGTCTTCCCACCATGGACTTGCGCTTCTTGGATTGAGGCTTCTCTGGACGACCACCGATTTTGTCGAAGTACTCTTTGACCGCGTCTTTCGCACCATCACTGTACAGAGTTCACTGGTTAGTTTTGCGTGCTTGGAGGTGAGAGCAATGAGCGTACAGATTCTCCTCCGGTTCAAACGTCTCATCGGCAGGGTCATCATATCCTTTCCATTTCACCTGAAGAAGCAGCTGACCCTGCGACAAACGATGTTAGGACTCCATGATGGCCTCAATTGAGCTGCAAGGTCAAGTTGCAGTGATGCGCACCTTCTTTCCCCATTCATGGCCGACAATTTTCTCGACGTGGTATCTGCGCGAGTCAGGACTCTGAAGATTGACTCAGGCGGTTGTCATCTAGACTCACACGTCCTCCTCTTCTTCATCGTCCTCGTCGTCTTCATTGTCGTCGTCTTTCTCCTCCTTTACCGGCCTCTTAGCTACGGAAGCATCTTCGTACGGAATAGATTCGCCGGTCGACTCATCATCGGACATATCGGGCACCGGTGCTGACGGGATTATAGTTGGTCAGTTGCACAATTGAAGCGACGGACTCTTATGCCTTGTGCTTAGCGATTTACACTCACGAGGCATTGTTGTTGTTTGGAAAGGTGATACGGCGAGGTTGAGAAGTCGCAAAAACAGTTTGGCGGTCGCGATGCAGATGCAACTGCCACGAATGACTGGTACAATCGGTGAGTAATCAAGCCACCGACCGCCAGTCAGAGTACCTAGGAATTCGAGATCTAGAAGAAGACACTAGATAGCAGGTAGCAAGAATAAGAGTGGGCGATGATGATGATGAGCAGTTTGAATGGATACCACTGTTAAACTTGACTGGTTAGTCGCGCAGGCGCGCGCGGTGGAAGATCCGCGCTAGACCTCTTTGGGCAAGCAGCTCACTAGCCCGCTTTTGGCTCCGAATCTCCAGAATTTCTACATTCAACCCGTCACTCCCAGCACTTCGATTGTGCCGGTCAAAGCATCCGCCCCCCCTTCTTTGGTCCCTCTCCTTCTCCATTATTGATATTTCCCCTTTGTAGGGCCCCCTTTGAATCGCATTCGTGCATCTTGTGCCTTGTGGGCTTGTAATTCCGACCTCTCCCCCTACCTTACATCTCCCCGCCGAGTGGGCACACCGTCAAAATGGCTATGCGTATGTTTTCTGATACCCCTCACTCCGGACCAAGGTGCTAACCTCTTTTTCTCCTGGCTATAGAGCTTGATTTGTCTCAAGGTTGGCGCCTCCTCTACATGTCCTCGTCATCATGATACAAGTTCCGAATCGCTGACCACAATCCTCAGCCTCTGTGATGAAGGATGAACAAGGCCGGCCGTTCATCGTTGTTCGAGAGTACGTTGCGATTCCCCGCTCGGATTGTCTGCCACAGCAAGCTTGTTGCAGAATATGTCGCTGATCGCAATTCGCTCGGATAGCCAAGGCAAGAAGAAGAGACAGCATGGTACCGAAGCCGTCAAGTCACACATCGTCGCTGCGAAGACGGTTGCCAACATTGTCAAGACATCTCTGGTATAATATGTCGCCCGATGTGTGCCATACTCGCTCAAATACTAAAACTACTGCAGGGTCCCCGCGGTCTCGACAAGATTCTTATTTCTCCCGATGGCGATATCACCGTGACCAACGATGGCGCCACTATCCTCGGCCAGGTTCGTGCCGACGGCCACACCCCGCACCTTATTGATAGGCGTTCTGACGATAAGGGATCAAACAGATGGAAATCACAAACAACGTCGCCAAGCTTTTGGTCGAATTGTCGAAGTCACAAGACGAGGAAATCGGTGACGGAACTACCGGTGTTGTGGTTTTGGCGGCCGCCATGTTGGAGCAAGCATCGGAACTCATCGACAAGGGTATCCACCCCATCCGGATCGCAGACGGATACGATCAGGCCTGTGAGATCGCCATTGCACAACTCGATAAGATTAGCGATGAAATCCCGTTCACAAAGGAGGATACCTCCAACCTGCTGAAGGTTGCCAAGACGAGTTTGGGTTCCAAGATGTACAAGGACCATTCCCTGACTGTCTGCTCATCAGATCTGACTCTTTCCCAGTGTTTCCAAGTCCCACGATCAGTTCGCCAAGATCGCCATCGATGCTGTCCTCTCCGTGGCCGACCTCGAGCGCAAGGATGTTGACTTTGAGCTGATTAAGGTTGACGGAAAGGTTGGCGGTGCTCTTGAGGATTCCCTCCTTGTCAAGGGTGTCATTGTCGACAAGGACTTCTCTCACCCTCAGATGCCCGATGAGGTCAAGGATGCCAAGTTGGCCATCTTGACCTGTCCATTTGAGCCTCCCAAGCCCAAAACCAAGCACAAGCTCGATATCACCTCCGTGGAGGAGTTCAAGAAGTTGCAAGACTACGAGAAGGAGAAGTTCACAGAGATGATCCAGAACCTGAAGGATTCCGGCGCCAACCTGGTCATCTGCCAGTGGGGTTTCGACGATGAAGCCAACCACCTTCTACTCCAGAACAAGCTTCCCGCTGTCCGTTGGGTCGGTGGGCCTGAGATTGAACTTATTGCCATCGCCACGAACGGTCGGATTGTTCCTCGCTTCGAGGATCTGAGCCCAGAGAAGCTCGGAACTGCAGGACGTGTGCGTGAGATGACCTTCGGTACCACACGCGAGAAGATGTTGGTGATTGAGGAGTGTGCGAACAGCCGTGCGGTCACAGTCTTTGTACGAGGAAGCAACAAGATGGTCAGTCTGACAAGCTGGATCGAAAGTGAATGGTGAAATGCTGACTATGACTTCCAGATCATCGACGAAGCCAAGCGTTCGCTACACGATGCTCTTTGCGTTGTGCGCAACCTTGTGCGCGACAACCGTGTCGTCTACGGTGGTGGTGCTGCTGAGATTGCTTGCTCCATCGCTGTCGAGGATGCTGCTGTGAAGGTGCGTGAACTTCGCCTCTTCCCCATGATGAGGGGTCTTCTTCCCTTGCGAGACAATGACTAATATTCCTGCAGAGTCCTGGTATCGAGCAGTATGCCATGCGCGCGTTCGCTGATGCCCTGGACGCCATTCCCCTGGCGTTGGCCGAGAACTCCGGTTTGAGCCCTATTGAGACTCTAGCCTCGATCAAGTCGCGCCAGGTTAAGGAGAACAACACCCGGTTGGGTGTCGACTGCATGTTGACTGGCAACAATGGTACGTCCTGATAGGGCTAAGCGACATGAAATTCTGTTGGAAGACATTGACTAACACTTTGGATTAGACATGAGAGAGCACTTCGCCATCGACCCTTTGATTGGCAAGCGCTCGCAGCTACTGCTCGCCACTCAGCTGTGCCGCATGGTTCTCAAGGTGAGTTACCCTTCGATATCAATTCATGTATGAGACATGTCGACTAATCAAGCAATCACACAGATCAACAACGTCATTATTGCCGGTGACGATGACCAGGAATTCTAGATTTCTTGTATACAGGATTTATTTTAATTGATTAGTTCTGATGACTGAAAAAAGAATCCACCATTGTTGGCGTTTTACAGTTACGACCACGGGACCTGGGATGATAATTCTTTCTACTACATACGCTATATGCTTCTCACGGCAGGGGTGATTTCATTGAAGTGGTGTGTATGTGTGGTGTTTGCTATGTTATGTGAGAATCATGAGTTGGTACATAGAACAAAAACCTAGCGGACAGGAAGAAATAAGCACCTATAATACTTTTTGTCTTTGTAGTATTGCAGTGAGGTCAGACCCAAGCTATTTACGGGCGAGTGATGGAACTGATAACTGCTTCAATCAAGGTAGCATGTGGAAGTTGCATCCATAGTCTATATCGGGAATTATCGACTCCAGACGTGCGACATCCGCCCGAATTTCGCTGTCCACACAACAAACACAGCCCCCCATCAACCAACCGTTATCATCCTCCAACTCTCGTAAACCCTACACTCAAGTTCTATACACCAGCAGCATAATAGCAACCCGCCATAGATAAGCCCAGCAGATATTGATAACATGGCGGGGGTAAGGGGGGTCCCGGGCTCCGCCTCCCGCCCCGCGCAGTCGGCTACGTACTACACCACATAGTCGTAGTCCCAAAGGCGGATAATGCACCTCCAGTGCGCGGGCCGCCTCCCGCCTCCTACCGACAACAGCCGCCGCGATAAGTTTTTGGAGGGGAATGATTCGTGAACCTCTGTTGGCACTCGTATCTTTCCTCTGATCGGATCGGGAAACTATGATGTAGCGGTGGTATGTAAGGGGAGGGCTGTTGGAGGAGGGGGAAAGAAGTTTAAATAGGAGATGATGGCCTTCGTATTGGGAATAGGATTTTCTTTTGCGAAGTATATCTATCAGTCTGTCGGTCTGGATTCAAACCTCCCCCTCATCTATATAAACAACTCTTGCTTCGGAGCTCGGTGAGCAGCACACAGGATAAAGAAATATGGGCTCTACTGCATTTGGTTGGCGACCACTGAGTGTGGGCATTGTTGGTGGTGGGATTGGGGGTCTTGCGGCTTCGATTGCGCTGCGACGTGCGGGCCATGAGGTGGTCATCTACGAACGACATGATTTTGCGGGTGAGGTGGGTGCTTCGATCTCTTGCGCGGCGAATGGTACGCGGTGGTTGCATGAATGGGGGGTGGATATCGCCAAGGGGGACCCCGTCGTGCTGAAGAAGTTGATCAACCGCGACTGGAAGACAGGAGAGCCGGTCAGTGTGTATGACTTGGATGATTATGAAGAGCGATGGGGCTACGTCTACAACATGTTCCATCGGCAATATATGCATGCCATGTTGAAGGACTGCGCGCTGCAGGAGGAAGGCGTCGGTGCTCCGGTCACGCTTAAGGTGAACCACAAGGTGGGTTCGGGATCTTATATACTACCACCGCCGGATCATGATGAGGCAGAGAGTCGATGCTGATTGATTATCGGTCTAGTGCAAGGACATCGACCTAGAGAACGGTGTGATAACCTTCGACCATGGTGCAACTGTCCGCCACGATCTTATCGTGGGCGCTGATGGAATCGGATCCGCTGTGCGAGGCATTATCGGCCTTCACCCCGAGAAGACACCTGCGGCATCGAGCTGCTTGCATGCCAACGTCCTCACCGAGGATGCGGTCCGCCTGGGGCTGGTGGATTATTCCCAAGATAGCGCCTTGGAATACTGGGGCGGCCAGGAAGGCAAGTGGGATAAGATCGTTCTCTCGCCCTGCAACGGCGGGAAACTGCTGTCCTACTACTGCTTCTTCCCTCGCGAGAAAGGAGACTTCACGAGCCACACTTGGGGTGGAGAAGACCGTCCGGTCGAGGAGCTGCTCGCTCCCTACCCAGAATTGGATGAACAGGTCCGCTCTCATTTGGCTATCGGGATAGAGATTAGGCCATGGCGCCTGTGGGTGCAGTAAGTTCTCCCCTTCTTCGTGTTCCACATTCTCTGCATTGATGGACATCTCACTGATGACCGAATCTTCTATCCAGTCAGCCATACCAGTACATCACGAAGAATATGGTCTGCCTTTTGGGTGACGCAGGACATCCGGTAAGGCGCTCACTAACATCCACGTGAGCAAGTACTCATTGTCTGCAGATGATGCCCCATCAGAGTCAGGGTGCCTGCATGGCCATTGAAGACGCCGCAGCCCTTGGACTAATCTTCAGCAAGGCCTACTTCTCCGGTGATGTTGCGGCAGCATTGTCAGTCTATCAGAAGGTGCGACTGCCTCGAGCTACCAGAGTCCAGGCAGCCTCAGCCAAGGCAGCATATAACATCAATGAGCGTATCGGTAAGAGAACTTCTGACAATAGCCTTAGTGTCGGTCGTGACTGACGAAGATTCTTCAGGCTTCTCCAGCAACACTGACATTCCAAACTACAAGGTTGAGGATGAGCAGAAGAAGCTCACAATCGAAGAGATGAATGCGTAAGAGAACCATGCTCCTAGCATCAAACACAGGCTCTAACTTTTTATCCAGGTACGACATGTACATGGACATCGAGGAAGTTCTGTCCCAAGAAAATGGGTCTTCGTTCGACAAGGCGTTCATCCGGGGTCTGCCTGTCGGGCTGAAGCTGTCAAATGGAGTGGTCATCGGAGAGCAAGTGTCCCGTCAGATCCATTTGTAAAATGCTCATTCCTGCGCTTCTTCCTCCCGTGCTTTGAGATACCTCATTTGCTTCTTGTATATGATAATGCTTTGTGATTATGCCGTGAATCTGTCATGTCACTGTGATGTATAGTCAATCAAATGTGTGACCAACATAGTCAACCGATCCCATGACTGAAGCTCGGAAGCAAAGCATAGATGGATCAGCCGGCTTAAGCGCCGGGTTGAGATGACGAGTTGCCGGTAAGGCACGGACGTTCAGATTGATTGGGTATCACACAACTGATTGATGACTCGATCTGGATGCGATCGGCCCACGGTGCGAGTAAAGTACGAAGAGCGAGGATCGGAGCAGAAGAGTACGACGTCGATCGCTGTCAAGACGGGTTGCCAAATTGTAACGAACAGCCTATATAGTGTCGGGTAAGTTGTTGATCAGGGGGAGAGGGAGGCCGGGGGGCGGTATGGAATTGGAAATGATTTCCACAGTGGGAATGTTGTAGAAACCACTACACCAGCTGATGCTCGTCTGATATGCCAGTGAAGATTATCCATCGGCTGTCTCGCTTGGAAGATGGACAAGGAATATTTTCCGTGGCGCTTGATTCTCCCGACTAATGAATCAGATTGTTGGACATCAAACATGCCGATACGGCGAGTGGTGAGGAAGTAAAGGTAACTCCGTAAGTAGTTGGAGGAGGGAGAAGGAAAGAATGCGGAGTAATCAAAGAAAAGGCGGTAGACGAAGGCATCCCTGCAGTTGTGAAGCTCAGCTGACCAGCATCAACTACACTTCTTTTCCCTAAACAATAAGGAAACAGCCGCCAACAACTCTGAAAAAGCGCCATGCATCAACCACCAGAAGCCACTTGGGCTTCTAGACTCCCCTTCGATCGCCTTCGCCTCCCTGTCAAATGACGCAGCTGATGCTATCGTTGCTTTTTCTCTTGGATCCTTTTGCCCCCAAACTAATGCAGTCTCAACTGTAACATGTCAGCTCTTTCCTTGTCACAGGGAATGCTGGTCTTTGAATTACAGATTGGGTTCGACACGAGATGACTCCGGGAACAAATTGGGCCCAATTGATGCAAGTGGCAGCCAGATCAATTTGCAAAACAGACAAGAAGAGAGAATCTGGACCCCCTCGTTGCCAGTCACCACCACCGCTGCTGGAGTAAGGCACCGCTCCATGCTTCTTGTATGATCAGCAGACAAGCTGAATTACCTATCTTCAGATTGAATTCCCAATTTACATATCAGCACAAGCGTCGTCAATACGCAGTACCGCTAGTACCTTCCTGGCGAAGGAAGCGATCCCTGCAGTCGAATACACATTGGTAGGCTTCGAGAATGAGCCATGATTCCAATCGTGAGATGACCGCGATTACGACCCTAGACAGATCGGAGATGGCATCATGTCTGCTGAATATGGCCCGGTCATAGGCATACAGGTGCAGCAATCTCCTCCCTCCCTCTGAGGGGTGGTGTTGTGAACCTAGACACTCCTAAATGATCGGATCCGGAGATGCAATCATATATATTATGGTAATCATGAGGCATGAAGAATGAGATGCAGCTGATTCCCTGAAAAGCTCGCATCAGAACTGGGCCCATTGAATCGAGACGATCCTTTTTCTTGTCAAGCTATGACAATATGATCTCTCGAGCACGAAGGTCGTCGTTAGCGACTCTCATGAAAGCAACATCCACTGGGGCTCATTCCATCAGCGACGCCTACAGCAGGAGGACTTGCCATACGTAGCAGTGCTGCAGCATCATTCCTCATACGCCAAACGAACAAGTTCCAAAATCTTTCGCTTACATCACCCACAAAGGCGACTCTTCGTAGGTGACACCATTTTTAGCATACAAATCCAACGTCACCGACCCACGTAGCAACGAACGAAGCTCAAACAAAAGCGGATCACCACAATAATGAACAGACGGTATGGTAGAGCTAGCTGCGGAGTAGTTCTTCCTACAAGCCCTGCAGATGTATGAGCATTGTGCAGCCTAAGCTATACGTCTAGAACTCTCGCCGGTGGGAGACGCGGCCACGACTTTCCGTTTCCGAACACAGCATCGGTCGAGATAGCTCCGCTCACCTCCAATCTTCCCCATGCGCAACAATCCCCCCTCCACAGGAAAAATCAAGGTAAGTCAGTGCAACGGGCAAGAGCAGCATGATGCAGCATCCTGCATTTTGCGTTGCAGCTTGCCTTTCCCGGGATTTCCTATCCTGCAACTGTGCATTGCCGTTGGAGGAGCATCGTGCAGCTGGGAGCCGGGAAGAGAATTGGGAAAGGGGGGCGGGGGGGTGGCTTGGAGAAACGAACGAGGGGTTCTTTCTTTGACTTAGTTCTCAGGTGAAGAGAAATCTCACTCTTTGCATGGCGAAGGCATGTTGAAAGGTGAAAGAAGAAATTATACGGGCATTGTCCAAGCATAACAGTGCCGTAAGGCACAGAGCCTGTAACCGCTGGGTTATCATGTGATTTCGTCGTCGCTGCTGCTGCTGCTGGGCAAGGCATCCAGCGCAGGACTTGTACATCTCGGACAATAAATCGAGGCTGGGCGAAGCTGAGTCTCTAGAATTGAACGCCCTATCCTCTCTTGCATTGACCGACTATCTCATGACGCTATATCTGGGACATGTGAGAAGAAAAGCCTCAATTATACCAGATTACCGGAGATTTATTTCGCATTGACCAAGACACACGGGAGATGAGCTGCTGCGACGAACATGCACAAAAGAGTCAAGTCGGTGTCGATACGGAACCCGTGTAGCACATCATCATTCAATCTCCAGGATGAGGCTGCCTACGATTCTCCATTCATCCGATTACGTTTACTCGGAGTGACAATATTAGATACAAACAGTGACTACAATCAGTGACCTCTGTTGGCTGTGCGCGTCTCTTTCTCAGTCACATGGCTGCTGACCGGGGAAGACGTGGCTGGCCTCTGTTCGCGGCTACCGAATTGGTGATCCCGTCCCGTGGGACGGACCTGAGCCAAAACAGAGAAACAAAATAACTACTACTCGGAACCCTGAATTACCTGACGCCCCTTTTCTCAGTTGACGTTGACCGTGACTTTCTCGGTGATACTTGCAAGGGTAAATACAATGTAAGTAGTAAGGTCATGAGAAAATTGACCAAGAAAAAAGCTGCCTTACAAGATGAAGGAGAAAGAAAGGCGGGGGAAGATTGGGCAACCATGTCTCCAAGGGAGGTACGGAGTAGTCGAGGTACATACAGCAAGTACATATACATACAGTCAGTAAGAAAAGGAACCTACTCCGAAGATTTCAACGACGCAACCCAGATCTCTCTCGCGGGGTGCTATACCGCTACTTCGGGATGTCGTTGGCCTCCACCATCACACGACTGCAAGAAGGTGGTGACCCTAGCATCTGATGGTGACCTTGCTAAATCTAACTTCAGTGTTGTTCATGTCGTTTCGCTCTGAACAGCCTCGTTGGCTCTTGACTTGTCATCTTGTGCTTGTCATGTTTTATTTTCTTATTTTATTGCTGATACTGTAAGTGCCTTTCAGCTGCTGTAAATTCCAAACTATCCATACGTACGCCGTGTAATTGTGTACCATCATAAGCCGGACAAACAACTGGACACGAGCAAAAAGTAAGTACCTACATGTGAGCCAGGTACGAGATTCAATACCGGGGAAATATTCGCGAGCCAGTCATCGGCTGTCAATACGATATTTTCACGAGTCATGTGAAGGGAAAACTTGAACTTATACACCCGGCATAGAGCTCCAGAAAAGACCTCTATCTCAATGGGGAGAGAGCAAGAGCATGGACGACCAGCTCATATCCTTGCGATCACTCATCTCAATCGAGACCAGAACCCAGCCACAGCTGGACATACACAACACACTTCACCCCTAGGCCCTCAATCTATAATCTCCGCGGCGAAAAGACAACCAGCCTGCCCCAGCCGAGTTCAGCCAATTTGCCAACAAGCCCACATCTCTTCAGTAGTAATTCCCCAGTTCCCCAGTTTCCCAGAGTATATATCATACGAAAGCAGTGATAAAAATAGAATGATCCACCCGCAGTTCAAGCTACTCCGGGCAACAGGAAATGTGTAGCTCGTCAGTATCATCCATTTCTGTCCCTGCCACAATGCCACAAGTCACCATCCGAACGACACCGATTCGGAGACACAAGTCATCCTCAATCTTCAAGTTATCCTTTCAAAGGCTCCAGCAACCAACTGATGATCCTCGTACATGCGTTCTGGCACATGACCGTCCGCCCTCCGTCAGCCCAAAACCATAAACCGAAGCCACCAATAGCCACGGACTCCCGGCTTACCCCTTAAACGCTGAAACATCAACTTGGATTCAGGAACGAGAGTTACCCGACTCAGCGGACAATAAAATCCTCAAACATCACATGAGCTCCGCGCCGCCGCCTTCCTGACTCCCCTGAGCCGTCGGCTTTCCAAGGGACGGTGTCAGAATGTCAGAAATGTGAATGCCTCGGCCCCGAACAAGACGGCCTTGCAATTTGTAGTTCATATCAACATCCCTCAAAAAGTGCCTAGATGCTTGGGTAGCTGAGCTAGCTAGACACTAATCAGCTAGTCTAACTCGGTGTCTCATGCTTAAACATCCAAATCAAGAAAATTAGACTGAACTATTACTAAGTAGTATAAGGTCGGTGTCTCTTGACCCGCGGAGTGAAATTTACTTTCGCCAGGGTGCAACACTGATTGGTCGACGGATTGTATACCGTGTCTACTACGTACAGCCCTGTTCGGGGCGAAAGACCGAGAAAGCAGGCTGAGAGGGTGACGAGAACCCCGGGCAGAGTTACATGTATACGATGTCTGACACCGGGAGGCGGGTGGAGGGTTCCGGAGGGAGAAGTATACCGGTAGGACTGAGTAGGTACCTAGTCTTAGTTGGTGATGATGACGATGGCGATGTTACTTGTTACTTTTGATAGATGCCCGTCCATGATTCTTTGACGAGGTCTTGGCTTTCTTGTGACAACCAATCGAGGTAACTGAACGGATACGCTTCTTCTTTGGATTCCATTGGACCCTGCTTGGGGAAAATTTGCATCTCCACTTATGCGGCACTCGGCG